GGGTGGCAGTGGGTGGCAGTGGGTGGCAGTGGGTGGCAGTGACCGGTGACTGATGCCGATGTGAAGACGCGAACCGTGATGGATCTTGGTTCAAGTTGGCTGCGACGAGACTTTGGCGCTACGGACGCCTTGATTCTGCTGAGTTCTCAATGGCCGGGCCTGAGCTGGTTGTCTTATCCACATCCAATCAATGTCATCTCGATTGGATTCGACTGACTGACGTGGAATGCCCGTTGTCTTGCTACTACTAGGTACCTTGTTCCCTGGTTTGGTGTGTGTGTGAGTGGCGCGACTCCATGACCTCGGTTGGCTCTGATTGGTGCACAGCTGGACGCGCCCCAGACGCGTTTCACGGAACGGAACAACTACTCTTCCGCACTGGCATCTCCTCCTCGGACTCAAAAGCGTCATTTCCGCAGCCTTTCTCTTGCTCCTCTACGCTGCGTAGGTGGTTAATAGTACGGCAGCACTTTAGACTTCCGGTAATGAAGGCTGATGTTATAGCTGTTCATCTTCGATCGGTCTAGCATTGGCTCATTTGAACTCTACCTTAGTGACAACCGCCTTCCGCCAGGTTGATGTCATGTTGCGGGAGATGTTGGATCTTTTGTTTAGATTGACATCTGTCAAGGCGGTGGCTTGTGGTGATCCTGTCTCTTGTTGAAATCATTTCATCTACTCCATTGCTGTCATCCACATTGCCCGTAACATCTCCGAATATAACCGCCACGGTGGGCCCCAATATGCCAGCTGAATGTCCAAATCTCCTGACTCTTTGAAAGTGCCTCCCATTTTAGTGTCCAACCCCGGGTTCCGCATGCTTTCCTTTTTGATACCACTAGCGCCCCCTCTTTTATGTATGCCAAAACTCCGGTAAATGGTATTAGATGCTGCTCAATCGCTCAAAAGGCACAATCAGGGTTCGAGGAATGTAAACAAGTTGGTGTGCAAGATGTTTAAGGCTCGATCGGCATCCCGCTCCGCAATCACACAAGAGATGTTGATCTCACTAGCTCCTGCTCACAGTGTTAGCACAAATGGAGAGAAGTCCAGAACCATGAGTGGTGCCCGTACCTTGCGAGATCATTTCGATGTTTACATTATTTGAACCGAGTGTCGAGAACATCTTTCCAGCAATGCCGATCATGTTCTTCATCTGCTTCCCCACAAGGCTGACAATTGCCATTTCTGGAATGATGTCGACGGTTCCAAAGTTTTGCAATTCCTCAATGGCTCCCCGAAGGTCCTGATCCACGATTTGGTATTCGTCGTCGCCTCCTCCCGTGTAGAGGGGCGCTTCCGAATGCAAGGCCATAGACATGTTCACCTCACTGGTGGAAATGACATCGACTGACAGCCGCCACTTGTCCAAGGTTGCAAAAATTCCCGCAAAGAACCCATGAGACAATGCTCGTTTATTGGAGTGGATATTCATGACCAAGATCTTGTGCTTCATGGTAATTGCGGTCGGGCGTTTCGGCTTCTCACTCTCCGTCAGGTAGCTGGGGCTCCTCGATCGGAAAAGCTTGGGGTCGTGTCCTGACAGCGTCGAGGCCAGCTCTGACGGAGAATCTGGATAGATGATGGTACCACCTCCTCGCGGATTCATCACATTTTTGATACGTATGGGTATCCGGGCTCGGATGACCTGGTCCATGGTGGAAGGATGAATGACCTCGGAGCCGTAGAATGTGAGTTCAGCAGCCTCTGCTGGGCTGATCCGAGGAATCAATTGCGCCGTTGGGACTTTGCGCGGATCAGCCGTGAAGATACCATCCACTTCTTTCCATATTTGGAGCTCGTTGGCTCCAATGCCGACGGCAACCAGCGCAGCGCACAGGTCTGTATATCCTCGACCAACCGTCGTCAACAGACCTCTCGGGATGGCTCCAAAGTATCCTGTAATCACGGGCACGACGCCAGGAGGAATGTTTTGGAGCCGTTTTGCCAACCCCGATGCCATGTTGTCGTAGAATTGCTGATCCAGACCGTGGGAGACTCGGAAGTCAATCACGTCCGCCAGGTCAACGTATTCAGCGTCAATACCTCGGTCCTGCAGCAACGCTGCCATGAAACGACAGCTGAGCTTTTCTCCCGTACTCATGACTTTGTCTCTAGATCTTGGACTCGTCTCGCCCAGAGTCTGGGCAGCCTCCAGTATTCGCTCCACCAACGAACACTCATCTTCAAATTGTGTCCGTAACTGCGACCGTATTTTCTCGGACTGTATGTAAGTTTCAGCAGCCCCCAAGTGATCGAGCCGAACGTCTTGGATCAACCGTTTGAAATCTTGGGATCGGTGGTTTTCTGCCTCGGTAGCTGCTCGCAACAGACGGTTCGTCGTGCCAGCGGCTTTGGTGCTGCTAGATCTCTGCACAACGTCGATCAGTAGGAGTGTCAGTGGAGGGAGCGGTAAGTATACGTACTGCTGAGCAGACTATTGCGACTTCGGTGTCAGAGGAACAAGATTTGACGACATTGACAATATCCAAAGGGAATTTCCCAACGCTAGTCCCTTGGGTGAGTCAGTGACTGCCGTCGACCAGAATGGAGGACGATTCAACATACCACCAAACTTCAAGACATTGATAGGACGAGACCTTGGTGTGCGAGTGCCATTGACCCCATTGACGAGCGGGTCCTCGGCGTGCAGACCGTTAGAGAGGGTGAGGGTGGTCATGTTGAGGAGGACGACTGTGGCGATCGACGACTGGCAAACATAGTACTGTCAGTGGGACATGTGAGGGAAAGAAAAAGGAGTGTTGTAGCCAGCCAGCAAACGAAGGTAAAGGAGCATCCGAGAGCGAAGGACGGTCTAGGGCGTGAGCAGCAAGTCAGTGACTGGCATCGTATCCCACTACCAAAGATGGAGCTGATTCTGGGCCCAAGTTATCCAAAAAGTCTCTCACACGGCGAGACGGGTCAGTCATAATCCTCGGGGCGGCAGAATTTTTGAAAATTCTCGAGGGGTCCTCGAGGCGGTGAGACCAACTGACTTGCACCCACTGCGCTCGGTAGCGAAATCGGCGAATAATGTGGCGGGTTGGCGGGCCAGATCAGTGGCGTCATTTGGGGCCTGGTCGCCATTTTATTAGTTAAGAGTCAGACACTTGAGGACTTGCATGAGGCCCGAGGGCAGCTGCAGGGCCATCCAGCGAGCCCAGCGAGCCCAGGCGCCCCGTCATTTGTGTCATTTCAACGCCTTTCTTCGTCCTCACTGCAACACATCCTCTCAAATATCACTCGATCAGCATGCAACCCAAGAAGCACGCGAGGCTGTTGTTATCTTATCATCCTATTGACCGGAGGCACCCAGAGGAGCCCTCAAACCATCAGCCAGTCACCCTCAACTGCTCGTTCCCAGATACGAGGTAACCTGAACACAGCCTGTGAGTGTTCCAAGGGTTCTTCATTGCTGACAACGGACATTTGAACATGGAGTGACATTCCACACTCTGACTGTTCCTAATTGTTCCCTGTTTGTCCCTAATTGTCCCTAACTACTACTGTCCCTAGCTGTCCTTCCCCCCGAGAATCCTCCTTGAGCTCAGCTTGGCAGTCAATGCAGCCCACCAGCTCCTTATTCGTCCACTTCATCTTGTTCAGCCTGCTCGGACATTCCTCACCCGCGTACACATCACACCTAATTAGAACTGCCATGCGGAGTTGACGCGGAATAGCCCCTCTGTTGTCGTCTCTTCTCCGGTGTCCGTCCAGTTGTTCACAGTGCTTTCATCACTTCTGCTGAAAAACATAGGGGTGTTGTAGTGGACTCAACGGCAGCAGCCTGTGACAGGCACTGCTGAAGTGAGGCCCACAGCCTGATACTCAGCCATCACAACCATGGAATCTTTCTAAATCTCTTCTCATCTCTGCCTTTTGCGTATTTCATGGGTCGTGATGGCCAACGGAAATCCCGAACAATATCTAACCTGCCCCTTCTGCCGCTTTGGCAGCAATGATATCGACTCCCTCGAAAGCCACGTACAACGTTTTCACGGCAGCCGACAGCCTGACCAGCCTGGCCATAAGCAGCCTTACAATGCCGCCGCATCCCAACTGAGCGACGCCGACTTGGCTCAACTCCTTGCCTTTGAGGAAGCAGGCTTGCCTGCCGAGCTAGCCCTACCAGATCATCCGAATGTTCCTGCCCGTGGTGAAGATCAGATGCCGGAAAGTGCAACGAAACTACAACAGCCTCCCTCGTCTTCTCGCGTTGGAAAGGAGCAATCATGGGTACAATGTGTCTGCGGCGAACGCGTACCTTTTCTCGAGCTTGATACCCATTCCGACATGCACGCTCAGGAGAATATTTCCATGGATGAGGCCGATATACCTAGCAAAGATGTCGAGCTCTCGACACTCGGGGCCAATGCCGAAAGTCCGTTAGCTAATGCGTCCAACATGTTTAGCACTCGTATCCCAAAATCTCTTCGAAACTATGATCAAATACAGGACAACCGCGCTCTTCCTCGTAGCGAAAAACGGCGCGGGCAGTCTCTCAAGGATATCTTCCTGGGCACTGGCGCATCTCCTAAGAGGAAATCAGCCCTATCGGCCGTCTCTACAAGGATTGGAAAGACAAAGCAGCTTGGAGTGAGTTTGACTGCGTCTGATATCAGACGTGACAAGGCTAATTGTTTGCAGAAGTCGGAACTGGGTCCCTATGCACATGAACAGCAAATGCCGGGCTGGCTGCGCCGAATGCTCGAGGCGGGTCCCAAAGTCACAATCACACAGAGACTGCGCTCCGACGGCACTTTGATCAAGGTCGAAACCGTTGCCAACGAAACGCCTAACCTAGTCCCTGTCCTCGCTCGGCTGTCTCAGCTGGACAAAACTGTCGAACGCGCATTTTATTGTAGTCCTAAAGTTGTCCACGTGTGCAAGATGTTACGGGAGGGTGGCTTTTGTGGCTATCGCAATATCCAGATGATGGTGTCCTACATTCGAGCTACGGACGCTGATGGCGCACAGAACTTCCAGGGAAGACTGCCGTCCATCCTGAAACTCCAAGACATGATTGAACATGCCTGGGACCTGGGCTTCAACTCTTCCGGACGTGTGGAGACCGGCGGAATCAAATACACCCGAAAATTCATTGGCACGCCGGAAGCGCAGGCATTGCTCTCGAGTCTTGATATTCCTTGCGAGGCGAGGGCATACACCACCACAAAAGAGGTCGAAGCTTTTGAGACGATGCTTTGCGCTGTCTGCGACTATTTCGACGATGACGAGGACGAGTCTACCAAAGACAATGTCGACAAGGTTGTGATCACGGACAAGCCACCGATCTACTTTCAACATCGTGGTCATTCCCTGACCATTGTGGGGGTCGAGCAACGGCTGAATGGCGTTGTCAACTTGGTCGTTTTCGATCCAATGTTCAACCCCAGTCCTGCGCTCAAGAAACTTGCCTTTTCGCGGTCCACTGCGTTTCAGTGTGCTCAGCCTGGAAAGCTTCTGAAGGCTCACCGAAAAGACGAGAGGTACTTGACAAATTACAAAGAATTTGAGTTGTTGAAGTTGAAGACTAGGCAAGCCTAACAAGCGGGAGCACCACATACTGATTATCATGATCATTCCTGATGCACGTAGGAGGCGAACATGATAGAACCGTTCGTTACGGCTCGGGCAATTGGTGAAGGGGGTTCCCTTGATATTGCATCGCGACAGGCATGATGAGGGAGTTTGATGATCACTTCAAAGCAGCTGGATCGCAGGGTGGATGGATCAGGCTTGACACGATTGGGCATCTCTAGGTCGCTATCATCAGTTTGGCATGAGTATTGGGACTTGTGTACACTTCACTTTGCAGTGCTTAGTCCTAAACACACAAGACATGGCTATTGTTAGAAGCTCGGAGTTGGATTGCGTGACTCACTGTTGTCAAGCTGCCTCGTAGCCTCGCAGTCGTTGTCATTCGAATTCCCCAAATTTACTTTTGTCGATATTGGGTAGATGTGAACCAATATTACAGCCCTCTGACCTGTTGCTCTGATACCTCCAGACCCAAGTCAATCGTTATCAGCATTTCGAGCAAGCTCGATAGCTCTTGTTCACTTCGTTTCTAAGATCATTACCAGCTTCGGGCCCGCCAGTCAACGCCGTGCATGAATCCCCACTAGATACTCTCTAATTACTCCGTATTTTCCTTTGACTGGCATAGAGCAACAGATTGACACCAGATTACGCCGACCACCTTTACTCTCCCTGCTTCTCCCTCACAAGAACAGAACGCAAATATGTCTTTCCCACCTGCGGCCCCGGCCCAGCAACCCCAACCGCTGCAACCACGGCCCAAAATCTTGGACTTCATCACCGGCAACGCCAACAAACTGGCCGAAGTGCGCGCGATCCTCGGCGACGTGCCCGGCCTGGATCTGCAGAGCCGCAATGTCGATGGTTTCGAGATCCAGGGCACCATTGAGGAGATCGCAAGGGATAAGGCCTCGAGGGCCGCGAGCGCGGTGAGTGCATCTCATTTTACTTTTACTTTTTGACTCCTTTGTGGATGTGCCGACACTTTGTTGCCCGGGGGAACGATTCGTCGGGTGAAGCGTCCTTGCTTTGAAGGTGTCAAGAGAGACAGTAAGAAATGCAGAGGATATGTTGGGAGTGGGATTGGGCTTGGGAAATTAGGTGAAAAAGTGTTCGAACAGCCCATGCTCTGCTTCTCTCATCCGAACCCTAGGAAAAGAGTTAGGGGGAGGCCAGGAAACGGGCAGGGAAGCAATTGACATGATAAGAGCTCTCGAATACATACACTCGAAGCTCAGAACCTCGAGTCTTCCCTCGCGGTGGCAGCTGAGTCTATGCTACAAGATATCTCGTCTCTATCAAAGGAATAGGCTGACACCCTGTGGCCCGGCTAGGTGAACGGCCCAGTCCTGACGGAAGACACGGCGCTGGAGTTTCAGGCCCTCAAAGGTCTACCAGGACCCTATATGTGAGTTCTACCCACACTCCTCATCTGAGGGCATCGTCATCCTCGTCCAAGCCGCACTCTCTTCCGCAAAAGGATCACCAGTTCTCTTCCGAGCCACTAACCTTGTAACCCCCTTCCTCATCATAGCAAGTACTTTCTCCAGGCCCTCGGTCACGACGGGCTCAACAAGATGCTCGCCGCATATGAGGACAAGACCGCCTTCGCGGTATGTACATTCGCGTACTGCGCGGGACCTGGCTCCGACCCAATTCTATTCCAAGGCCGGTGTCAGGGAAAGATCGTTCCGCCCAGGGGGCCGCCTGTCTTTGGTATGTGGCCTTCTTCCCCATTTCTGGGCAGGATCCTTTCGTGGAAAGCCTAGCTGCGATTTCTCTGCGGGGGCTGGTTTTCTGACAGGTGTCTCGAGCAGGCTGGGATGCTGTCTTTGAGTTTGAAGACGGCCAGACTTATGCTGAGATGGAGAAGGAGAAGAAGGTATGTTCCTTCTCATAACACCCCCTCTCCTCGGGTTTCCTTGTCTCGGGCGACATCGTTGACCGCACTCTCCCCATGTAGAACTTGATATCGCATCGAGGAAAGGCTCTGGCTAAGCTGAAAGCCTGGCTTGCTGGTGGCGAGCTGGAGCCGTAGTCGTCGTCGCGCGGTCTCTCGGTCCGATAGAATCATAGACTTTGTGACCTGATGGGTCAAAGCATTAGAGAACGTCCCCAGGTCGAGGTCCTTCTCCCCGCCCTGTTTAATGCCCCCCTACCCATCCGTAGTATGATGATCTTTGATCCAATTCTTCACCCACTGCAGAATCCTCTCGGCGTTCTCTTCAATGTCGTCTGCATCCACGCTCTTGAGTTCCACAACCCGCCCTTCCTCCTCTTCCCCCCACCCTTCTTTGGCCTCCTCGCTGACCACGCCAAAGATCTCGGCGTCCATGTTTTCCTGCACCTTGGAATCCTTGTAACCCCGGGCCGCGAGGCGGTCGTAGAGGACACTCGTCTCTTCACACCTCAGCACGACCACGAGGTCGACCCAGCGCACCGCGAACCCCGCCGTGGAGTGCCAATCAATCACCCATCCACCTTCGCCGGCGCCGTCCGCGATGTCCTTCTCCACCTCGTCCATGAGCTTGTCGTCGTCGACGATCAGCGTCTGCAGGTCTTCGTCGTAGCCCGAGTGACAGGAGCTCGACTTGACGAGGTCGTTGATCGAGAGGTGCTTGAGGTTGATCGGCGGAGTGGAGGACGAGGCCAGGCCGATGAGCTGGGTGCAGGTCGTGGTCTTGCCCACCCCCGGGGTGCCCGTTATGATGATGTTGGGCAGAGAGCGCATGTCTGTGTCGTTGAGTGCGGCAAAGATTGTAGGAAAGGAGTGATAGAGTCGCTGAACTTCAGATGGGTAAGTCTCACTTGTATATGTGCAGCAACAAGACGTCCATCAACCCGACGATGGTACCAGGAAAAAAAAAGTTTGGGACCAAAAAACCAACGCGGGGATTGAGTGGGACCCTGACACCCTCTGTGGCCGGCACGCGATGCGGCGGCGACGCTGGCGAGGCATCTTCCCGCGTCCAACCAGAGCATCATGTTTTACTTTACATCCCTACCTAGGTACCTTGAAGCCATATTGGGAGGAAGTTGGCCCGTTCCCGATCTTTCTTGCACCAGATCTTCCGCTCATTCTGCTTGCTGTACATGCCTCTATCCAGTCTGCTATGGTGCTCTTTACCGGAGTGCGTACAAGGCTCTCTCATACTACACAATGTACTTCCAACACCTCACTGGCCACAGTTCATCCACCACCATCGCCAACCAACTCAAAGTCGACAAAGTTGAAGAGACTGGGGTCGAGTACAAAGTCGTTGACGGCCGCTTCGAGAGAACCCCAAGCGCCGCCGTGTGCAGTGTCCAGGCTTCCGTCATTGCTATTGTATTGCGCAGGAGATGTTGTCCGCACGTCGTCCGTGAAGACATCAGCAAGCAGGGAACAGCCTTCGACAATCCGGGCGAGGGTTCGCCTCATCCGGGCGGTGATATGGAAATGAGGTTGTAGGTCCTTCATCATTTCATCCAACAGCCGGAGCCACCGGAGATCGTTGTCGTCGACAGCAGAAGAGTGCTCGGCTCCCAGAAAGGTGGAGATCAAGACGGTCGCGGCCACGTATAGATTGTCCAGCATCACAGACGGCGTGTTTTCCACCCCGAAAATCTGTCTGTAAGTGATTCCCAGTTGGGCGATCTTCACCGCGTTGTGATGCACAAGCTCACGAGAAGACTCGGCGGTCCAGTTGCGGAGAACCGGAGGCTGGTCGTCACCCTCATTTTGTTTGCGCTTCCGGTGGGTTGATATTGGCAGGGAATGCAGGAGCATCTGCACTCGTAAGTACTGCATATGCAGACCGTACGCGACGGCGTCCAGTCCAGAGACGTTGTCATAATCAAGCGCGATGTCTGCGGGCAGTGATGCATACCACCTGCGCAGCTTGACGTCTAGTTCCGACAGCCGGTTCAGCGTGCTTGCCTGCATGGGCGAGTCCTTGTCGAGGATTGTCGTGATCTCGGCGATGAGCACACACAAGTCAAACCACGCCTTCAGAGTCGGGCTGTCAGACACATGGCCAGCATACGAAGACAGGGACGGGCCCAGGATCGCTATGTGGCTCGGACGTCCCAGGTACAAGCTCCAAAGGGTCTCGTACACGAAGCAGCCTAATGCGACAGAGCCGCGGAACCTGCCTGCATGGACGTTCAAGGCATCTCGGTCACTGTTCTTGCTCCACGTGTGGTGTAGACCAAGGTCAACAATGAGTCGACACGCAATACCTAGCATCTGATCAGGGTGGCACACGGCGAACAGAAGGGGGGCACTCCTCACCACAGTACATCCAGCCGACTCGATCCCGCCCTTCAGTCATCTCGTAGTCACTTAGGAGTAGCATTCCCTGCAGCGTCGCAACGTTGGGATCTTCTAACTCTGACACTATTTCTGACTTGGCGCGCATCGCATAGCTCGATCCCAATGCGCGGACAGCCACAGAAGTACTCACACGTGCACTGCACGCCAGCATGGAGTTTTCCAGGAACCTAGAGTAATGCTGTGATCGCAAGCCTCGCGCTCGGTGCGACAGAAAGAGTTCTCGGTGAATGATGGTGACAGAAAGGGTCTGAAAGTTGCAGTAGTTGTTGAACAGGAGGGTTTTCAGGCGGTCCGAGTCCATGTCGATCTGTGTGCCGCCGGGAGGCGGAGGATGGATACTTGACACGCTTCTCACCACATCAGAAGGTGATGACACGTGGAGTTGACACGTCGGGCCAAAGTATATGCCAGATTCTTCCGAAATCCCCTCCTCGCCATTAACTCCACTACTACAGACCTGGGATGTATGGCTCCGCCTTTGGTTATCGATGGGGCTCAAGCTGGCCATATTCGGCCTTAGTTCAGGCTCGCTCTGCGAAATCTGGTTCACGTATGGAGAGTCGCGTCGGGACTCTGGTATGGCAGGAGTTGTGCCATGGACCGAGCCCTCCTTGGTCAAGAGCTTGCTAATAGCGATGTCAGCTGTTTGTGGACGTGGTTGTCCTTCACTGCGTCGACGGGACTGATGAGCTTTTGTGCTCGACTGTCCAACCACGGACGAGGCTTGGTAAGCAGCAACGAAGGCACTGTCCTGCGACCCTTGTATATCCTCAGGATCGGGTACGGTGGTAACAGCTGCAGCTTTCTCCGCGTTCAAATGTGGTGTATCTGCTGCCTGACTAGCGCCGACTGAAGCATTCCCATCCGGAATGATTTGGCGCACCAAAGCCTCCAGCGATCGGACCTGTTCCTGAAGAGTTGCAACGTGCTCGCGAGAGCCGTGCCTGAAAATGCAAACGTAAGCTCAAAGAAGAACAACTGTCCGGGGACCGGAATCACGAACTTCCTGCGATCCGAAAACTGGCTTACGTGACAGTCGATGTTGGAAATGCGGCATCCGGTACACGTAGACCCGGTAGGAAGGCGTTGAATATCACACTGAAGAGACTACCTATTAGTCCTGTCCTCCCGGTCCATTTGTATTGTCCGACATGGGAACCTATTCGTTACTGACCTTGATCTTGCGCTGTCGGCAGCTGTGGCAAGCTAACGACGCTCGGGACCGCACTATGGGAGATCTCTTCTGTCGCTTGGCGCTAGACAAGTCCTCGGCCAGGGGCGATGTGGCTCGTCGCACCGCAAAAACGTCGTCTGAACGCATTTGGAAGACTGGGACCGGTCAGGTAGAATGCTTGATGCATATACTTTCGCGCGTCCAAGGGAAATGGACCTGCACAAAGTACGGCAAGCTTGATACACTGCGTTCGAAGCGTCAAGTTCGAACCAGATTCTGGGGTTGATATTCCTCCAGGCCCACAACACCTCGCTTCAGGGGGTTCCGAGGGAACATGCGGGGAAAGCAGACTAGACTGGCTGACTGGGTCTTTTTGAGTCTGGGGTTTCCGCACCAGAGGCGCGCGACGGTGCCAGATGAAAGCCTCATACGATCATTGTACCGAGTACCCCTGTCGTGGTCGGCGGAAGCATCTGGAACGCCATCCATTTGTGTGGCCAGATCCTCTTTCGAGGTCCAACGGTGTCCAGTCGAGCTACCGAGTACAGGATTTCAGAATCCGGATCAAGTGTTGACTTGGTAGCTTCCGACTGGATCATCTTGCACGCGCAGAAGCTCGAGCTGGTAGGAATGCGTGCGAGGGAGCCCGCTGGCACCGAGCGTGTATACCCATCGCAGGCCGAAGCCTTTGGGGAGCCAATCGCTGCCGCGTGTATGAGATACTCGGCATACCAAATCCGTGAAGAAGTAGGTCCGAGGCTGAGGGTGGAATTGCTAGTACGGCTGGTGTTTTCCGAGGCAGAACCCCACAATCTGGGCCCCCGCAGTCTTGGCGCATGGACACCGGAGTCGGAGTAAGAATTCGCCGGTCTCGGGCCGAGACAGCCGCAACTGCGAACGTCAAACTGTCTTAACATGAGTCTTGGATCATAACAACATATGAACCTTTGATTGTGGTCTAGGAAGTCTCGTATTCTAAACAGGCAATTCATTACAGGCGAGCCCCCGCATGCCTCTGTTGGCGAAGCTTCGTATCTATTTCGTCTACGATGCTCTTCTCCAGCTCCTTGGTGTTGACATAGAAGGAGCTCAACTCATTCAAGCTGTTTACCCCAAGCAGCCTCATCGTCGTCTCCACCTCATCACTAAGCACTGCAATAAAGAGTCAGTAGCAGATCTAAACCCAGACAGGACGCTATTGTGTACTCACGTTCGATCGCGCGTTCGACACCTTGTTGTCCATAGGCGCCGAGCGCATAGACGAATGGCCGCCCAATGCCCACAGCCTTGGCTCCTAAGCATATGGCCTTGAGGACATCACTCCCTCTTCTTACGCCGCCGTCGAGAAATATATCTATTCTGCCAACAATCTCAGGACAGAATCTCCGGATCTCGAGCAAGGTCTGTATTGAACTCGGTGCGAAATCAAGCTGTCGGCCACCGTGGTTGCTGAGGTAGATACCGTCTACCCCAGCTCGGTATGCGAGCAAGGCGTCTTCGGCACTCTGGATGCCTTTCAAAACAATGGGACCTGCATCTCCCCAGGTGTCTCGAATCCAGCCCAAGTCATCCCAGTTCAAGGTTGATGAGTGGACTCCTCGGAGAATCGGCTTCTCTTCTGATGGCGAGGTGTCCAGCGTCCGAGGTGTGTCCTCCACACCAGATTGATACTCCACTCGAGCCTTGTACCGATCGTCTTCTTCCCTCTTGCCGACAACAGGCGTATCCACGGTCACAAGCAATGCCTTGAAACCTAAGCGGCGAGCCATGCGGATGAGCTCCTTTGCGTTTTCTCGTTTCCTTGGTACGTACAGTTGGAAGAATTGCGTATGTGGCAGCCCTTCAGCTCTGACGCATTGCATAATCTCCTCGTGTGAGCAGGATGTGTAAGTGCTGAAAGCGGATGGGATGCCTTTTGACCCCGCCGCACGTGCAAAAGCCACCTCGCCGTCTTTGTTTGCCAGCTTGATCATTGCCATGGGGGAGATGAAGATTGGGAGACTGCTGCGTTGTCCCATGATTCTGCACGACATATCCGCTTGAGTAACGTTTCTGAGTACTCGGGGGCGGAACGAAACTTTTGCCCAGTCTCTCCGGTTTGCTTCCAAAGCACTCAGAGTTTCAGCCGCTGAATGGAAGTAGGTGAATGCTCTTTCACTTAACACGTTGGATGCTTGCATCTCCATGTCCATCAGATTCTGGCAAAGCTTCAGAGGGATATCGTCTGCTTGCTGTCTCTCCTTCGTGTAAGGCGTCTTGGCGGCGAGTTCAAGCGGTGTGGTCATTTCGACCGCGCCTAAATGCTTGTCTGTCGAAGATTGGTTAGCAGCTACCATGTTGGTCAACTGGTGTCCCACCTTGTGCGAGAAATCTAGAAAGAGTGTCTTCCGGATGTATAGGAACATACTCGTGGGTGGCATCCTGGGGCCAGATTCAGCGTCATGGCTTCCATATTAGAAGTTAAGAAAGACCTTTCCAGCAAAACGGAGTATTGCTGCTGCGCCCCCAGGATGGTCATCAATAATGTCAGTCACATCATATGCTTGACCTTGAATGATAACCCAACATGACTGTCGGGTGTTGTGTGCAGCCACCTCACTACGAGTTGGCATTTCCAGAAATTCTGTTGGGCACCAAACCCAAGAGATTGAACAGACCCAGTCAGAGCAGCTATGGAGACCTTGCCTCCCTTTCTCCCCTTACACAGTCTATCTGCACTGAAGGTATCGCTCGGCAAACTCATTGCATCCCCATATCGTTCCCGAAGAACCGCGGAGACCACAAAGCCGGGTGGGGAACCGAGCCCCGGAGACAGAGGCGAACGGCAAGTGACACCCGAAGTCGTGGAAGAAAAGCAGAATGCTGACAATGAGGAATATATACTAGCTTTAAGTCGAACCAGGCCATTTTGTCGCAGCGCTCAGTCTAGAACTTCTGCAAGTCACACAGATTATACGTGAAACAGGTCCATCCAACATGCCCAGCGTCACCAGGCTACAGATTACACCACTTGCCGAAACGTTTGCCTGTGAAGTCGAAGGCATCGACTTCTCCAAGCCGATTGACGATGGCCTTTTTGAGGAATTTAGAGATGCTGTCCACAAGTACGGCGTCGTCATCCTTCGCAAAACGGCGCTAGACGATGATTCCGCTATTGCCCTTGGCCGGCGATTCGGGGAGCTCGACAGCGTCAGGGCTCACCGACTCGCGGGAAGGGCAATGAGGATTCCAAACGACGAGATTTTCGACGTAGGTAACCTGGACGACAAGGACCAGGTCGTCACGGTGGAAGATCCCCACCGCACTTCGTCTGCCAATGGCAATGCGCTATGGCATGCAGATGGCGCTTTCAACCCCCGCCGCACAGGTGTTTCCATTCTTCGGGGTGTTGAACTGCCCCCAAAAGGTACCGGGGGCCATACGGAGTACCTGGACACCCGAACAGCATACAGCGACCTCCCCGAGGAAAAGAAAAAGGAGATCGAGGGTCTTGTGGGCTGCAACTCGCTGTTCCACAACCGAAAGACGGCGAACCCAGACTCGCCCCTTTTCCTGCACATCAACCCAATGGAACACCCTCTGGCGAAGCACAAGATTGCTCAATTGCATGAGCCCTCGGGCCGGATGAACCTCTACATCACATCGTACACTCACCATATCGACGGCATGGACCTCGAAAAGGGGCAAAAGTTGATCAACGAGATCTTTGATCATGTCAAGCAAGACAAGTACAAGTTTGTACATCATTGGCAGGACAACAATGACGTGGCGATTTGGGACAACTGTGCCGTGCTGCATAGGGCAACGCACGGGGAATACGAGGGGAAGTATCGGCGGGACATGAGACGAGTCTCGGTCTTCGATACCGGATCTACCGCTTACGGGGAGAACGATGTGTCCACATACTGGCAACAGGGTCTCCCATAGTCCCGGCCGACTCAGCAGAACAGTGGAAATGCTGGATTCAGGCCGAGTCACGCGTCTACACTCATGTTGAGGGATGGCGATGTTTTCTCGTGGGACTAGCAATGTTGGCAAATCCTTACCACTCTGCGAGCCTTTTGGCAGCTCGATTGAAAAGCATTCTACTTGGGAGATCCATTCTGAACGCGACAGTGTAATTGATTATAGGCTATGCCAGTCGCACAAGTTGGTAGCTTTTTGTGACTATTTCAATGCTAGGGAGCGCGGTATCTTGTACAACCCACCTTGAATTGTTTCGATAGCATTCTGTACACCTTCTCTATCATGCCTGAATGAGTAATATAGGTAACATAGCACAGCATACTGATCAGCAAGCCAACCAAGGCGTTTCCAGGAGATTCACCTGATCCGCCACACGTTCTTTCAGTTATTTGAGAGCACAAGGTTGTGAGCTGGACGGATATCACGGACCGAGCGCTCGTCGTAATATCCCAATCCAATGCCTGAAACAACCACCATGCTTTGGAGTACGAAACAACCGAGGTTTACTGCCCCGACACTGCGGACCATACTCACCAGCAGATTCAAGCAAACCCTGCCGGCCATCGAGCGCCGCCTCTCGGCCATTTCACCAACACACTGCCCGAGCTGCTGTTACCTATCTCCTCCATGCTAGGGGAGTGCATTTCTTGGGTGAAACCATTACTCGATCTACCGAAGCTCATGGACGTCTGACTCAATTGAAGCAACCTAGCACAATTTCACTCGCCATGTCCCTGTTCAAAGCGCAGACAGCCCATATACCAGCCGATGGAGGAGGCATTGCCCGGTTCCGAGACCATCATAAAAGGCTCGGCCGGCCGTTGCTGGGCACGGTGCTGACGGTGCAAGCCAACATTGTCGCCATGCTGGCCGCCCAGGCATTCGACTTTGTCATGATCGACATGGAACACGCTCCCATGTCGGCGGAGCAGATGACGCACATGGTGCACGGCGTGGTGGCCGCGTCCAAGGGCAAATGCCTGGCCATCGTGCGCGTCCCGTCTCACGACGTCGGATGGATCAAATGGGCGCTGGACAGCGGCGCGGCGGGCATCATCATCCCCATGGTCAACAACGCCGCAGAAATGGAACGCATCATCTCCCACGCAGTCTACCCGCCCGGGGGTAAACGGAGCTTTGGTCCCTTCAACGCCGCCTTCGGCCGACAGTTGCAGGGAACCCAGTTCGGCACGTACTACGACATGGCGCGGGACGACGGGGTCGCCATTCTCCCCATCATCGAGTCCGCCGAGGGGATCAAGAACGCCGACGCCATCATGGCCGTGCCCGGCGTGTCTGGCTGCTTTATCGGGCCCTATGACCTGCGTCTGTCCCTGGGATTGCCAGGAGGCGTGGACGGTCCCGAGCCAGAGTTCGCCCAGGCTCTATCCACCGTGCTTGCTGCGGCCGAGAAGCACGGCAAAATCGTCGGCTCCATGGCGACTTCGTCGGAAATGGTGGCCACGCGCGCGAAGCTGGGCATGACTTTCCTCCTCGTGACTCTGGACTATAGTGTTTTGGTCGCGGGATTTGCGTCGGCGGTGGAGGAAGGAAAAGAAGCTCTGAAGAAAGTCGGACATATTCCATCACGTCTGTAAGAGAGGAGGAAGTCGCCATTTAATCAAAAAGTGCGCTACCACTGATGTACGGACCCAAGATGTTGTCCGAATTGTTGTTCTTCAGCCACGGCTATCGGAGATCTGTAAAAGTGATCATGAATAGGACGTGAAGAATGGCACGATCGGTACCTGAATGCTGCGACCAACAACTAGCCTTGCTCTCATCACTGTATGCCAGCCCATGTATAACCTCGTCCCGTTGTGCAGTGCACTCCATCCAACATTTGGCAAGTCTTCTGACAACCGTATTTATCGCTATTTTTCCGAATGCCGCGTATACTTGTGGATACCCGAGTGTTTGGGGACCCACTGCCGATTGCCCACTTTTGGCCTCTTGTGGAGCCTTATTAATCCGGAAGTACGAGGGTACGTTCACGGGAGTAGCGCAGCCAGCCGACAACAGACTGGGATCCATACGCAGCACGAGATCCTTGTCGTACGGACCTTGTCGTACGAAGAAGCTGGATGGCTGGTGCAGAGAGCTGTTGTATCGTAGCTTTTACGTTCTGCTCACGGGGTTGAGGAAGGTTTCAGTTCATTCTTTTTTTGTTCGCGCGACAGGAACATCGTCAGCCTGGATCCACGATCGAAAATGGAGGGGAGGAGGCGCTTCTGAATGCGATGGATACTCGTGAACAGCGCATCGCTGGCTTTATATTTTATTTTATTTTTTCTCCTTAGTCGTGCGCTGTATAATGACTGGCTCGAGCAATTCTTCATGCCGCTCCACAAATTGAAGTAGTAGTATTTTGTTTGCCTATCTGTTTCCCATAATGCCGTGAGACTCTACCAGCAGCCAAGGCGGAAACAACTCAGAAGTCCTCTCGCAGGGTCGGCGACTCCCAGTTCGCCCTCAAGACGGTCCTGATGTCTTCGCGCCAGAAGAATTTCTGGCCCAAGGACTCAAGGTCCCACCACTCCCAGTCCCCAAGTTCAGGCATGGCCTTGTGCATCTGGGACACGAGCTGCAAACCTTCGGGATACATCTCGGTGGAATCCTGCGCCATGGCCCAGGAGTCGATGGCGACGAGCCAGATCCAGATCAGGCAGTCCCGCTCGGTGCGCGAGTTGGACACCCTGAACGTGGGCAGTCGAGCCGTCAACTGCATCGTGGCGGAATGGTAGATGCACGCTTTCGGCCGTAGGCGGTTGGCGCGGTTGGCGCAGTAGCGAAACAAGGCGAGCCAGATCATCTTCTCCAGCGACGGTCCTTCGGGTCCTTCGGGGTTTCGGAACGCCGTACAGGCATCCCAGAAATTCCATGCTTGACCCGCGACAGGCCCGTAGACTTTGGTTTTCTCCTCGCCTTGCCTTTCTCTGTACTCGTGGTCCTGGGGGCTCCAATCCCGCTTGACGCTGATTCTGTGGATGATTTGAAGCGTCTCGGAGGAGAGTGCTCCCGCTCTCGCCAGGTTCCGGAACCCGCACGGGAGCCTCTCAATTGTCTCAAGGTCATCTGGTCCATAGCGAACATGAGGAGCTTGTCGCAAAGCCAATTCTGCTGTGAAAGGCTGGGAAGAGGGTGAATCGGGCGGCTGGTCGCCGGAGAGGGATAGCAGGCTAGATGAATGGGGGTCAATTAAGAACCAATATCGAACACAAACAAACAGAGCTTTATCTGAGCAGGAAAAAGGCAGGACAAGTGCTCACACTGTCAAGGTTGCCCGAGCTGAAGTCCCCACTCCCAAGCGGCTGACGCCGCCTCGTGAGGCCACCATTTGGTCGACCTGGGCTCGATGCGCCTTGTATGCTGCGTTGTTTCCAAGACCTCTCTCAAACATGGCCAGGTACAGGATTGTCAAAATTGCGCCGTCATCCGCACGCGCGTTTGGTCTCGCCAGCCTGGCTCGCAGCTTGGACATTGCCCGTCCCGCATGAATGAAGGCGTCTTGTGGTAAGGGAGATCCAGGACATGCGATTGCAGTGTGCGCCACTTTTGTCAGACCCAGTAGCACGTGGAAGAAGTCCTCATATTTTGCCATGTTCTCCAGAACCCAATGTCCGTAAACATTGACGACGTTGAATGCTTCGTTGATTGAGGCAACTGTGACCAACGATCAGCGGTGCTCGGAGTTTCATTCACATGTAGTTAGCCAGTTCGCTCTTGAGGGGTTCTTTCTTTCTATACAACGGGCAACCCACCGGTCGGCATGACATAGTGTACAACTGGACTCGTGTTAACGCGCCATATTGTCCAAGGAGATAGACTCGTTCACTCACGGAAATCAATTGCGAGGGAGGCACCATAACGATCAGTTCCAGGAACGCAGTCGAACGGATCAACTCGTGCACCTCTTGTCCAATGCCATGGATTGGGAAACACAAATTCAATCTCTGGCGTGCACGGTTGTGCCAGGGAGCAGAGTGGAGAATTGTCGACGTCAGCCTCGGAGTCGTCGTTGTCCCGCGTCACGAGTTGCCCAACACTAATGGTCTTAGTCCCTTGGTCCTCATCTATCAACAGCTGCTCAATCCGTATTCGAGGGGAGTAGGGAGTATGGTTTTGTCCTCCGCAGGACGGAGGCCTTCCATTCTGCTTGCTCGATGCTGTCTCGGTGCAATGTCTCGGATGAGGTGGATATGTCTTTGACCAGCGATGCCTGAACTTGGCTGCGTGCGAGCGTGCCTTGGACTGGAGAAGCTCATAGTCGTTCTGAGATCGACTCTTTTCGGGGACATAGGGTATGTAAGACAGGTGAATGGGCATGGGGGCGACCAGAGGAAAGGGTCTTGGTGTTTCTTCAGATTCGGTATAAGACCAGGAGCCTTGGGACGATCTTCTCAGCAACAGCGTCCGTCACCAGAGATGATCTCGAGTAAAACATTTTCTGCTCCTGCGGTCGATCAGGCTTTACGCACAATGGACCCCGCCGGAGACGGTCCAAAAACACGGGATGGTTCTCTCAACCGAGGGGGAAATCTCTCCACCGTTATAGTGTTAGGTCCATTGCACGAAAAACGCTTGAGTGAGTGAAGCTCATCGCTCAGAGGATCACGCTCAAGGAACGAGGAGGATGCCCGGACGAATGAGCTCGAATGTCACGGTCTTACCCCGGACCACGAGGTGGGCCCCGATCGCAATGAGTGGCAGTCGATCGGTTCTCTTGTGTGCCGCTCGTGTGAAGTTCGGCACACGGGGTCGCTGATACGCTGCAACCGTTTCTCGATCAGGCTGTTAAACTGGGAACGAATGGTCGGAAGCTGCTGCCGCCAGCTATCAAGCTTCACCACTCAGCCAAATCACAGATTCGAGAGCCACGTCCGAGTCCGGAAGGAAGTGGTAGAACCTTAGTAATCTCCCGTTGAGCACCCCAAGAAGAATCCATGTTGGATGTGGCTGAATCTCAACCTTCTCAGTGACGCACTCTATGGCTTTAATTATAAGCAACTGCGGTCACAGGAGTAGAGGAGCAACAGACTCAGAACACAAAGGACAAAAGACTGGTTGCTGGCAACTGGTGGCAGAAGGAGATTTCCCCAAGCCGTGTCTTATTAATGAAAGCTTCGCTTGGTGCGGCCGCTGTGCCCGTTGCGCCTAATTCGGACCAGGGTGGTTTAATCGTCGGGCAGACCAGGTTCCCTGAAGGTCCTGCAAGTAGTCGGGCACAACAAGTTTGAATGTTGGCAGTAGCTTCTGGGTTTGTGTGTTTTCGTGGCGCTGAAGGCCATGAGTTCCATAGAAGGTACATATCAGGAAGGCTGAGCTGGTGCGGTGGAGAGCACCATGCATGGGAAACGGGTCTCATTTGGTTGATAAGGCTGATCCCCTGGTCGTTGGCACTTTTGGCACTGCAGATCTGCAACTGAGCCATTGACGGGAATCGTGTTCTTCATCCCCGAGTCGTCACGCTGGCTGATCGGACAGGATCGCCAGGGAGAAGCCTTGGAAGTGTTGACCATCATCAACAGTGGAGGCGACAAGGAGCATTCGAAGACAGTCTTGCAGTTCCTAGAAATCAATGACACCATCCGCTGGGAGAAGACCGAAGGCCATCAGCTCACCCCGGTCCAAGCGTGGACTAACAAGTCTAAACGTAAACGTCTACTTCTGGCGGCGACCTTCTCAATAGTTATGATGCTCTGTTGCAACAATACCATCACCTTTTATTTCGGCGACATGACCCCCAAAGCAGGTATCACGGACTCAAATATCCAACTCGAAATCAATATCATCGTGACATCTTGGAGTCTGAGAATCTCCGTTGCGGCTTCATGGGACACCGACCGACTTCCGAGAAACGGTTTCGCTTGTACCAGTCCGGGTCTACTTTCGCTCCTCCTGTTCGGTATGACGGCGAAGTGTTGAAAATCGACAGACAAGTGAGGCATTCATGGCACTATCGCTATGATCTTCCTCGACCAGAAACAATGACCCTAGAAACAGTATTGGTGATCAAGTCGCTAGGTATGCTGGCGAAGGTAACTAAGGCTCCTGTGTCCATATTTTCAAATGTGCAAGCAGTGTTGCGGGCTCAAACATATGAAGTGTGCTGAGGCTCTGCTAGGTGTCACTGTTGGACGCGGAAGAGAGGCACAGTCACTCTGCTTGTGGCCCGTGCACGGCAAGGACCGGCTGTATTTCGTCGGTTGAGGCTTGCCTGGACACCTAAAAATGGACAGCTATCGATCTAGATTTGGGTCTGCGGCTCTTCACAGGTGTTGCCCAAAGCCACAATACGAGCCGAAATTTACTCGGCTCGCTCCTTTCATTCAATATTGGCCAAGTCGAGCCACTAACAAGGGTTGAAAGCGAGTTTATTGGTTTTGTCAGATTTAGCTCTATCTCGGTTACCCCTAGCATCCAGCCTAGATGGATAGCTTGAGCTGACCAACCATTACTAACCGCATATGTGCCTCGTGTTCAACCTCTGCTAACTCCAAATGAAACTAGCTATCAAAGCCAGCCGCAGTCTGCGCTCGCGGATTGGGGGCGTAATGACGGGTCGAATGGGCTTCCTCAAAAAAGACTCACAAAAGAACAATACAGGCTTTCTTAATTTTATCCTACTTAGTTCCCGGCTGTTAGGCGAACGGTACTCGGTAATGTGTGCAATCCCAGACTCGGAGTTGAAACAAGTTCTATTATAGCTGTGATCCAGCCATCAGTGCGAACCTGTGGGCGCAGAACCGGCAAATCAATAGTATCCACTCTACCCGTGGGCGGCATTGCTAACGCTTTTGATAACTAGGCAATCGGTCGTAGAAGCATGCGAGCCACCGGGTCGAGTCACTAGGTACCTACACGGCTCTACGGAGTGGGGAGACAAGGCATAGGGATCACCCACCCTCAACTACGCAGTATCCTAATCTTGTTCACACTGCTCTTATGTTTCCTTAAGCCTAATGCTTTTTCAAGGCCAAAGAGAGAGCTCTTGACATTTTTATCTGGGTTGATTGATAATTGAGGGTCTTCCCCCAACCGACTTCGACGCTCGACGAAAGCCTGTAAGTCTCCATCCGTCTAAGGACCGTCATGTCGCAGAAGAGACAGGAAACGAAACAAACTTGCTAAATGAAGAGTAGATTGTCTAGAGCTCCCCCGTCCTCAACCACTTCAATGCGCCTTGCAGGTGTGCGACTTAGCAGGTTTGAGTTCTATCTACAGCGAAGGAAGTTCAAGAGTCCGGGTCCTCTTCAACACATATTCTCCGCAATGTTCCAGGCTTGCAAACCGCATCTCAATCGAACCATCTCTCTCTTTCCACAATAATCTCCCTCCAAAACTGCTCTCTGCCTCCGCTATCGCCTTACCTAGCAAAAGCTACGGTAACTTTTTCCCAGTCCCACTTCCAGAAACGACTACTCAAGCGGCAAACCATAGTGGTGTCAATTTTTAATATCAACATCGTCTCTACCTTCTCCTATCTCCTCGACAACTCCATCTCCTCAAGTCCACATGGTGCCGCCACCAGCCATGTGCAGAGTTACCTACCTGGTACTGGAACTAGTATGCCTACTTGCATCCATTGGTCCTGCTATCAGCGCGCCATCACCAGGGACCGTCAGCTTCACCTTTGAAAAGCGCCGCGCGGGTTTGCAAGATGTCTCTGGCCTGTACCGGCGCCAGCCCAAGACCGTCACCGCCAGCCTGTCCAACTTGGATATACTCTACGTCATTAATGTGACCGTTGGCACCCCCGGCCAATCTTTGTCTCTACAGCTCGATACCGGCTCTTCCGACCTCTGGTTTCCATCCGCTCAAGCAGAAATCTGTCAACAACAGCTTACAAATTGCCCATATGGAACATACGACGCCTCTGAATCGTCAACTTACCTCAACCTCGACACAAATGTTCCAGCTTTCGGGATCCAGTATAGCGACGGTTCTCAGGTCTCAGGAGTCTACCTCTCCGATAACCTGAACATTGGCGAGACCCAGCTGACAAACGTAACCATGGCCGCCGCCACAACTCTAAACACAACGAGGGCCATCGGCGTCATGGGTGTTGGCTTTGCCTCAGGAGAATCAGCGGCTGAGGCTGATGATTTTACATATCCTACTGTCATTAATGTATTAAAGAACGAGGGCTTGATCAATGTCCTAGCATACTCCTTATGGCTAAACGACCCTGATGCCAATACCGGATCGATTCTTTTCGGCGGCGTGGATACAGAAAAGTATCATGGCGATCTTATCTCTTTACCTATCCAGCTCGACAGCCAAACTGGCATTATCGATTCCTTCACCGTGGCGTGGACTGGCTTGACTATTACCACAGGGGCCAAGATATCAGACCTTTCTCCGAGTGCCCCTCAACCGGCTATCCTTGATTCTGGTACCACCGACACTTTACTCCCAGATGACGTCGTAAATAACATTTTTAACGGTATAGGTGTCGTAACCGACCCACAGTACGGTAACGTCGTACCCTGCTCTATCGCCGGCGACAACCTAACTTTTGCCTTCCAATTTGGCGGTAAAGGTGGCCCGATGATCAATGCCAGCTTATCCAGATTCGTTACTACGCTCGTGACCACCGACGGCTCTCAGCCAACGTTTGCAAATGGAGAAGTAGCATGTTCATTCGCCATCGGGAGTGCCGGGGCCAATCCGATCATCTTTGGTGATTCATTCCTCCACAATGCCTATGTTGTGTACGATTTGGATAACCAACAGATCGGCCTTGCCCAGGCAATCTTGAATTCCAGCACGGACAAGACAAATGTCCAAGCATTCTCAGTCGGCGGTGGCATTCCAAACGTTGTGTCCACAGCCTCGATGGCGAGTGTCGCTCAAACCGTCGGAACCCAAACCTCCGAGACGGCCCCAACTAACGGCGCGACTAGCAGATCTGCAACTTTCCAATTGACTCCAATCACTACCGGCAGTGGCAGCAGCACTACGTCTACAGCGTCTGGCACAGCTCCTCCTGGCTCTAGCTCTGGCTCTAGCTCTAGCTCTGGCGTCAAAATTGGAATTGGTGTTGCCGTGCCAGTCGGTGTGATTCTCATTGCTGTGGTCCTGGGAATCTTCCTTATACGTCGCCGTCGCGGAGTGCGAAGCAAGGAACGGCAGAAGCAAGCGAGCCAGCGGGATGACGGGCATGCTGAGGAGGTTCAAGAAGGCCCGGAACATCTAGAGACTTACCATAGGAAGCCCGAACTCGAAGCGGAGCCTGTCATTGATCCCACAATCAGAGGACCCGTCAAAAGGAAATTCGAGTTGCGGAGTCAAGGGACAATGGAAACCAGAGCAATGGACGATTCCAGAGCACCAGATATGGTCGAGATACCAGATACCAACACGCCATGGAGCCATGAGCCCAGAGACCACATGCCCCAAGAACTGCCACCCAACCAAACGTCGGAAATTATGACAGGCAGTTTGACAGAGCAACGAATGAAGCAGCTAAAGCAGCAAGCTATGGATTCTAACACGTCAACCTCAACATCGACGGCGGTGCCATCGTCCTCTGACCGGTTACTCAACCAGAATTTATCAACTGAAGAATCCGAGCTAGCTGAAGAGGCCGATTTAATTGTTCAGGAATTGGGTCTTCTCAGCCTACGCAGAAGGGCGTTAATGACGCAAGCCAGCGCGGTAGGAAAAGTACCTGCAGACGTTGAAGGTCGGAAAGGAGAGGAGTACAGGGAATTGGTCGAGCGGGAGGCGAGGCTGAAGCGACGACTGGATGAAATCGAACATCAAAGACAAGGGTAATATGGACTGACCCTTCCTATTTCCGCCCTAGGATGGCGATAATTTTCTCCTCTGTCGCGGGCATCATTCGCGCGCAAAGCAGGATTTACATCAAAAGAAGTGACGTTAGACGTAAAACCCTCCGACCTCGCCAGTAGGCCTTTTCATTAACCTAGATCTGGGCGTTGTGAGCATGGAAAACATACTTCCTACTTAGTTACACCTTTGGGGAGCTATGTAGCGAAGTCGTCCCGCCTCGCCCTGTTCCATTCCATGGGCTACATTGCGCTTGGGCAAAAATAGTAAGCAGCAAGGGTGAAGTAAGTGGCGCCCAAGTGGCAAGGGAGTTGCTAGACCTGAATGTGAAGCTTGGTGACAAAGACGGCATAAATGCAACAGCGCCTCCGAGACTCGAGTGGATTTTTGGTCCCTGTAGGCGAGAGACACGGTTCAGGTGGGCTGAGGCTGAAAGCCTTCAAAGGGCCCGGCTGTGGTTGGTTTGCCCCTGCCTGACACCCGGCAAACAAGGTATGGCTGCGCCGTGGTCTTTGTTTTGAGGCGGGCTCAGGGCTGATCCGGATTTCTGACCTTTTCCTCAGTCCCAAGCGGTCAAAAATGGTGTCTCTCTCCTCTCGTGTCACCCTTCCTCTTCTTCGAAATAGAGAGTTTTGAGCGTCGACTCGCCGTGGAATGGGCTGAACAAACCCTACTCCCACGCACCTGTTTCCGGACGGATACGGATGGGATTTGTACTCCAACCAGATTGGGTCGAGCGCCGGCAATGAGGTTGAAGCCTCAGGCGTTCAATATCAGCCGGGGGCGCTGGTGATGGGACTTCTCGCAGCCCGTTTCCGCACAACAAGGCAAAGAGGGCGCGGACAGGTTGGAACGCCCATCCGGAGGCCCAAATCTGTGCGAACTCGAGGGTTGTCGAAGAAATTGGGCGTCGGTTTAAGCGCCCCCTCCCCGTCCTCGCAGCCTTGTCAACGCCACCAGACTCGCCGGACAATGATGGGCGTATCAGAGACAAATCTCGCTCGACACGACCCTAAGCAGTGCGTGCATCCGGCCCTAACCCGCTGCTGCCCTTGTTGGGCGGTGTATTTAGCCCTGCCTGACGCCCCGAGACTGTCGATGACGGAAGATACCAGAATCTCAGGGGGGCATCTACACCCCCAAGGTTCTGTATTAAGCCTGACGTTCTCGGTTTCATATGGGAACTTTCTTCCAATCGCTGGAATGGCCGCTCCATGTGGTTATAAGAATGGAGATTTCAGTAAGCTACCGACGACTTTCTTTGTCTGGAGCAGCGATTGAAAACCTGCCCGTCAGGTTCCCCCTGATTACTGATCATCTTCCCTTCCAGACTCCCCCGTTGCCTGTAGTTCGGGCTTTGGTTGTGTCGAATGGCAATTTCCTGGCGTGTTTGGTTGTACAGGTGGCGCCAGCACCATCCTGCCGACGACATGTGTCGAAGTGCAAGAGCAGAGTCCGACGCCCACGGTCGGAGTGATAGCCTGGTAGGTTGGCAGCCGGTTCTTGAGCGAGGCTGCCAGGCCTAACGAGAAGTTTGGCAGTCCTTCCGATGCTCCGTATTGTGCGACCATGTCCCTATATTGGAGCGACGACTTCTACATGTATTGGGAGTGCAATACACAGCCGGTCGACCCGATAACAATCCTGGCTACTCCGACCATCACAGGTCACGGAGAGGTATCGACACAATACCTCAACGCAGCCTTTTCGGCACCGGGCGCAGCGTCATCTCCTACCACGAGTCAGTCCGGGGACAGTGGTAGTAGCGGCGGGAATGGAGACACCAGCAATGGGAATGGATCCAACAGTAGCAACCTGGCCGCCATTATCGGCGCCATCGCGGGCGTCGTCGCCGCCATAGCTGCGGTTGGGCTGTGGTTCTGCACCAAACGTCATTTCCATATAACACGGCAGCATGATATTCAGCGGGATCAAGAAGGAGGACATGGTCGTGATCTGGCGGTGCGAACGAATACCGGCCTGGCCAATCTCACTGGGGAGATTGCGAGGCCGTTGAACGTTTACATCAATGAGCTTCATTATCACGACCATACGGGGAGGGGAGCAGCGCAGCTATCGCAGCTGAGGTTGAACGGTTGATTCCCTGGCGAACCTTCCTTGGTCGACGAATCCAATCACCTCTCTGGGCGATGTACCGATCTAAAATTTGGTAGCACAATACAAAGAGCGATCTTCTGTTGTTGGCTCTAGGGTGGTTCCGGCTGTCGAACTGGCCCGCTGTGGGCCTGGCATTGACCCAAGACGAAAGGACGGAGGCAGACTCGCACAGATGATTCGACGACCACAGTAACATAACTGTCGAAAGCAGTTGCCATATGTGATCCTCTTGTAAGCCTTGTAATAGAGAGTCAGTCTGATGAGAGTCAGAGTCCCGGCTACATTCGCAGGCTTGAGCTAGTTGATCGCCCACGCTGCGGCTGGGTATGTCGGCCTCTTCGGTTGGACTAAGCAGGATCGATCGAAGAGAAAGAAAAACTATGAGGTTGCAAACGCTGAAAAGATTTCTAGTGGTAGAAGTGTGTCTAGCACGCCAAGACCAAGGCTGTGCAATACTCCCTAGGTATCTAGGTAGTAATCTCTTCTCATTTGAGGGTTTCGAGAGTTGACGACTGCACACTTAGGGTGTCAAATATGGGAGGGAGTAATTTGTGCATACCTACGGAAAACCAGAGCGGGCGGGACTAATTAGTGCAGCAACCTAAGACATCAGTTGGGAGATGGACTCCACCGCAATACCCCCGTTATCGTTACTCCTGAACTCCGCACCCCACAAGATACCGAGTAGGGATTGAATTCAAGTATGATGATTGGCTGCTGAGACTTTGAGGGTCGGCATAGTCCACTATGTTACAGAATAATGTCGTGGAGTAAAGGACTCCATCCCCCAATACTTGTCCCCTTGATGAAGAGCACAACCTTCTCCTTCTCCAACACCGCACATTACTCATATTTGAAAATGCCGACTTTTAGCTGCCGCAGGTTGGGGGTCTGCGGGTCCGGCATGACAGAAACAAAACGATGGGTGGAGGAGGAGCTTTTGTATGAAGAATAAAAAAGAGACGGAGAGAACCAATTCAAGGCTAGGCTGGACCCGAGTCTTGTTGGTTCCTATTGTCTCCAGCTCCGTCCTGACATTAACATTGACATACATGGTCAGAGACAGCAGAAATACGCCGCGCCCAAATCCGCAATTCCTTCGCCAGAAGCACACGACGCCCAAGTGCTCTTGTAAACTCCACAGTGCTATGCCCAAAAGGTGTGTATAATTATTCGCCTCAGCCTTCTTCGCTTTGGCCTCTTTGCAGAGAAACTCCCCGATGATGAGCATCCTTGCTCTAGCTCTTGATGCTTCATCGCTCAAGGTCGGAGCCATGGACGCCAACAACTCATGGATTAGGTGCTTGTTTCCTCCACGTGTAATCATCAGAAAACGTTGCTTTTGAATCTCGCTTCCGCGATCAACATCTTCCCGGACCGGCGCCGGGACCAAGTCGACCACTTCATTGCGCCGTCATAGCTTCAGGCTCACCCATCGCACCGTCAGGAAGACCTCCCTGTTCTTGCTGAGCCATAGCTTGAGCGGAGACAATTTCCGCCAGCCGTTTGAGACGAGGTGTCTGGAGCCCTGTTTAACCTCGATGTTAGTCCAAACAATTGCTTCAAATAGGCTAGTAAGAGGTGGGTGGTTCGGGCAATACATACATGATGGAGTATACGTCTCCAGGGCGGTGATGACTCTCGGCTCAGCAATCTCATAGGGCCCGCTGTCTTCCATGTCTACGGGAGCTAGCAACAGCACATCGCTCTTCTCCGTAACTCTTGATGCGACAGCTTTCATGATTTCACCATTGATGGGCTGTTCATAATCGGCGACGAGATACTGATTGAGTAACTTCTGGATTTGATTTGGTGACAACATCCAGCAGATATCCTGGATGATTTCGATGTCATTGAGAGTTGCTTTCTTGAGCTGCAGCAGCTTGGTGGCCTGCATGAGATGCTCGAGTTGTAGAGTCCCCTCTGGCATGTCGTGAGACTTGCACCACTCTTCGATACGAGTGATGTTGTAGTTGATTTGCAGACCGCGTTTCCACGACAAGAAGTTGCGACGCATAAGCAGATCATTGAAGGCCGTCACGCCCACAAGCCGAAGGAGTTCAGTCACTGTTTGGGTGATGATGCTGTCTTCGAGATAGTACGCTTTCATGGCCTTGAAGACGTTATTCAGGAGGCTGAGGAGGTTGTCCATGCTATAGGCCGGAGTATTGTTCGAGGGGAGCAATTTGCCCAAAAAGCGGTTGCTCTCATTGGTGACGAAACCGGGCAGCGACTGCGATTCGATGATGGCGGGTACAATCATCTTGTGCAGCTTCTTCTTCAACACTTTCATCCAGGTATGATAGATGTTGAACTCAAGAGATTCCAGGTCGTGCTTGACAATCTCAAGCAACCGGTCGTACTCGTAATTGTCGGTCTTTTGCGCCTCATACCAGTCTTCGGCGAGGAAGACAAACGACAGCATCTCATGGACGTTGGACAACCAGAACGCCCCGGGGTTGATAGCTTCCTCGCCTTCGTGTTGCATGACTTCTTGCTGAATCGACTGCATGACATTGGCGAGGAAGCGCTCTGATTCCTTGACAAAGCCGTTGTTCCACATCTCGGACGTTACCAGATTGATAAGGTAAGACGGGAACAGAACCTCTTTGTCGGTCGGGGCAGGATTCGCGCCTGGTTGAGGGATCTTGATGCCTCGGATGAGACCCATGGTGACTTCGTCGTTGAGCTCTTCTTCCTGAGCAAGTAGGTTCTCGAGCTCCATCTCGACACTGTCCAGACCAGGGTTGAATGTGGAACCAGAGAGAGTCTTGGCATGAGAGTCGATCGCCATCGACACAGGACGGGCGCTGTATGCTGCACTGTATCTGTCGAGTTCGCTTCGTTCGGCAGCCCCTGCACTGCGCCGCTTGAGAGGCTTTTTGGAGGAAACGAGGTTGATAAGGCCATTCGCGAGCTGCGAGGTGCCATTGGCATATTCGCCGTTGACTCCGTTCGCAACGGGTGGAGGTGGCGCCCGTCGGGCAATCTCAAGCTGATCCTGCAGCTCGTTGATCTGTTGCCGCAGAGTGCCTTTCTCATTTTCGTGCGTGGATACTGATTGTCGCAAGCTCTCGAGCTCCGCATTCGAGACCTTCAATGACTCCCGAAGCTTCCGCTCCTCTTCTTGGAGTCTCTTCGCGTTGCCCAGATGTTCATCGTGGCTGGCTTGCAATTTGGCATGTTCTTCCTCCAAGGCAGCTAAGCGCGCTGCTACAATACCAGCCTGGTTTGCCTCACTCTGGAGCTCGCGCGACCGTGTCTCCAAAGCATTGTGTCTCGACCTCCAAGATTTCAGCTGATTCTCGTAATTTTCCAGTTGGGAAACCAACGACTTGTTCTCTCGCTTGAGCGCGCCAAGGGACTGCGTAAGCTCCACAACCTTGTTTTCGAGTTTGTAGGAGATCTGTTTGAGATCGCGAGCCTCTTCACGCATCTTCTTATAGTCGCGCCGGGCGACTCTGCCGCGCCATAAATTCTGTACAATGACGACCTTTCTGCGATACTGCCTCCAGGCACGCAATGCTCGCCATGAACGGAACGCTCTTTGGATGACGACCGCAGCGTTCCCAATGCGAGTCTCGAGTATATTTTTCCTGCAAAGATAACCCTTGGCGATGGATTCGAATAGAATGAGATCGTTCCTGATTCGAATGTATTCTTTGCGCGCTTTCTGTCCTCGCCATACTCTTTGAATGTCTGTCGCCGCCTTGGTCCGTCTTGTTTCCTCGGTCTTTCTTCGAGCCAAGAAGGCACGAGTAGCAGCCTGGAAATTGAGAATTGACTGTCGAGCATCGAGGTATTTGTGCCGGTAGTATTTTGCGCGCAAGTTCTTCTGGATCATGATGGCACATTCCTTCAACCGAGCTGAACGAAGGTTCTCCAAAAAGGCCAACATGCCTGCTCGGAAGAAAATTTTGGTAAGACCAAGTTGGTACTTGTCGGACTTTTCGTGGGCAAGCTTTCCCAAGGCTTTGACAAGAATGTTCTGCGCCATCGTACGGATCTCGGTTGTCCATTCATTTGAACGGCACAACATGTAGTACCTGAGAGCGAATTCTTCGTACGTCCATCGTGTAGGATAACCGGCCGTGCTGATGCGGACAGTTTCCAAAACACCACAGGCCCGCAGCTGACTTAACACCATAGGTCCTTCAAACTTCCACGATTCCTTTGCCTCGTTGGGTTTGATACACCGAATATAGTGTGCGTCGGTGGAGTTGATGGTTTGCATGAGTTCAATGAGAGAGCTCTTGAAAATGCCTCCCAGAGTCGGTTTGCGATTAACAGCGACACCAACTCGGCGTCCGCCTCCGGGGGCAACGGTCTTGGAGGATGTCTGCGCGGTGTCCTTTTCTCTCACCGCCGCAGCTACGTCCAGCACGTCAACCAAGAAGGCATTTGTAGACTTCTTAAGCACTTCCATCTGCTCATCCGGGACAGTGTCACGGTTTTTGTCGATGAACCCATCAGACTCGTAGGTAACATCCAGTGCATAATGACAAACTGTAAATGCCGACTTTCCGAATCTGGGCTTCTTGTAGAATTTCTGCTTGTCTGCAGCAAAATGATGATGCAGTTTGAGGACAAATTGGTCGTCCGAGCCCATAGGCAATCGAGATTCCTCGTCCAAGAGAGACAAAATACCGAGTTTCCCTTCGATGAGATCGATACACGGTTGATTGTCGGAAAAATCAATAAAAGTCCAGTCGATCTCTTCACGCATGTATTCTTCCTGTTCAAGTTTAAATACATGCTGATTGAATTCCTGCTGGAGCTTCTCGTTGGCATAATTGATGCAGAACTGTTCGAAGGAATTCTTTGCAAAATGTTCAAAGCCGTAAATATCAAGCACGCCGATGAAAGTATTCAGCCGTTGGAGGACATCATCAGTTGCAAGACCGTGATTGATGGTTTCCACCAGCCAGTCGAACAGGCTAGAGTAGATGAACTTGGCCACGGAATCACGCACGACGGTGGCCTGCTGCTGTGTGAGATTTGAGGTGATTTTCTCACCACGTGTGATGAGCTGCTTCTTGACCGTCCACTTGGCAAAATCGGTCGCATCAATGCCCAGTATACTGCAGGCCTGAACCAGCGAAGGCTCGCTGGCGGAGAGGGTCGAGTCTGAGCGAGAGGCGGTGATTTTGATATTTCCGATGTGCAGGAGAGCAGCAAGGACCCGGAAGATCTCCTTTTGAGTGGGCCCGGAAACGTTGATTGTGGTCAAGGATTTTCTCGTGGCTGCGAATTCGGCGGCATCGTCGACACCATCAATCATGGGCTCATTGCCTTGGTTCAGATAGTCGAACTGTTCCACGGGCAACAAGCCCAACTCTTGTTTCTCCTCCTCGGTCGCTCCGGCGACAAGTTGGTAGAAGATGTGGTAATTCCTCTCTTTCAATGGCTGAAAGACAAGTCGTGATCGTTCAAGCAAATATGTCCTTATCCGGGCACCAATGATGTCGGTGTTCTGATCAAACATGATTTCAATGTATTTTCCAAATCGTGAAGAGTTGTCATTTCTCGTCGTTTTTGCATTGCCAAAGGCTTCCATGACCGGATTAGTAGCCAGAATTTGCTCTTCCGTCTCGCTGATGGCATCTGCTCTGGTTTTTGTCCCCTTGCTAGTCTGCCCGGGCGCCCCTCGAGTTGCAAAATACCGCATGATGTATTTGGCACTGACCGTTTTCCCGGCACCCGACTCGCCAGAGACGACGACAGTCTGGTTCCGTGAGTCCCGCAACATATCTGTGTATGCTTCCTCGGCAATGGCAAACAGATGGGGTGCTTGTGATGCTCTTTGCTTGCCGGCGTACACCTGCACCATCTGAGGTACGTACAACGAGTCCACCCGTGCAAAAGGGTTGGTCGCTATCAGCACAATCCCGCTGTATGTGTAGATTTCTTTCTGCGCATATCGGAGCTTGATTGCCTGCAGGATCGCCGGCTCGTTCAGATGGGACAGGTTGGTCAAGTCTTCGGCCGCCTCGAACATGGGAGGGTTCATGAGCGGAGGTAAGGAAGCATTGTGAGTGTCGAGGAGGGCAGTCTCGGTGGTCTCGACTGTCTGCTTGGACTCATCTGAGAGGCTGAAGATGAGGGCGATCTTCCCGTCACCCAGGTCTTTTCTCTCTGCAAGCTCACCGGGAATGAAGCCCTCGGACTGGTTGGGGAACCAAGCCCGAGTGCCAACCTCCCAGCTCGCCATCGTGGGCGGTTGCTGATGGACGTATGGATAGGACTCTCAACTGCTGGAGATGAGGACAGCCATGTGTATTCGGAGACTGGGAGGAGAGTTGGGGGACGAAAGACGTGTTCAGAAACACACCACGGGGGAATCTGGCCCTCCCCCAGCGTGAAAAGGAGCGACGAGAATTAACGATGCGTGCAGTGTTCCGGGTGAGAGATGAGAGAGATGGGATCAAAGTTGGTGTGGATGAGATGTTAAACTGACCATCCAAAATAACGGTCTCTAGGGTTCGCAGGTGCGGCTGTGAATTCTTGGGGGGACTCTCACTTGACGTGCGAGGTGTCAGAAAGTTTCTCAGGGACTCGGGTCTTTCTAACGAGACGCGCTCCCCCATGCGTCCTAAGCACAAGCACCAACTACTAGCACCACTACAAGCCCGCAACAGAGCCAAAGGAACCCCAAACGGCCGTCGCCATCTGGCGCCTTTCCCCTTTGTCACAAGCGCGAGCTCCATCCCTCTCTGATTCCTCAGCCCCCCTGGGCCCTGGCACCAGCCTCTGGGTGCCTGGCATCCAACTGGCATCCACCTGGGCCCTTCAGAAATTGTCCGCGATGGGCTCAACAAAAAGTGGCCACCCCCTTTTTTTCACTAACATATCATCTGCATCCTCGAGGGTTGGTCCGAGACGCTTGTGGCAGCCTTCCTTGCGTCTTCCACGAGATCTTCCCCCGGATGGCCTAAAACCGGACATTACAGAGATCTTAGTTGCAGGGAGACGACGCCGAACTACCGACCAGACCTGAGATAGGATGCAGCCATGGTCTCTCGATGGCAATGAGATGGCCGCCAGATCAGATCCACTAGCTAACACTGTCAATAAGGATACGGCGAGACGGATACCTGTGTGTCTCTGGGCAGGTCAAGACCCTTTTCTCGTCAGAATGTGCCATTCATTACTGTGAAGTCGGCTCGCCACGTAGTACGGAGTACATGAACCAACTCGCCCTTTTTATTTTGTCGCCGATGTCGAAGTCACCTGCTTATAGAGACTATCGGTATCTAGACGTGGTATTGCTGGGATACTGGACTCGCATTGTCACTGACTAAAAGAAATCTGTTGCTCTTCTCTGTTGTGATGATACCCGTGAACGCCGTCTTCAGACTTTGGACCTTAAATTCATGTAGGGAGTGGTAGAAGGACGCCGCTGGACTTTGCTCGCCCGCTGTGCCCTTCGACCTATTATCGACGAATCGATCAACACAGCATCATCCTCAGAACGCCCATTATGCCTGGAGCGGGTCATTCCGGGACTCGATCCCAAATATTGGAACCGTATCCTTCCGATCCTGCTGCATGCAACAACATCACGTAGACCCGCTCGCCTGCTGCTCACAAAGCACATCTGCCCGGGTTGTAGATTCATCAGAGGATTGCCCGGCTCCATTTACTGATTCTTACACTCTGAGGTTTGTTGAGACCGAGGCTTCCCACCCTCTTCCTCGTCGTCTTCGTCAGACTCGGCTTCCTCCTCATCCTCGTCATCCTCGTCGTCTTCGTCCTCGAACTCGGCGTCTTCGGCATCCTCCTCGAATTCCTCATAGGCCAATGCCTCGCCAGTGAACCAGTCAATGGCACGAGGAATGAGTTTCTCTTTGATGTCCTCTCCCAGTTGATAATCAAGTTCGAGTCGTTCTTCGATGTCTTCAGCGAGGTCCTCTTCGTCTTCCGTCGGGGCAGCGGGCGGCGAGAAAAAGTTGAAGAAAGACTCGGTGGGTACAGTCTTCTTGATGACCCGGGTCTGCTTGGTGTCTGTAGTAGGTGTCAGCGATTAGCAACCACACAAACCAAGGTTGTGGCTTACTCTTATTTCTCTGCTTCTTGCTCTCCACACGGACAGTAAGATCCTTGCCCGCTTTCCAGTCGATGTTGTCGCCCTCGGCGTGGTCATAGATGAAGTCGCCTCCGTAGCCGCTCTCCTCTCGGTAGTAGTATGTTTTTGAAATGGTCTTGTTGGTGAAGAAATCGTTGGGGGCGAACTCGAAGATCAAGCGGAAACCTGGGCGATCGAGGTATTCCATGCGGATGTTGGTCAAGGACCGGAGGGCTTCTTCGTCTCGGTCCGTAATGAGTTCGGCCAGCGAGATCTGGTTCTTCATGGCAGAGAGCCAGAATTCCGGGATACCCTTCATGTCCTCTGCGGCTTTCTCCTCCTTGTCTGCATCTTCTTCGGGCTCTTCTTCCTCCTCGTCGGCTTTGCCAGCCTCAACCTCTTCATCGGTAGGTTCTACCTCGCCATTGACAATGGCAGCACGCTTTTCGTAAAGTGGAGTGAATTTGGCAAAGTATTTCTTCTCCAGCTGGAGGACTTCTTCTTGGAATTCTGACTCCAACTTGGCGTGGTCCTTCTGGATGCCCTTCAGTCCCGTAACCCGGCGGCGGACGGGAGCCGGCAAGGATTCGATGTATCCTGAAGATCGGCCGACGAGGGAACCGAGCTTTTGCTGCATCATGGAGACAAGCGCGGGGTTCTTTGCAAATATCGAGGCGGCGGCAACACGATCGAGATCCTCTGTAATAGGTTAACTTTCAAGACGGAGATGGCACGTTTTGCAGTTTCTCACCTTCAGCAATAGAGCTCACGTTAGGAGCAGTGGCGTGTGAGGAAATGGGCGCATTAGATGCAGGCGCTGGAGAACTGTGAGCGACATTCAACATCTAGCGAGAGGTCAAGACGTACTGTTCTGCGGCGTAGGCGCGGTCAGATTTCTAGCCTTGGGTATTTCGGCCATTTTGCTCTCTATTCAAAGGGTTCAATTTGAGGTTGAGTTTCGTGACTTGTTGAGGGAGAAATGCAAACGTTGAGTTGACGTTGGGCCTTTCAAAGCTTTTCGCCTTTTCAGCTAGCGGTTTCGTGGCTGTCCGAGAGACACTCCGAGAATGATTTCCAGGGAGGCTGGAAGAAGAGCGTTCCTTTGCTCCGGAGTGAATGAGGTTGGCAATAACAGAGAAAATAGAATGGAAGGATTGAAGATTTTTGGCCAGGCCGCGTCAAATGCACAGCAATAAATCAGTTTTGCCTCCGAGTCCCACGCTTTTGCTGGTGGGGGGAACCGTGCGAACTTAGCGCAGTGCCGCTGCGCCGTATCACCACTGACCAGTTGAGTGAGTGAAGGAGTGAGTGAGTGAGTGCCCCAAGGCCCGAGGTGTCACTGGCCTGCGGTGCCTACGCCAAAAAATACATAGTAGTCCAGCTATTCTACAAGGTACGTCTCAGGCAGAGGTTCGAGATGACTTTACAATGGTAAACCCCTTGTATATTTACATAAGTACATACAGCACCTTGTAACAATCATTCAGTCGTAGTTGTTGGCCTTTGTTTTGGGCACAAAATGATAGAGACAGTACCTAAGTACCTTGCTACTGGGCGCCTTTGAGTGTATCTCGTAGAAAAAGGGCTGCGGAAAACTTCTGCCCGCATCACGCATAACATCATACCTTCCAACTTGGCCCCCAATTCACATCCAGATCGATGTCATCTACCTGGTACTATTCCGCGTAGCTGCACCAAAACACCCATCATTCAAATGTCACATGCATTTTTCTGAGTAAAGCATGAGTTGAGACGCGAGGGAATATTGTGCCTGTGGCACTTCACACCATGGACAGCAGCTCGCATCCCGAGGGCGCACCTCGACGCCCCTCGAGGAGGAGCTCGAGTGCGGGAAGAATGCACAGAAGAGATTCGAATTTGAGCACTGCAAGCATAGTCAGCGATGTCGAGATGTCGACCACTGATGTCTTTTCCGGGCCCATATGTAAGTCCTTGATTCAGCGGATGACGCGTAATGGATGCGCTCTGACTTTGTTATCTAGCGGAATCAGTGCCTTCTTCCGTGACGGGGTTCGCATACCAAACCCCCCGAAGGCGAGCTGGGTCGATCAGTTCGTTCACATACTTTACAGAGCAAGACCAAGACTCGCCGCACGTCTTCTCGGACGAAGAGGCTGTTGAAAGCGACGAAGAGCACGGCCACATAGCTGCGGAGGACCGAGACTTGGAAGCTGGTCTTGAGCCTACCACATCCCACCGCAAGAGCTCAAGCAGATACCGAACGTCGGCCGACGAACCGCTCCTGTATAGGCACGATTCGACGCGGAGTGACACCCAGAGACACGAGGATGGCGGCAACTTCAGTCAAAAGCTATACATTGAGAATGAGGATCTGACAATGGCTATAGCTGGATTTACGACGTCCACTATCGGCTATTTGGCTTACCTGGCCATCTGTGTCTTCACAGCGGGTATCGGTTATCTCGTCTTTCGCTGGGTGCCTCGGTGGCGCATATCTCTCGTTGGATCTTCATCACCCCTCAGAAAATGCTCTTGGGTGGTCGTAGAGGTGAGCTATGGCCCAGAGCGACAGCGTCCCAAGAAGAAGGCTAAGAGATTTCAGAATCAATGGGGTGAATTTACGGTTCATTATGTGGCTTCCGAGGATTATGGGCATCCCATGTCATCCGTTTTCACACGCTCCGGCAAGGAAAAGCTCAATGGATATCGATACGACAATGACGCGGAGTTGCGGCGCCTACGGTATCTTGACTACAGGTACATGAGGCTCTTGTATTACCCAGTTGAAGATAAATTCGTCCTGAACAACGACTGGTGGGATCCACAATGGGTGTCAGTCAAAGCTCTCCGCGAGGGTCTTGACACTGAAGAAAGAGACCCGAGAGACCAAGTTTTTGGCAAGAATATGATTGAGATCCAACAGAAGACTATTCCGGAGTTACTCCTCGACGAGGTCTGCCGCTCCCAAACTCTGTCATTCCTTCAGCGCTGACTTTCGGGCAAGGCTTTTCATCCCTTTTACATCTTCCAGGTCGCCAGTCTTATCCTCTGGTCAATGGACGAGTATTACTACTACGCCGCGGCAATCTTTCTCATTTCTGTCTTCTCCATCACCACCACTGTTGTAGAGACTCGTTCGGTACGCGTTGTCATGTTCCCAGCTCGGGCTAATGGAAATACTGATGGCCTCACAGACAATGCGACGATTGAGGGAGATCTCGCGCTTTGAGTGCGATGTTCGCGTTCTCCGCAACGGCTTCTGTGAGTTTCTCTGTCCTCAGGATCAGGTCGGTACTGACTCGGGTGTAGGGCGTGCCGCGCTTTCAAGTGAACTTGTCCCTGGAGATGTATATGAGGTCTCTGATCCTTCTCTATCACAGCTTCCCTGTGACAGTCTTCTCCTCGCAGGCGATTGTATCATTAATGAAAGCATGCTTACCGGTAAGTTCCAAGGACAATTGCCCATCTCCAAGCTGACTGTGCAGGTGAATCTATTCCTGTTTCAAAAATCCCCATCACTGACGAAGCCCTGCCATACATTGATCTTGGTGCAACGTCAATCCATCCAAGTGTGGCTCGTCACTTCCTTTTCTGCGGCACGAAAATCATTCGTGCAAGGCGACCGCAAGATACCGAGGACGACGAGGCTGTTGCTCTTGCTATGGTGGTCCGTACTGGATTCAACACAACAAAAGGTGCTCTTGTACGATCCATGCTCTTCCCTAAGCCATCAGGCTTCAAGTTCTACCGTGACTCCTTCCGGTACATTTCGGTGATGGGTATCATCGCGGGGATCGGGTTCATTGCTTCATTCATCAATTTTGTTAAGCTCGGTCTCGCCTGGCATCTGATCATTGTCAGAGCATTGGATCTCATTACGATCGTGGTGCCTCCCGCTCTACCGGCCACTTTAACTATTGGAACGAACTTCGCCCTATCCCGACTCAGAAAGCAACAAATTTTCTGCATCAGTCCACAAAGAGTCAATGTCGCCGGAAAACTGGACGTAGTCTGTTTCGACAAGACTGGAACCTTGACCGAAGACGGCCTTGATGTTCTCGGCGTACGGCTTGTACAACATCCAGAGATACGCTTTGGGGACATTTTGGAAGAGGCGCGAGAGCTTCTTCCCCCAGCTTCCTACGATCGTGATCCGACGGTCGACTATCGAGTCAACAAAAACATGCTGTACACGATGGCTACTTGTCATTCCCTTCGGCTGGTCGAGGACGAATTGATCGGCGACCCACTTGATCTCAAGATGTTTCAATTTACCGAATGGTCGTTTGAAGAGGGTTCCCGTAGCACGAGCCACTTTATCGAACCTGGAACCCATCAAACAGCACCAAGCGTGGCACGTCCTCCACATGGTTTCGAGTATGATTTGGAAGATTCTCAGGACAATGAGAACCCGGTGCGCGTCGAACTGGGTATATTGCGCTCCTTCGAATTCGCCTCGCACCTAAGACGAGCCAGTGTCGTTGTGCGGCAGCACAGTGACCCAGGTGTCAATATCTACGTCAAAGGTGCACCGGAAGTCATGAAAGACATCTGCACTGCATCAAGTATTCCTGATGACTTTGACGACCTGCTGAACTACTACACCCATAAAGGTTTCCGAGTCATCGCCTGTGCTTCGAAATACATTTCGAGACTCAGCTGGGACGACGTTCAGAACATGGAACGTTCTGAAGCTGAATCACGTCTTTCGCTGATCGGCTTTATCATCTTCGAAAACAAGCTCAAGGAAATCACGACTGAAATCATTGAAGAACTGAACGAAGCGAAAATCCGTAATGTCATGTGCACGGGTGACAACATTCTCACTGCCATCAGCGTGGCGAGGGAGTGTGGCATCATTGATCGCAATGCACACTGTTTTGTGCCTCACTTCATTGAGGGTGACAAAATGGATGGCAAAGCACGTATCTGCTGGGAAAGTGTCGACAATCAAATCTATCAACTTGATGAACATACTTTGCTACCTGAGCCATTACCAGTCGAGGATGACAATGCAGCTCCATACGATGCAATCGCCATCGGCGACTATACCCTGGCAGTGACTGGCGATGCGTTCCGCTGGATCATCGATTTTGGATCCACAGAGGTATTGCAACGTATGCTCGTCAAAGGCGCAGTCTTCGCTCGAATGTCTCCAGATGAAAAGCACGAGCTTGTTGAGAAGCTACAGAGCATCGACTACTGCTGTGGGTTTTGTGGTGACGGTGCCAATGACTGCGGTGCGCTCAAGGCTGCAGACGTTGGCGTCTCACTGTCAGAAGCTGAGGCATCTGTCGCTGCGCCGTTCACCAGCCACATCTTTGACATTTCCTGCGTGCCCGCCCTGATCAAGGAAGGCCGTGCTGCTTTGGTAACCAGCTTCTGCTGCTTCAAGTACATGAGCTTGTACTCGGCCATTCAGTTCACGTCTGTCAGCTTCCTCTACGCGTCTGCATCGAACCTGGGAGATTTCCAGTTCCTCTTCATCGACCTTGCGTTGATCTTGCCGCTGGCGATCTTCATGGGCTGGACCGGTGCATATCCCGTCCTGAGCAAGAAGCGTCCTACCGCAAGCCTCGTATCACGAAAGGTCTTGACCCCGCTGCTGGGTCAAATTGTGCTTTCGGTCCTTGTTCAACTGGTCGCGTTCGAGACGGTCCAACAACAACCTTGGTACATACCACCGCGACTGAACAAGGAAAAGTCCAACGTCGACAACTCCCAAAACACGGCCCTCTTTCTGGTGTCGTGTTTCCAGTACACACTTTCTAGCGTCGTCCTCAGCGTCGGGCCGCCATTCCGACAATCCCTGGCGACGAACGTGCCCTTCTGCGTCACGATTGTGACGGCCCTGCTGATTTCCTTGTACATGCTCCTCGATCCGGCCAAGTGGCTGGCGGACTTCATGGACCTGACGGAGATGGCGGCGGACTATGAAGTTTTTCTGCTGGTCTTGGCCGTGGCTGGCTTTGCCATTGCTTATCTCGCGGAGCAGTATTTTTTCCCTCTGCTGGCGAAATACATTGGGCGGCTCAAAACGAGGCTGAGACCGGGACACCCGAAAAAGAGGAAACAGTACAAGCTCATTGCCGAAGATATCCACATAAATACCTAGGTATATAGAGGGGACTGTATGTATGTGTAGTAACAAAGCAGCGAAAGAAGGAAATTGCAATCAAAGGAAAAGTCTAGATTCTCCCTTGATCCGTATGCTGGACCTCTTTCCGTACGGAAGTCGTCTAGATACATTTATCCACGCTGCCCCAGCATCCCGCTGACTCGAGTGCTCTGCATACCGCGTACATACATCATCCTTTTTTTTCAAATCCAATTCGCAGACCTCTTTTCCTACAGAGGTAAGTAATATAGAAATGTAGGTCGTCACCCCAGGAGGAGATGGGGACCGTGTGAAATCCAAGAATTTAAGAGTTTTACCACAGACACAGAGAGCAAGGGGGTTTGCTGTTTTCATTTGAGCCTTCAAATCTCCTACAGAGGTGGCTATTGGGTCTGTCTTATGCACAAGAGCAAACTCCGGCAAACGCGGAAACCGGGTAATATGCTTTGATCTGTCCCCTCTTCCCAGGACCGATGCGCAGAGCGTGTGTGATCCTGGTGTCCCCTGCAATAAACGCCGGTCCATGCTTATCAGCCGCATATACAGTGTGTGTGGCTGTTTGCGTTTTGCGCTGTTCCCGGCTTCGACGATCGTTTTGACAGCTGATTGCCCTTTCGGCTTCATGGGGCTTCTTGTCTCGTTCTGTCCCGGTTTTACTTCAAGAACATTTTCTCTGCTTCTTTCATCTTCACGGTGAATCATCTCTTGGATCGATCATCCGCCCTATTCATATTTAATGGTCCCAAGGGTGCTTCAGTCCGAGTAACGCAGGCCCGTCTTGCTTCGCTCGGTAGAACAGCTACAACATCACCCATCAGTCAGCTCGCAGGGCACTTGCAGAAGCTCGGCGGTAGTCCTTCTTTTTTTGGCGACGACTCACAAAGAACCACATTGCTGCGCCTAATCCTGTTGCGCAGAACCTGTAAAACGGTCGTGCGGGATTGATTTGACGGACGGGGTGGTTGCCTTGCCAGACGGGTTTGGCCATCGTAGATATGGATACGGCTGCCGGAATTCGCAGGAGAAGCTGAAAAGGGGGCCCTGAAGAGGAAATAAGAGGCAGAGGACTTCCTCAAACGAGATGGGTAGATGATGGAGCTGTTCAAGGCTCTGTGAAGAAGCGAACAATGAAGATGCAAGTCGGGTGGAAGCAGTGCTAGCGCTGCGCTGGCAGTGTCCGTGGTTCACCGTTGGTTCTGACAGACATGTCATTTGAAAATTGGGCGGATTGCGTGCACCAGGAAATGGACTACCCGATCTTGTGGTATTAAAGAGATGCTACTGTTGTTCTCAACTCAGTGCACCTCGGCTCTCTAGGACAGCAGGATGGCAGATTTCATATCAACCTTCTGGAAGTTCCATAAGGTGGGACCAAGATCCTCGAGTATCTAGCAACAATACAAATGGATCTAGGAGTTACTGTACGATTGCGAGCACATGTGTGTCAAAGGATGTTCGAGCCGACAACGCATCCACTAAACCCTGTACAATTGTCTCGGTCCGCCACGGGTGTTTCAAAATACGATTGTACGGCTAGCAAAGGGCTCGAAAACGAGGTCGCGGATCACTATTGCGGACGTAGGCAGCCTCGTCGGCTATCTTAGGGGTGGTGGATAGTCGGTCAACGCATTCCATAAACGGGTGTTGCTTACTTGACGCCTTACTTCAGCTGACAAGGGTGGATATTCGATCCAATTGGGAACGAGGGCTTTGTGCGCGTGGTCGGTGCGCGTTCGGTCGCAGCCCGTACTCGTAAAGTAGTTGTAGGCGTAACAAACAAGGCGTCAAGGGCGCCTGGAGAGACTGTCGCTGCGTCGAAGTCTCAGCAGGAGAAGGCGGCGGGGACCCGAGGCGGACGAGCTCTCGCACACCCTCATTGTAAGGTGGTCTGTGGAGATTGAAGCTTGATAAAGAACCCGGTCTGTACAAGAAGACGTGGGAGGTATTTTTGGGCATGCACATCGTAGCGTCGAAAGAGCCGAAGAGAGGAGCCACCAGCGTTACCAACGGCCATTAGAGCCCATCAGAGCCCATCGGCGCCCATCACAAAACAAGAGTCATCATCGTCATCATAATCATCAAAGTGCCCAGCAAGCGTCCTGGTGAAAACGCAAAGGGTCCGAATTAGAGTTGGCCGTTGTCACAAAGGAAAATGACTCGGATCAATGGTTTGGTCCCCATCTGAATGCCTCAGGTATGCAATAGTAGTGGGCTGTTGAAGCCCTGAAGCTCCAGCTTCTCGGCCGATGTATGCATCCGCAAGCCGTGACTCGGGACCATTTCGTGCCCTTCGTTCTCCGAGCCGCCGAGTAGCTGCACCCAACAGGCCAGGAGCAGCCGAAGGGCTATAGGCGAATCGGTTCTGGGGGTGGCAAAGGCTCTGGATGCTGCTTGGACGGCGCTTTGGACGGTGCATGGACGGTGCATGGACACTGTGCACAAGAGGAGAATAAGGTGATTGATGCAGGACACCAGGGACGCCAGGACGCTATGGGGAGCCAGGGCGCAGGCCGCAGGTTGCAAGCTTGTAAGGTTCAAGTTAATACCAGACGGCAATGCCGCAGTTGGCATGAGTGGCAGGATGATATCAGCGATTCCCAGCGATTCCTCTTGCAGCTCAATCAGATTTGTCCTTTGATGCGATCACCGCCGTCACCCACGGTCATCGTTTTCTCTAAACACCCCCTGCATTTCCCGTCCCCTGGGGCCCTGGGGCATTTTGGACATTCGTTCCGGCCAGCCCGTTCGGATGCTATTACTTGCTAAGATAATTTTATCATGGCCAACAAAAGGGTCCCTTGAGCAAATGGCTTCTCTTGAAATCTGTCGGCACGCCTAATATCACAACATCTTGTCCTGCGGTGTAGAGCCTGTCTAACTGCAACTTCATTCCATTCCTCCTATTATAATGAATTATTGATATCCGAACATCCCTGGTCCCTCTGTTAGAACCTGTCCAAGTCGCTACACACCTAGAAGTCCTCGTCATTTGGACCCTGTCCTCGGATCTCCAAGTCCTCGTTTACAGACTGACTACCGAGTATTTCTCGACTACTTCCCACCAACCCTCGACCCCGAGATGAGCAACCTCTACAGAACCCTGACCGGTCAATCGCAAAAGTCGGATCATTCTGTTGGCACACATGCACATCCGACCTTGACGAGAACAACCACCGCAGACCCTCTAACCGGCACCCTCAATCATTTAAACCCTATTCAAGAACAAAAGCTCCACGAGTTCAAGCAGCGCCTGCAAGAGGGGGGATGGTGGTCGCCCGATGGGGTCAATGGAAAGCCTACCCACGATGACGGAACTCTACTGTACGATCCCATTATCATTCATGTGCAACCGACGTGTTGGGCCCCCACTGACTTGTGCATCATTACAGCCGATACCTGCGCGCCCGGAAGTTCGACGTCCAAGGTGCAATCGGACAGTTCACAGAGACGGAGCAATGGCTCAAAGAGCAGCGGGTAGATGAGCTTTACAATAACTTTGATATTGAGGCGTATGAGAAGGCACGGATAGTGGTAAGTCAATAACGTTGGTGGCAACGGCAGCAGTGAGATCTATGACAGATATCTAACCTTTGGTTTCAAAATCTCAGTATCCCCAATGGACCGGTCACCGGGATAAACGAGGCATTCCCATCTACGTCTACGTGATCAAGGGTCTTGACGGCAAAAGCGTGCAGAAATACCAGAAAGACTCGCAGGCCTACAAGGACAGTCTTCCGAACCACAAGAATCTCGCTACACCCGCCAAACTCCTTCCTCTGTTCGCACTATATCAGAATCTGCTCAACTTCGTCCTACCCTTCGTTTCTACGCTCGAGAGACCGAATCCTGAAGTCCCCGTCACCAACTCCACCAACATTGTCGATATTTCGGGTGTGGGATTGACGCAGTTCTGGAACTTGAAGGCGCACATGCAGGATGCCTCTATTTTGGCGACGGCACACTACCCCGAGACCCTGGACAGAATATTTGTGAGCAAAACACCGATGTGAGTTCTGCAGCCAAGAGGAGCTAACTGTGATCAGATAATTGGCGCCCCTGCATTCTTTCCTACTGTCTGGGGTTGGATCAAGCGTTGGTTCGATCCCGTAACCGTCTCCAAGATCTTCATCCTCAGCAAAAATGACGTGAAACCTACCTTGTCCAAGTTTATGGACACAAAAGACTTTCCCAAACGTTACGGTGGTGATCTCAACTGGGATTGGGGTGATCTGCCACATCTGGACGACGAGACCCGTGCAGCTCTGGAGAGAGACGGGAACAAGGGCTGGGTAAGGGGACCCTGCCTTTGGCTCAACGGGCAGAGAGTACCCGTCGGATCTGAAAAGGGCAAACTCAGGCGGCCAAATGTAGACATTGAGACGATGAAACCAATTGTCTATGCTGCCGATTACACAGAATTCCCAGTCCACCCGGACAAAAAGGCATCTTCGGGTGGAAAAGCGCCTATGCCCAATGGAACCGCGTCGCCGCATCATCAAGCTGAAGAGACAGCCGTGGCAGCAACTGGAGGAGCTACAGCCGCAAATCTGATTGCAACTCAAACGAACTCAGACCAACAACCACAACCAGCACAGACAACAACACCGTCGACAGCTCCGCAATCACAATCCGAACCCACCTCACAACCGCTTCCTCATCCACCATCTCAACCCCAACCCGGCCCTGTTCCCGCTCACTCCGTCGCCATGACGACCGCCATCGAACAGAAACTGGCTCAGGAGTCAATTTCCACCATCCCGCCCACCGCCAACGGCCATATGAACGGCCACACCACGGCTCCAGGAGAAGGAAACCCCGAAGTGCTTGTGGCGAGTGACACGAGTAAAGGGCTGGCAATTGAGGCTGAGAAATTGAAGATTTCAGAGGCGGGAAAGAGGGACGGGGAGAGCGAGAGGCCCGTCATGGAGAGATTTGTGACCGCCACGGAGGTGTAATACAACTCCAGCACGATCTCGAGTCTTCGTCGAACGATGAGGATTGGAAAGCTTCGACGGGTCCCAAGTCCATAGGCGATGCCATTGGGTTGTGATCTGACTGAGCACACTAGATTCCAATACCTGGAAGCGGTTTCACAACTATTGCCTTGGGGGCATCATGGAACCCTGGTCTGCATTTGCGAGGGAGCGGCGTGGGTTTGCTTCATCTGTCCTTGTCATTGCGTTTTCGGATGTTTCTGGAGCTAGGTCGGTCATGCGATTGGGATGTCAATTGCCGTACGGAAAAAATACCCCTACAGAGTGAATAAATATATAATGACAACCTCGGACGGACGTGGTTGTTGGGTCGTGCGTGTTACAAGATCTGTGCTTTGTAGTTGGTGCTATCTACCGAGTATGTATGGATCCTTTACTGCGTACAAGAAGATAGCCGAAAAGCCACTTTTTAAATCTTCCGAGACACAACGAAGCATCCCATGTCATTCATTGTCAATCTTGTTCCGACTCCCGGTGTTCTTGCACATTCACATCATTCCGGTCGCCGAATTTCAATGTCTTCCAAGATTCCCTGCAGCAATTTTTTGATCTGGTCGGGAGGAGTCCGATGCTGGTTCCCATCGGGCATTGGTAACATGGTGCTCGAGGTCTTGGTGTCGTTTTATCGTGTCATTTATGCGGCAATGCCAATGACCCCGCAAGCAGGTCGAGGACCCGCGTTGCCAGTTTTCTTGCTCTCTTCATTCCCGCCCTTGCCGAGGTCATCGGTGCCCGCGTGGACGACGATGGTTCGCTGTCATACCATATTAGTCTCCTGGTCAAAAGCTCGCCAATGGTGTGCACAGGCTGCTTAATGATGGATGCACGTACGCCGAGAACGCTGTGCTCGCCAATCAGCTTGACGAAGCTGTCGCTGACGCTGCCCTTGGCGTTGCCCTGAGCATCAGTCTTGACGTTACCCAAATCACCAACGTGTCGTTCCTGGTCAGTTGGGCCGCCGTGGGTTTTGCCGTGTGGGTTGTCTGGGAAGCACATTCGACATCAGTATACCAATTCTTTGTTTTCAATCTTCCTCTTGGAGGGTCCTGGACCGCCATAGCATGGGGAACGTACAGTGAGGACCAGCGCTGGTGCAGCCGTTGGTGTTGTCACCGAATTGGTGCACGTGCATGCCACGCTCAGCGTTGGGGTCGTGGCCCTGGATGTCCCAGGTGATGGTGGTGGGAGACGACTCGGAGGTCTGCTCGAAGGTCACCTGGCCGGTGATCTTGGAGTCTCCACGGATGACAGCAACTAAGAAGACAAGATGTCAGTCACGGTTGATTCAATGGCGAGATGGGATGAGCTGGGCCGACTGCAGTCTCCAGGGAGATGAGATGAGTGCTGTAGCCGGACTGATTGATGCTGACGGAACAGGAATCCAATGGTCGGGACAACCCGTCTAACCCAGATCCGGGGGTAAATGGGGGATTGACTGACCTGCTTTGACCATTTTGGCGGTTTAGATTGTGATAGTACAGAGAGAAGCTGGATGTTACAGAAGGGTACCAAAGTGAAGCAAAAGATGATGACGAGCTCTGTAGAGAAGACAATGGAAGCCGGAAAGAGTTTTCACGACGAAGAGGGAACCTGGGAAGTAATCAAGAAGCCGATGGTGGAGTTAAGGAAGAACGAACCCTCCGCCTCTCCTAGTAACTCCTAGTAACCTGCGGGACACAAATGTACGATGAAGCAATTGAACCCTCGCAAGCCTGGGAATGAGGGGCTTGCAATGATCGCATATCGCCATCGCCCGTGAGGGGCAGTCAGTGCCAAGACTGCCAGGGTTCAACTTCCAGGTTAGTAGTGCAATGCAGCTGCCAGCAACTTGAAGCTCGGTGCTTGCCTCTTTCGGCCGACACGGAGAAAACTACCCCCGTTCCGGAACAGCTAGCCACTTACATAAACGAGGGGCAGCGGAAATGCACAGTATCCGCCCATATACCGAGTATCATACCGAGTAACAGTCACCTACCACTAAAGGCTACCTGTACGAGGTACTAGTACCTGGATACTCAGAACTTTGTGACATGTGGTCCACGCTCCCAGGATGTATGTGGCATGACACTTGCAGATCCATCCATAAAATCACAAAGCAATACATCATTGCTGCTCACACCATCAACACAAAGGCAAAGTCCATTTGCCCCTCTATCTTCTGTATGGTGACTATCTAGCGAGCCGACGTCAGATATAAATGGTACAGTCTGACATATTCGTAGTTAACGATGAGGAGGCCGCCATGTAAGAAATAGTTGATCTATTTGGTGATGAGGGATTCCGCTGTGCTTAAGAGTAGATGCAATACCCCTTATAAGTGATACAAACCCTATAACTAATGGCTAATCACTTCCATTTTACTTCCTAGTCGTACGCTCTTCTCATCAGACCTTTGCCACTTATTTCTGACGACAAGTCATCTTGCTAATTTCGTTGAGAGCGTTAATAGTAAAGGTTTGCGGCTGAAAGACTACCTATGAAAGACGGCGAGACAGATATCGAGTATAGGTTGTAGGAAATGGAAGGTTATTGACGCGAGGAGGGCGGGGTATAGTTTCCCGACAACGACTTTACAAAACAATACATCATTGCTACTCATACCTTCAACACAGCCACTGGCAAAGTCGTTTGCCCTCTATCTTCTGTACGGCGACTATTCAGCTAACGTTGAAGTGTGGCCTCGCTTCACTCTCGCATCACAGGCCTCGAAATCTGTCACCTATTTGTAAGCGATGTCGATGCCTTCACTGGCTTGACTCGTTTTGAATGCCCCTCCGCTCTTCTTTATCTATATTATATCAATGCTCACGGTATCTTGCCACCTCTCGTAACCTAAAACGACCTCATACCCGTAAGTTTCATCTTCGCTGGGCTTCTCTTACCGCGACGAATTATCCGGCCATGGACAAACCGCCGAGCATGGCATCCGACGACAAGGACAAATCCAACCTCCCCAAATTCCTCCAGGCCATGGAGTCCATCTATGGACCTTTGCCACAAGCGACAGACCAGAATCTCTCCGAATGGGTACCTCCGCCGGCCGCCGAGGGCCATCGAGGCCGCTATCTCTGGACAGATGGGTTCGCCGTCGTCAACTTCCTGACCCTGTATCAGCTCACGAAGGAGGACCGCTACCTCACTTTTGCCCAGAACCTCATCACCACCGTCCACAACATCCTGGGGTACACGCGCAACGGCAAATCTCGCCTGCCTGGCGCGACGGACCAGCACCCGCTGAAAGGTGGCCTCCGGATCGGCAAACACGACGAATCCGGCGACGATGGCGATGGCCAATACTTCCACTATCTCACCGTGTGGATGTTCGCCCTCAACCGCATGAGCCTGGTGAGTGGCAACAGATGGTACAACGACCAAGCCATCTCCATGGCACAGGCTATCCTGCCTCACTTCATGTCCAACACCGAGTCGCACCGGCCCCGCATGTTCTGGAAACTCAGTACGGATCTCTCGCGGCCCCTCGTCCTGTCCGAGGGCAACCTCGACCCCGTTGACGGCTATGTCACGTACAAGCTCCTGCAATCCGCGAATCCAGACGATCCAGAGATCCTGAGCGAGGAGGTGTCTCTCTTCAAGAAGATCGTCGACAAGAAGCTCCGAGACTACGCCTCGGCGGACACATTGGACCTGGGAATGACGCTGTGGACGGCGCACTGGTCGACGCCCGAGGAGGAGTGGGCCAAAAACCTGACGTCCCGCGCCATCGGCTGCGTCAAACAGCTCCTGGAGAACGACTACTTTGACCAGCCCGTGACCCAACGCCTTGCGTTCCGCGAATTCGGGACCGCGCTCGGTATCAAGGCCACGCTCTCCAGCAGGACCGACGAGGAGGGACTGTGCCGCGAGGACGAACTTGTCGACGCCGAGATTCGCACTCTCCCCAGCCTGATCTGTAGCACCTGGGAAGAAGCGGGCCTGGTGCCCGTGCCGACCAAGAAGATGCAAGGGCGCATGGCCGAGCTGATGCCCATCACGGCCGTCATGTACGCGTCTGCGCTGATTCCCGGGCTGATGTGTAAACAATCATGAAACTTGAGGCCTGTTGCCGGTGTCGACGAGTTCTGGAGAGACTGGATGGCTAGGCTTGTGCATTATTAATGGTAATCCTAATACATTGTCCCTTGTGACAGTGCTCTTTGTTCATACACCCGACTACCCTCTATTGATCAAACCAAGGAGTCAAATACAACAAAAATGGCCGAGTACCGAGACAACCCGAAGATACCGCGAAACCACCCTCCCACCCCTTTCCCTCTTCGCCTGTTTGTCCAATCCAAATAGTATCCACAAAAGAAAAGTTCAGCACCCTTACATTCTCCTGCGGCTCCAGCGTTCCTTACAATTGCATCGCCCTCACTACTCCGTACCCGCCGAGGACAGAGAAAGCGACTGGCACACAAATCCTGCTCATCCAGAGCTTCAACCCTAGACTAATCCTCCAGCTGACAACCTTCTCCATCTTGCCCCGGTCGTTGGTTCTCGGGACGCCGGCCTCAGGCTCCTTCTTGCTCAAGAACTCACATACCGGAGCCCAGCCCATGCCGGGTTCCCAAAGAAGGACCTCCCTACCTTTCTCCTGACACAGCTTCACCACCCATGCATTGTGCTTGTCGTACACATCTTTACTCCAGAAGTTGTCGGCGCCAAACTTCTCCCTGCAGAACCGTTGCCACTCGATCTCGCATTGATAGTGCCAGTAATCCGGGACGCTCCAGAAGCAAGCCACTCGATATTGCCAGCTCATGAATGGGGCGATGGTTGATTTCATGCTGGCTTCCCAGTCGTCTGCACCGCCCTTGCGGATGTTGAGGACCACTTTGGCGTCGGGATACATCTCAATCAGGTCTTCGATGAACAAATGACCGGGGAAATCTGCAGTTGCAGCGCACCCAGCGAAGAGCTTGTAGAGGATAGCCCGACGTTTTTGGGTGTCTTTTTCGCGGAGGGCGTCATAGAGAAGGCGCATGTTTGCGGGTGAAGAAAGGCAGCGGTTCATGTGCATGGTCGGTCCGACGTTGAGGAGGGTTTTGTTCTCGAGCATTTCTTTCAGGGTGGTGGTCGCGCAGCGAGGAAGGCCGGCACCAATGACCTGCATGGGTCCGCTGAAGGTAGTGGGAATCTGGGGCTTGGGTGCTGAGGGCGCCATGGTGCTTGACACGGCCTGGTGTACGGCTGCGGTGGAAACTTGCTTTGCCCAAGGCAGAGAGGTACGATAACTCTGTTGATGGAAATGGAACGACGAGGTTGATCAAGTTAACGCTTCTTCTGCTGTACAGCTCATGAGAGGCCTGGGATTTCTGGAGGATAGACTGAGTCGGTTAAGACATGGGGTATTTATATCAGCTCAACTTGCCCTCAGCGTCTTGAACTGAAGGGGATTACAGTGCCCTTTTCCCCCTTGGTCCCCTTGCAGCGCCGCTTCCAAACCACAAGGACTGGTAAACATATTGCCAAGCCAGGAATTGCTCCGCATTCGCTAGACTTGTTGGACAACCCCATTCAGCAAGGAGAGGGGGTTATCGAGTGTAAGACAGTGGAAGTGGCTGCCTGATGCTGATTCTGTTGTCCCCTGAGGACGCCACCATTGTCTGGTCGATGGCATGCAAAAGATTTTGGGTTGAGCCGGTTCTCGGTGCCCCGTAGTCCTCCAGCCGTTTACCTAGTCAATAATGGTGCGCTAACATACCTAGCGAGGTAGGTATGACCGACGAGGGATGTGCCGTGGGCCCGATAGGACAGCAACAAACAAATTTGACCGCATGCAGCCACGACTCCCACGGGATCGTTGCAAATGGGAGTCGAAAGCAGAGGATTCGGTGTTGTTCTAACCTCAATTGTTGGTGAATGACCCGTACCCTTCGTAGTGTGAAGAGCCAAACCCCGTTTGTTGGGACAAAGCGAGATTGAAGATTTGACTCGTTGAAGCTCGCGCTCAACAGGCCTCCCGAGTATTGGTGGATTTAATTGCAATGTGCTTTAGCGAATATTTTCAGCCCATCAGCAACATGGTGCGGGTTTCACAGCCGCTCTTTTCAGTGGCCGGCTGTCGGAAGACTCGAAGCTGTCTACCCTCCCACAGAGGTCATGGCGTCCCCTGACAGGGCATGGCAAAGCTGGAGAGCATGTGCTGGAAGCGTCTGAGAGGAGATCGAGGCGTATGCGGCTGAGACACTTGACGAACTTAATGGAGCGACTCTTTCGATCGCATGGTGTGCTCGGCGTGGCGTCCCGATCGAGATGCAGAGACAGATACTCTGCCACAGTCTTAGCGGATTCGTAGCAAAATATACAGAGTTATGCTTCTTGTTCGCTGAGCCCTATTCCCTACCGCAAGGACCATGACATTGGATCAAGCTTTTTCGCTCTTCTCACAGGCCCTGGCATACCGGCGATGTAGGTTTCGACCTTGACATGGGGGGGATAGTAGGTAGAGACTTTCGCTTCGCATGGAATCTTAACGGCAGGGACGGCAGAGCATGGTAAGGGACCAGGCCCGGGTGGTCAATCCTTTCAATCTCTCACGCATGGGGCTGCCGATTAGCAAGCAGGCGTTTAGTGGACGGGGTTCGCGCTGGAGACCCAGCAAGGCAGATTAGTTTGAGAACTTGCTTCAACAGAGGTAGGTCGAGTGCTGCAAGTGCGGAGACGAGTAGATACTAGTGCCCAGTACAAGCCCGTAGTAGTGGTTGTAACAAAGATGGTCGGATGTCGGTCCTCAGCCACCGGCCACCGGCCAACGGCCAAGCCCTTGGCATTCCCCAGGAGGCGCCGAGCCGACAGCCTACTAGGTACTACCAGGTAGGTAGGTAATGCCTGCGGTGATAAAGAACGAGACGCCATCTCTCTAGAACACTAGGTATGCCCGAGTACTCCATCCTCCGTACCCAGACATCAAATCTAATCTCCTGCTAGGATCCAGCCGCACGACCAGAGCCCCATGATCCTATCGACACTATTACTGTTTACGAACACGGCCGTCAGACTGAGTCCCTGAATCGGGGCATTCTGTCAGCAATATCGAGTACACGGCATCTAGGGGGGGTCCATAACATTTCCCAAAGAGTAGAAGAATGACCACGAGGGATCAGAAAGAGGTTCTTCAGCAACCAAGTACCTAGTGGTGCATACAGTGCCCATGTGCCCTTCTGTTCCTCCATAGTTACTGGCAGTTTCCTGGCCGCCCACTTTGGCCCACGTTAAAAACATCCCGTTCGCCCTTGGAAGCTATGGAAACCCAATACAACCAATTGTTCTATCATCCCTTGTCCAGTCCGTTCAGATTGCCAGCTTCCTTCGCCCCTGTCCCAAGGCCATTGCAAAGTGGTGGCGCGTGCTCATGGCCCGGCCTTTGTCCAACGCCATTTCCAGCCAAAGATGAAACCCAGAGTCATGTCAGCCTCCTAAAGATACCAAAAAACTTGACCACCACATTCACCACGAGTGCAGCTGCCGCCAGCACCACGTAAATCTGGCCAATTTCCATCCAGTTGGTGAGTGTCATTTCTGTTTCAATGAAGCCATCCTCGGACACTCCGTGCTTAGCATCTGCGGATTCGGCGTCCGATGGGAAGCGCCCGGTGTTGTACCATTCCTCCAGTATCTCATCCTTCTCTCGCCAGCGTTCGAGTAGCCAAAGCTCAAACTCTTTGGCATCAGAAAGAGGAATCGAAGACATTGCGAACCGACGCCAGTACATATTGACACTTTTCGGTGGCCGACCTTGCAAATATGTCGACCGAATTGTGAAAATATCTGGGGCAAAACCCCCTTTTCTGTGACCATGTCAGCTTTTCTACTGTCACACAGGCGGGGAGAGCCATGCACTGACGGTGAGCCTTCGTAAGCAATTGTGCAGTCGTAGACCCATTCGATGGTGCCTTGCAATTCCTGGAGACAGAACAAAAGACCAGTGCTCCGTGGCAGAAGCTGGTGCTTCATGTCAGGTATACCTTGCTTTTCAGCCCACTTTGCACTTCCCTTCTTCGTATTTTGAGAAAGATTGGTGCCTTCTGGAAAAATCAACAGCCACATGGGATCCAGTCCATCCGAGCCAGACATGGGGCCGCTGTGTCGGGTCTTGAGCTTTTGGAGCCGGTGCTTCAGGCGAGGCTTGTCCGAAATCCATTTGCGTGCCATGAAAATGAATCCGTAGAACATCATGCCAGGACCTAAGACAGGCACGTACTTCAAGGACTCTTTAAGAATGATGAAGATGTGCCCATGCATCCGACTAGTGTAGGCAATCCACCAGAGGTACAACCACTCGGTGTATACTTGATGATTGGCAATATACACCAGCCGTTCAGGGAATGCCGTCTCAAGCCTCCCAGCCGACGTTTTGCGGAATTGCCCTCGGAGATCTTTATCCCAACTCACGCGCACTTTGGTCGGGGCGAACCATCGTGTCCCTGCAATTACCATGATAGCAAACGATTGTTTTGTCAACGCCATGTATGCATAATAATAGTCTTTGTTTAACCAATAGAGCGGTGCCCCAAGAAATTGAGTGACATTGATGCAGACTGCACCACAATTGAACCAGGCCAGTAGCAGCAGTGCACGAAGTACTTGGCTCAGGACACTGTATTTGACTTCACCCGCTGGATGCGGTTTCTCACTGGCAGGAACGCTGCCATTGGGTAGACCAAGGCTCGACTCGACCGCGGGTGAGGATTGAGGAATGCGCTTTCGGAGGGAATGGTCTTCGGTCGCCATGGTCCGCCTGTGAGCAGGGAATGGACACGCAAGGCTGTGTTACGGCTATACTTCAACGACTGTTATTGAAGGGTTCGTCAGCATTGAGCAAAGCGAATGTGGACGATAGGCAACGGAAGCGCCATCGACACTGGCAAACGGGCAGCGATAGAAATACCCAAGAATGACCTTAGGGAACGGGTAGATTCATAGAGACTAGGGATGATGAAGCGTGGACAATCAAGAAGTCGGAAGCTGGAATTTATGAGTTTTGTGTGAATTTTGTGTCAAACGACAGTTCATCCAACAGGCAGACATTATTGGCGCTGATGACTCTGTCCGAAGTACCTAATAAAGGTTACTGATATGCAAGTTTTGGAATAGGCTGGAGTAAGGATCAGGTGCGGTGGGCATCCGCACTCCAGGATATTACTGAATGGGGGTGGGATGCCTACAAGCAGCAAGCTTAAGGGCCACCGAGGAAGGGAAGGCCCCTATTGGGATGACATTATTAGTGCCTATTTCCGGGTCTAGCGAGCCTAAAGGAAAGCCAATTGCCCCGTGAATCCTTCGCCCGGCAGCCCGGCAGGGGCCACCCAAGGGCGGCACCCAGTGGGTGCAGGCGGTGACAGCCAGGCGGTGACTAAGCGGTGGCATCCTATCACGTGATATAAATTTGATCACGTGCTTGGCATAAAGGACTACGTCAAACAACAGAACCGCTCATCACCAGCTGCCACTGTCTCTCCATTCTGATATACAACCTTACTCATTTTTGTGCATTCTTCATCTGGCTGATTAATGCCAACGTGTGCAATGGCCAGGCCGCTCAGCCAGGAGCCGCTCATTCTCGTTCTCTGACTTCGTATGCTATTCTTCGCGTCCCAAGACCTCATCTCGCGCCAGCCACGACAGTCCATGGCAGGATCAGACCACCTAGTTTTCTCCTTCAAAGCATCATCTGACCACCAAGTCTCGGGTACAAATAGACCCTATCATGGCGACAATGTCCTCTGCCAAGAGCTGTCTTGGTATCCTACGCCTCCTGGCCAGAACAAGGATTGCGACCATTTCCGGTTTCAACGACCCATACCGATTGAGGATGGCTTTGAATCCTATGCTATCATCAGCAGGGCGCACCCGCGCCTCTCACTCAAGTCTCTCCCAAGCAAACAGTCGCTCACTGAATGATCTCCCATCTCAGAGCAGATTCCGTCTCAAAGAGACCCCGGCGAGGGAACTTCTCTGTCTTGAATGGTCTAAACCACCCAGGAATTTTTTGTTGATCAAAAAGGACTGCTCAGATGCAACAACAGAGGCTCTCCTGGACTTTGTCAGACATGTTTCATCGACTTATCCAGATGTGAATATCGTGGTCGAGCCCCGAATCTCCGCTGAGATTGGGCAAGAGCTCCTAGGACGGCACTTTACTCTGCCGGATTCCGATCACTCGCCCCTGCAATATCAAGACAAGGTCGATCTTGTCGTCACCTTTGGTGGTGATGGGACCATCTTGCACGCAGCATCTCTGTTCGCCACCTCCTCCCATGTCCCACCCGTCCTGTCCTTCAGCATGGGGACTCTCGGGTTTCTGAGTGAATGGAAATTTTCCGAATACAAGCGGGCCATTCGCGAAGTATATATGTCGGGTGCTGCTTCTGAGCGACATGCCGTCATTGAAAGTGAAGCGTCGAAGGAATTTGAAGGTTCAAATGATTACACGGGCTGGTCGTCTGTCCGTGGTAAATCGATGGGGCCTGGAAGAGGTGCGAGAGTTTTGGTTCGACAACGTCTGAGAGTTGGCGTCTTCGATGCAAACGGCAACCGCCTCAGCAGCAATGGGGGTTTCTCGGACGACATGTATGCAATGAACGAGGTCATTATACACAGAGGTCGAGACCCTCATCTTGCCATCGTCAATGTTTACGTGGGCGGCAGATTTCTAACCGAGGCAGTCGCCGATGGCATGATTGTTTCCACACCTACTGGGAGCACAGCATACAGCCTCAGCAGTGGCGGGAGCATCGTTCATCCCCTTGTTCCCTCGTTATTGCTGACGCCAATCTGTCCGCGGAGTCTGAGTTTTCGCCCTCTGGTTCTGCCATCCACCACCCCCGTCACATTGAAACTGAGTGACAAGAACAGAGGCCGAGAGGTCGATGTCAGTATTGATGGCATGAGACGTACACAAGGCATCGGTGTCGGCACAGAAGTTCGAGTCTCCGCCGAGGAGATTAAAACCGACGCAGGCGCCTTTACCAGCGGCATTCCCTGCATAATGCGAACCATCAGTGCAGGTGCCGATGGGGATGATGGCTGGGTGGGCGGCTTGAATGGCCTTTTGAAGTTCAACTATCCATTTGGAGAAGAAAAATAAGCCCAAACAACAGCACCGTGGCTTTGGTGATTCTATGTTGTCAATAGCGCATGAGTCCAGTCACTCACCTCCGTACGGTCTTCGCTGTTCTGGATTCGGAACACATGCGATAAGGCTGTAGTGAGCAAGGAAGGCCCAGCGACAATGCCCTGTCCTTGCTCCGCCGTGCCTAGGTCATCGAAACTTAGAGCTTTGCGTTGAGAAGTCAGCCGGAATAGCGAATGCAGCAGAAGAACTGGCTGGACCCAGTTGCTGTATAAGGTGCTGCGAAAGACTCAAGCTGCGCTTCGCAAGGCCACTTTCTCAAGCATGAGCGAGGAACTTCGACCAGTGGCCAGAACCGATCTGAGTTCGATCAAACGAGCTTGCGCTTCACCAGGGGTCTCCTCGGCAATGACTACTGGTGACGCTGACTGCCCTACTCAGTCAGCATTCCAGCGAATAGCCCCCAGCGACTCAACTTGTCAGGGATCACTCGGTTCGGGGAAGGTGACATGAGGCTATTGAGGCTGCTCTATTTCTCAATTCTGCCCAAACAAGAACCTAATTGCGCTGAAGAGTATATCATATATATCGATTGAAGGCCTAATTCCTCTGAGGCGTATGGCCGGTCGAAGATACGATGACCCCAGCAATACCTGGTGCAGACTCCCCTGGCCCTTGGTCAATCGATGGGAATGACAGAATTGATGGGACGTACCTTTGTTCTGGTGAGACCTTTATGCCGGAGTGCCTTGTTCTCGAGGACAATGGGCTGGCCGTCCACAATGGGCTGGCCCTCCACAATGGGCTGGCCCTCCACAATGGGCTGGCCCTCCACAATTGGCTCCATTAGAGCCTCGTAAAGACAAAGAGGTGGAACTTTGGCAAGAAAGAAGTTAACCTATGCGTGGGTGGATCGGACGAAGGTAGAGGGATCGAGGTGTGAGCCTTCGCGGCACAACCTTTGATGAAAGGGTTTTGGGTGCGCAACGGCGGTCTTCGAAGAGGATTCAGCCTTCTCGGTTTTCTGAACCAACCCAAAGTGAAGCGAAGCTGGCACGACGAAATTCTTCGCAGTTTTGGGTCTGGCAGCAAAGTCGAAACAAAGGGTTCTCCAGGACTGCCTCTGCCGATTCCACAACTGCTTCGACTACTTCGACTGCCTTGCCTTTCTCACAAACGCGCTTCGAGTTCCGATTTGGACTTGCATCTCCACAATACCACAACATCAACATCAGTCTTCACCATCCACAACAGAAAAGGTCTACCTGGCACGATCCTCTGCCCTTCCAATCACTCCAGATCCTTGGGCTCCTGCCATCGACTCCTCTGCTGAACCACAGCCTGCGAGACATATCGGTTGCTGAACAGTGTGTTCGCCTGCCCGCCGTCCCCTTCCTGTGGTCCAAGTCCCTGCTCCTCCAAATTCCTGTCTGCCGCACCATTCACGTAGTTGAGACTGCGAGGGAAGCTCTCGAACTTCAAAAGAGAAGCAAACATGGCATCCCAAGTCGCTCAATCACAACTCTTAAAGGCTCTCAGTCTCAACGCGCCGGGTATCATCGCCCCTGATCCAGATTCCATCCCTACCGCCCTGCCGAACCCTCCACCGCAGCAGCCTTTCCCTGATTATATTCTCGGCTATGACCCAACCGCAGATGTCAAATTCGTGACTGAGGCAATCCCGTCACAGCCTACAAATGGTCAGCATTCAGCTCATCCATTCCACATGCTCTCCGAGGCGAATTTGCATCCACTACTATTTCAAATGGAACCATATCCGAGCATTTTGAATGGCGTTGCCGTTCCCCTGCTTGTGAACGAGGCCACCAATCAAGTCGAACGAGGTAACAGAGGAAGACAACTCAGGTACTTCAGCCACTTGCCAAGGTGGATAGCGCACAATGTATCTGGAATGCTTATGGAGTTATGGCTTCGTCTCGACCCACGAGTTGATACGAGCGATATCATAGCGCGTCTCTACCTGCCGGCTGGCATGAAATCGCCACAAGCCAACACATTCAATATGCGGCGTCTAAGATTTAGGGAATGTATCCAGGCTCCGCTGTTCACCTCGAGCCGCCAGCACCCCACTGCCATGGAAGTCGACCTGATTTCCAAGAGGACTCGCGAGCAATTGTTGCTCAACACATGCATGGTGGTCGACCTCCAGAACAGTCGCCTTCTCGCGCCTGTTCTCAACAACAACAAAGCCATCGTTGGTTACGTCGACAGCGGACTCCCAATCGATTACTTCTTGCGCGGGCATCCTACGCCCGTACCCATTCCATCCGACCACCAGATGTTGGTCCTCGAGCTCCGCAAGCGGATGCAAACTCTGGCGCTTAGGCGCGGGCTCGGCAACGGTCCAGAGGACTATCGCCGAGTCCCAAAATCCCTGCATCCGGCTTGGTGGCATAAAGGCGCAAAGAGAGATGCGATCATTTCGGACGTCGACAACAAGACGCACGACGAATGGATCTTGGAGAAGTTGGAGGAATACCCCGGGGTGACAAGATCCGGTGTCCAGCGCGCCAGGGCGCTGATGCCCCAACATTTGAGCGTCCCTCAGCCCCAAGTCCAACTTCAACTGCCTTTGTCGCCTCCCGCCGGCCACTTGGCCCAGCAAAGTCCGCCTACACCCATGTCACCCATAGACCCGCGGTTTGCAGGCACTGGGGCTGCTGCGTTATTAGTGGCGCCCGTGTCGCCGGAGCATCTCACCAACGCGGAGGGTGGCACCTCCTACTATGTGGAGGCCATCCACCGGCGTGAATATGCGGCGGCAGAGGCTGCCCGCTCTTAGCTTGAATAAGTGCTGAGGGCGAGGCTCTCGAGGGCGACCACCTCAGCCCAAGGGGGCCAGGTGACGAGATGGAAGGAGTGTTTCCCGCGGCGTGCTTGAGGGAGGTAATGAGAGAGCGTGGAAAGAGGAGGGACTGGAATTCGCAAAATAAGTATATGACTTGGGATGCAGGACAAGAGGGAGCCCACTTTCTAATGAAGAAGAGATGTATTGGAATAGAAATAGATGTCTTTCCGCAAAATTCCGTCTGTCCTGTTGCATATGGTGATTGTGTAGAACCTGAACGGAGGAGGTGTATTCACGCCAAGCAATCCCTGAAAATGCAGCCTTGTCTCTTCACGTGACGTTCGTCTTGGAATCAACTCGAGTCTGTTGTGTACGCAGGAAGTATATACCTAGGCACCTACCTAGGTAGGTGTGTAAAGACGGATGTCGGCAATATTTGTGGAAACATCGACTCAGAGACAATCACTGGGCCTCCACGGGGACTCTGCGAACCAGGATGAACGTCGACCGGGAGAATCGTCGCCAAGGCAGCGACAACACAGAAAGACTCGACTACTACAAATTCAACTCGAGAGCAAGATCCTAGGTAGCCATCGGCGTCAAGGAAATAGATGTGAAATCCATCCGGCCGCGTTCATGGGAGTTGAAACGAGCAATACAATATGAGAAATCAAAACATGTTCAAAAACACATTTCACGTGGTGATCTCCTTTCCACAGTCCCCAGTGCCTTTCTGCTCTCTGCTACGTACGTAGGGTTCTAGTCCAAAAAGATCAGATCCCCATCGTTGTTACTGATGCGCTCGTCAAGACGGACCCAGTCCCTATTCCACCTGCCGTCGCCGGTACCCAGTTCCGCTTCCAGCACCCTGCCGTTTTCAATCAGCCGGACATTGCGGGCGCTGGCGCCGAAGTTGCCCCCTCGATGCCACGCGAAATGGCCGTGCGAGTTGGTCAGGCAGTCGTTCAGCGAGATGGAGGAGAGTTTGTGCTCGCCGTGGACGTTGGCGCACGAGGCGATCAGGTCGTAGTCCCTGTCCAGCGTGATGCTGGTGGCTGAGGCGGAGAAGTTGCCGCGCATTGGCACCGGAGCAGGTGGGCCGTGATGGCCTCCGTGACCTTGTTGTTGCTGCTGCTGTTGTTGATGTTGGTGATGTTGATGCAGCCCGTACGCGGCGGCGCCTGCGCCTGCCACCCCCGCAGCGGCCAAGCCGTATTTCTTCTTTTTCTTCTTCTCGTCATCAGAAGAGCCGCTGCTCGATGACGACGAGCTGGAAGAGGAGTCCCGGCGGAGACCCGCTGGGCGTTGGAGTTTCTTCTTCTCCTTGTTGTGCTTTTTGAGCGCGTCCTCAGCCAGGGAGCCGGCGATGGCGCCTCCTACAGCGCCGAGAAAGCCGTGGTGCACTTTATGGCCGCCGTAGGCGCCCAGTGCGCCTCCAGCGACTGCGCCCATGAGGCCGCGATCCTGAGACGTCGGGTCATTGGGGTCAAGAGGCGCATCCGCACCGGGTTGCGGAGGGTAAGCCGCACCCATGTGAGATGGTGGCGGGCCTGGCGGCGGCGTGAAAGTCTCATACTGGCTCTGGACGGCAGGCGGGTGAGGGGAGTAGCCATCACGTTGAGTCTGATCGCCGTAGCCATACTCAGGGGGTTGAGTGGGGTAGTTGGATTGGCCATAAGAGTGGTCGGGTGGAGGGGAGGTATATTGATTTGACTGATCATATTGGTGTGATTGATGGGAATATTGGTCGTTCGGGTCTTGATAACCTCCGTGGGGGTGACTGTAGGGCTGCTGATAGTCCTGCGGTGGCGGCGGAGACGTGTAGTCATATGGTCTATTCTGGTCATAGCCTTGGTTGTACGACTGGTCACCGTAGCCATGAGGAGCCCCAGATGGAGGTTGCCATTGTTGATAACCTTGTTCACTTGTGTTGCCGTAGCCGTGCTGCTCAGGAGGATATTGATTGTTATACCAGTCTTGATTGGACATTGTGTTCCAATTCGGCAATCCTCCGGCAACGGAGCTCCTCTGATCTTTTAACCTCTTGAGATTGTAGATGCGGTGGGAGGTGGATGAGGTCAATGTGAGGTGTCGAGGCGCTTGAGGATTCGGATACTTATAGACTTTCGGGCAGAAGACGGGGACGATACAAGCCAGTGAGGTGTGTACTCGGTAGTAGCAGGCAGCCTTGTTTTGATGGCAGCTGAAGCCCAGCTGGTGGCCTTACAGCGAGGTGGAGAGACAGTTCGGTTAGAATTAAGATTGTGGCTGGAGGCGACGACACAGCCACCCAAAGTGATAGAGACACAAACGGCCATTGGGCGACGAGAGGCTAACGGTCACGAGCACAGCCACACAGCCACTCCCAGCACAAGCTAATGGGGGACAGACCGGGAGATTGATGAGGCTAGGCTAGATTTGTATCAATGACAAAGTCTATGAGAATAACAGAAGTTCCTGAGATACCTTCCGGGATCAAGCATGTCGTCGTACTCATATATGGCATGAGGACTCTCCCATCTAGTGTCCGAGCAGATCCACCGAAGCACCATTGAGATAGCCTTGTGCAGAATGCTGGGTCTGCTGTTGTGGAGAGACTGATCGCTTTCATTGCTGGCTGGTAACATTCAGTTCACCTTGAGTACATCTTCATTGGGCGGAATGTCCGACATGCCTTCCCCCTTGCCTTGGTTGACCGCTTCATCTCCATCCCTTCGTGCACTAGGAACCACGTTGCCTACGTGCCCTAGCTGGGTTTCGACCTTGACGCCTCCTCTTAACGTTTGCAGAACCACGCAGTACCTCTCACTCAGCTCGACCAGCTTGTCCACCTTTGACTTGTGCTCTTCGTCGACATCGACCCGCACGATGAGCCTGATCTTGGTAAATCCCACTGGCACAGCATTGCCCTCGGGATCTTTGATACCCATTGTCCCGCGAAAGTCCAGGTCTCCTTCTGCTGTGATTGTTCCATTATTGATGGGAATCCCTAGACTCGTGGCCACGGCGCGAACGGTGACACCAAAGCAAGCCACCAATGATTCGAGCAGCATGTCCCCCGAGCACAACTCACCGCAAGCATCGAACCCTTCTCCACCTGCGGCTCGATGGAGCCCGGCCACTTTCCGCGCAGCTGTGCTCGTTGAAAGGGAGCATGTGAGGCTGGATGAGGTAGGGTCGAGAGTGCCGCTGGAGGACAGGGTAACGAGAGCGGAAGAAGGGTCAGATCGGTACTTGTCTTTTAGAGGCTTCTGCTTTGAACGGAGAGTCTCAGCTGCTCTAGTTGCTGCGTCGGACATGATGAGAGAAGAAGCGGACGGAAGGACGGATGTTGAGACCACGACTCAAACTTTTCGAGTTGGACAATTGCAGACCTGAAGAATTGGGCAAGCAATAAAGTAATGGGAATTGTCAGTCCTTGCCACAAAGTCTAGACAATGTAGCTTGAGCGAAGACAAGAACAATACCACAAGAGATAGAAACCAAACTGCGGTGTTTGAACGGTCGAGCAGAATGGATCCGTATGTAATAGTTTGCTCTGTTTACCCCTCATCCGACAATAGTGGAGGCTGTGAAGCTTCCATCAGACCGTCAGGGGGATACGCCAATGAAGCAGGTTGCCACTGATTGAGCCCCATCCTCTTCAAGACGGGCAGCGATCTGTTCCGAGACGTGTATGGTCGATGCCGAAATGGTCAACAAGATATCTCGAACAAGGTACCTAGGTAAATAGAAAAGGGCGTGTACTCGGTTCTGTTCCAGCGGCTGGAAAATACGAGGGTCTCTTATCGTCACGTGCTGATAAGGAGAGTGCGGTCCAAGTTCGCAGCTTCACTCCCTCCGAGAATTCTTCCTACTACTATAGCTTTGGGTCGAGATGCTAGTTATCAAGTCGAATCTTAGCCTCCTACCTCAACAAAGAGAAAGTCATACTCCCCTGACTAGACCTCGACACAGCTGACGGATCAATCAGGCACTCACCTGCTGCCATCTCATCTCTCCCGCGGCGACTTGACGTCATGTTCGTGGTCGGTCCAACGGTGCCCGAGTAGTCGGCATATTCCAGATCGAAAAGACACCCTCACCTGTGAGAATATCCATGGCAAGTCTCCGGAAATACAATCAAGTGCTCAGGCGCCCTCATCCTTTCGAACCTCCTTTACGCAAAACCGAGCGATGTCATAACCCCTTTTTCTACGAAGCAAGCAGTGGCCTCGGATGAGATGGGAACTGAAAGAGTTGCCAGAAATACCTACCTAGTGAAGACACATTGTCGGGCAAACGCTTACTAGGGTATAAACTAAGGACTCTACTCAACACTGGCTGCAAAGGACTGAGTTTTTCGCGACTGCAATACGAGAGCTTCAAAGGCTGCGATCGCCAAAGCAGCAGAGGATCCGAGGCACCATCAACACGATGCAACCAGAGACACACCCCCTCGCCAATCCGCTCTCACACAGTCAATCTATGACTTTATTGGGGGCGTTGTCCGTTCAATTGCCATCAGCGATCAAATGCATAATCCGATTCCCATCCTCCGCCCCCGCAAGCTAATAGGACCCCCGAAGTTCGTCCACAGACGGTGCGCCGATCCCCCTCCATCACCATATGGTCTTGGCATTCCTCCGCCCGTTGCGATGGCTGGGCCGGCCATGAGATGACGTCTAGAAAACCCAATCATGCCTCCTCCTGCGCTGGGTGTGGACGGTGTGGAGGAGAAGCCCCATCTCCACTCCGCGCAGACTGCCATTGCCACTGACGTCGATCCGCATCATTAGTGATGGCTTGTCCTTCTCGCAAGCACATCTCGCAATTGCTATGATGAAGCTGACCACGACTGTTAAGCCTTCACCCCGCGTCTGAGCAGGTGGCCCAAGCAGCGAGCCACCAACTACCCAGCGCCGAGAAGATACTAGGTAGGTTTCTTACCAATCAATTGCCGTGGCGTGAACGGAAAAACAGAGGGACTTCACGCGCATGAGATGGTGGAGCTACACCCTTGCAGCGCGAGGTAGTACCCCATTTGACGCCATTTCTGCGACTTTTTCTACAGGCCACTACATGCTAGTGTCCCGAACCACAGTAGTAGTGGGCTTGTCATCTGATGGTACACTCGGCCTTAAGAGCGCACATATTCAGAGGTAAGCGGTACGAACTCGATAAGTGTCTGAAGTCATATATAGAGGATCAAAGGTTTCGCGGGTTCCATCTAGAACCCTACTTGATCCCCCCTCTCTTAGCCTTGCGTCCCCATATGCTCTTTCAGCCTCATACTAGAAGCGAGATTTTTTGGACTCGGTCGCACCATGGACAATTTCCAAAAAGAAAAAGAACATCCCTTCCACATCCCTCACATGCGCAACCACGGCTCCTCGTCCTCGGAACCGGCCTCCGACGAGGTCACATTTGCCCACCGTGAACACGACCAAGAGCAAAATGTTCGGAGCATGGACCCAAACCCAAGCGCGCCCTATCCGTATCATCAGGAGCACGGCCCGCCCATCGACAACGCGCTCAAATACGACGAGGCCGAGGAAGACTACCAGCACCATAAGCACCTGCTGTGGAGTCGCATCAGACATCATCTGAGGGACCCCTTCGCCGAGTTTATGGGCACCTTCATCATGATTCTGTTCGGGGACGGAAGCGTGGCGCAGGTCACATTGAGTGCGAACCCAAAGTTGCCCCAGAGCAGTCAGAACAAGGGCGAGTATCAATCCATATCCTGGGGGTAAGTATTTTGCTTTTCTCTTTTTTCCACTTTCTACCTGTCCCTTCACTGCTAGCCCTTCTGGGTCCAGTCTCCATGTAAACAATGAAAAGCCCGCAATCCTTCAACAAACTCTCAGATATGCTGATTCCTTGCCTCGAACAGATGGGGTATCGGTGTCATGCTGGGCGTCTACGTCGCAGGCTGTGCCGGAGGCCATTTAAACCCGGCTATAACGTTTGTGAACTGCTTGTATCGCAAGTTTCCCTGGTACAAATTTCCGATCTATGCATGTGCGCAGGTCATGGGCTGCTTTTGCGGCGCGGCCGTAATCTACGGCAACTACAAATCCGCGATCGATGCGTACGAGGGTGGCGCTTCGATCCGCACCGTCCCAGGTTTCTCGGAACATGCCACCGCGGGCGTCTTCTGCACTTACCCACAGCCGTTCTTGACAAAGACAGGCCAGGTGTTCTCTGAAATCATCTCGAGCTCGGTCCTGGTATTTGTCATCTTTGCCTTGAAGGATGATGCGAATTTGGGAGCTGGCATTATGGTTCCCGTGGGGTTGTTCTTCTTGATCTTTGGTATTGGAGCGACTTTGGGTTGGGAGACCGGCTATGCTATTAATCTGGCTCGAGACTTTGGGCCCAGGTTGTTCACCTATTTTGTGGGCTATGGACATGAGGTGTGGAGTGCTGGAGGGTACTATTTCTGGGTACGTTTCACCCTTCGGCCTGCTTGTGGCAGATGACTGACAAGGAAAATCTCCAGGTTCCGATGATCTGCCCCTTCATTGGATGCACCTTCGGCGGCTTCTTGTACGACACGCTGATTTACACGGGCGAGTCGCCCATGAATACTCCTTGGATGGGTATCAAGCGTCTTGTCCATCCAACGCGCAAGGGGATAAAGGAAGCGATTACCGGCAAGCCTGCGAAGGAGGTTTGATGGCGGCTGGCATCTTTCCCAAGCGAAGATGGAGATTGTTCTCGGCTTTAGCGGGCTGACATGTATTATCAATGTTTTATCAAGACCCAGGGTGGTGTGAATTCGGCGACCTGTACTGATTTTTTCGACGGAGGTTTCCCATTGAGGCCCTCGAAAAGTTGCCTTGATACGTTTTGGCGGTAGTCCGCCAGGTAAAAATGACGATCCGTATGCCTTCGAGGGGCTGATCATCACGTCCTCTGCTTCTTCTTCTGTGGCCCATCGTCTTCTTCCTCGTCACTTAATTCCGCATAAATGGTCTTGGGCTGCGTGGTCTTCCATGCCTTGGTGAACATGGGATCCTTCTCTGCCTTGTCGGCATATTTCAGAAGCGCCGCTCTCGGGTCTTCTTCTCTCATCGTGCTCAGTGGGATCCGCTCCTTGATATGCCGCTCGTCAGGCTGGCTCTTCGCAAACGGCGTGGTGGCCGGGATGTGCGGTCTCCTCGGGTCACGCGACTTGCCCGATGCGGTGAGTCCGATGGTCGGGTGTCTCGAGGCGAAAGTGCTGCCCTGGATGGCTTCACTGGCGGTTCCCGGGTTGATGATCGCGTCGCTCGATATCCCCTGAGACATATCTGTGGTGAGCGTCGGGTCATCGTCGATGTGGCGGCGTTTGGGTGCCTTGGACATGACCATTACCGCGCCCTTTTTGGAGATTGTGGGACTGAAAAGCACGTGCGTCTCGCCGTTGGCACTTCCCGTGATGATTTGGTTCAATTTGTCGTGCCAGAGGATGCTGATCAGCGAGGATCCGGGGGTGACGGGAGTGACGAGTTCGGGTTTTAGGGTCGCGGGATTGAGAATGTAAAGATCTCCAGCCTCAGAACCGGTGACGATGGAGGACGAATTCGGAGCGAACAAGATGTTCGAGGTCGGGTATTGACTTGATGTCGAGGCGTGAGTTGCAGTATTGACGGGCTGTTTGAATTTGCGGGTATCCCATAATTTGACAGTGTCGTCCCCGCCTCTTGTGACGACCAGTCGCCCATCAGCACTGATGTCGATGCCGCTTGTCCAAGAGTTGCTTGCATGAGCATGGGTGATTTCACCACTGGGTCTGTGGTAAGGCCCGTCTCCTCCCCACATAAGAAGAGCCCCGTCGAGCGCGGCGGCGACAAGAAGACTATTTCCACCTTCGACCTGACTCCCCCACGCGACAGCAGTCATTCGACTTCGCCCAGCTGAGCCCGCGAGCTTCGACTTGTGGACAATGACTTCTTTCTGTTTGTTCCGCACGTTCACGTCCCAGATGCGCAGGGTGCTGTCTGTGCCGGCGGTCACGCACAGGTCGTACTTGTGTGGGTGCCACGTGCCACAGGTGATTTCACTGATGTGGCCCTTGGTCATGTTCATGTCGCGGAGGTACATGTCGCCCTTGACGAACTCGGTCAGAGTTTCGCCGTCGCGGGACAAGATCCTGGCCTGAGGAGTGGCTGAGACCACCAGGACTTGGCTTGGTGAGTTTGGATTGAACTTGGCAGTATGCACCGGGTGAGTCTCAGATGCCGCCGAACCCTTTGTGAATGTAGGGTCGACGGATTTGAAGGCCCGTAAGGTGTTGGGCGTCATGGAAGCAAAATCGTACAGTTTGATCGTGCAGTCTGTCGAGCCCGTGATCATCCTAGAGCCAGACGGGTCCGACGAGATTGTGGTGACGGCACGATCGTGAGTTTTGAAGACGATCTCATGGGAAACGGGGTAGTCGTCCTCATCGTCGGAGTCATCATCATCAGAGTCGTCGTCCGACTCACTCTCTCCCTTCGAGCCGGGTGAAGCCTTGCCCTTGGGCTCAGGCAGGCCAGCTGCTTTCCTCCTCGCCGTCTCCATCTGTTCCTCGATGTCAAATTCGCCCCCTGATGCTCCGAATGAGGCAGGGAGATAGTCCTTGAGTGCATCCTCATCCATAACGCAGCTTTAAGAGGCAACTTTCTTTTCAAGCTGCAATAGATTTATCAAAAACACGATGCTGCTGCCTTGATACAGCCATGACAGAGTAAAATTCAGAGAAGGCGAAGTCGACTGCACTTTCGGCACATATGCTCCGAACTACACTCCACATTTTACACGGAGGAGCATAACTCTCCCATGGTGCACTTCGCTTGGCTGTCGCGTGCCTTTTGGCTCTTCACTTCACCTCCTTTTCGCTCTCTATCCATAGAATTGCGCATTCCAGTTGCAATCATCGCCTACGCAAAGCATAGAAGTAAAGCCACCGCACCCTCGGTCCCTGCGCAGAGTACACATCCCAAAGACAGTCGGAGATCTACCACCCAATCCGGCTCGTATGGAGTTGTCCTCGGCTCCAGCGGCGATCGTCCTCCAAGTAGTGGAGAAGTCCACTTTCAATCCACTATTCCATTCTGCTGAGGAGCTGTAGTCATTCGCGAGCACTGACATATTGTTTGCAATTGACGACCCCTTGACTTCTTGAATATCTATCCTTCAGTGCCCGAACACCATATCAAGTCCCAAAGATGGATGCCCATAATGCAGTCGTCCTCGAAGCCAGCAAGTTCCACCCAACGGCCATCTCAGAAGAGACCAAAGCGTTCAATCAGAAACTGATGGATATCATGGCACACGGGCCCAAATGGTACGAGGTGAGTTTCAAGCAAAAGAATATGCCTCGTGCCACCTCTGTTTCCTCCTGCTCTCTTCCAAAATCCTCCTGGACCAATGCACGTACCAACCACGACAACTTCTTTCTGCACAACAGGTCGGCGCCAAACGCTATCGTGAAATGCGCGCCGCCGGGGAAACACCTCTTCCCAAAGCCGTCTATCTCGACACAGCGCAGGACTTCACCATTCCGAGCCGGGACGCTGGCCGCACCATTCCCTGTCGAATCCTCCGTCCTCAGAACGGAAAACCCATCAAATCGGTATTCTTCCACATCCACGGTGGCGGCTGGGTACTCCAAGACGAAAAGTCACAGGACCCAGCATTACAGGAAATCGCCGACACTACGGGCCTCTTGTGTATCTCTGTCGGCTACCGTCTGGCGCCCGAGGATCCATATCCTGCCGGACCCAACGACTGCTTCGATGCCGCGGAATGGTTGGTTGACAACGCCGAGTCCGCATTTGGAGCCCCTCTAGGTTTTGTGGGCGGAGAGTCTGCTGGTGGACATCTAAGCATGCTCGTCACTCTCCACCTCCTGCAACACGGCCAGTCAAAGTACTCGGACTTCCGCTTCAAGGGACTCCTACTACACTTCGGGTGTTACTCGATGGTGTGGACGCCGCATGTGTACAATTTTCAACGACCGCAGGTCTTGGTCTTGGATCGGGACCTGATGGACCACTACATCGATGTCTTTCTCCCCGGCATGACCCACGAGGAGAAGAGACATCCGTCAGTGTCTCCGCTGTACGCCGATTTGGAGCCGCTGAGGGGGAAGTTGCCGCCTGCCCTCTTCACGTGTGGGACGGAGGACTGTCTTCTGGACGACACGATGTTTATGAGTATGAAATGGTCGATGGCCGGTGGGGAGTCGGTGGTTAAGATCGTGCCGGGGGCGCCCCACGGGTACATCATGTTTCCCAAGAGCGTCAAGGGGAGTGGCGCCGAGGAGGGGATGAAGGCTGTTGAAGATTTCGTGCTGTCGAAGTTGGGTTAGACGGGGAACCGTCTCAACAAATTGAGTCATTTTATCCCACAGAGAGCTGAGACTCTTGATTTCAATCTTGCCTGGGAATTGCCTTGTTCTTTCATGCCCTTTCCTGCAGGCTTCAAAAGATCGGCCCTTCCATTGCACTAACTCATAGAATCTACTTTTACAGAATTGCACCCTTTTTTTTTGGATCTTGACAGGCGTTCCTTATTCAATCATGTCGATATCATCTCCAGCAGCGGGCTGAGCTTCTTGCGCCACTGGAACAGCATTGTCGGAGGCCTCCTCGTGGGGATTGGCATGGCCCCAGTAATCGTCCATTTCAGCATCGAGTTCTTCCGCGGTCTTTCGGGGCCTGCCGTTGACCAATTTGTGTCCCTCTCCGTCTCTACCAGTACGTTCCCTCCGTTCGCCTGGTCTGCGCCCTCCCCGGTGACTTGAACTTCGGCTGTCGCGTGAGCCCGGGACGTAGCGATCGATGTTCTCGGGGGCTGGTTTGGTGGTGTCGCTCCTTCGGTCTCTCGGACCTCCTCCCCGTCGTGGCGCGCGGCGATTTCTTCGCTCCTCGTCGAGTTCTTCCATCGGACTTTCACTTCGTCGTCGACTACGGCTCGCGGGCGGCTCGATCCTATCGAAAAGGCTTTTCGGATTCTCCACGCGGTCAAAAGGGTTGTCTCGTCTCGGAAGTGGAAGGAGGGTGAGATGGATTGGCTGTCCTTTTGCGTTGGCACCGTCGAATTCGCGGATGGCGGCCCTTGCATCAGCGACTCGGTCATATGTGACAAAAGCAATTCCTTCAGAGCGGCCAGCGCGGTCGTAGCGTAGTCGGGCTTCCTTTACAGGAGCAATGCGTCCGAAGAGGTCCTATAGCATGTTAAACCCATTAGATCTGGGGGAAGTTGATTTGCGTACCCATATATCTTCCTCTGTCAGATCGTAATGCAAGTTGTCAACTCTGAGCTTGGCCGGAGGAGGTTTTCTGACCGATCAGCCTAGTCCAATCGTTCTCGACGAATCGGCCTTACCTGTCGCGTTCTGGCGAGCGATCATCATCGCGACGGTAATTGCCTTCCCGTGGTCGATCGTAGCGGCGGCCTGCTTCCAACATCAATCGCTTTTCGCATTGTGTCCCTTTGTAAAGCTACATACTCTCTGGTTCGTCGTCGTACCGGTCGTGAACCCAGTCACTGCCAATGATTTAGTCCCGCCTTTTCACCGACCGTGCGTGGTTCGTACTTATCCAAGTTCGCGCGATCGTCTCTGGCAGACTGTAGAGGGGCAAGATCTAGGTTAGCTGTCTGTCAAACTGTGCCTGGCCTGAAGCGCGTCGAATCGTCGGAGCAACACATGGGAGGTGTTTCGAGATGATGCGGCGATCAATCGTACTGGCGGGACAGGCGGGTGCTAGAGGAGAGGAGAGGATGTTCGGACCTGTACGCATCAGAGTCAGGTCTTCCAAGGAAGCAAGAGAGTTGGGTGTAACGCTTACCTTTCTGACGCCATCGCGAGGATAGTTGTATTCTCTACGGCGCTGCTGCGGGGGAGGTGCTCTGCGAGAGCGGGTTTCTGCTCTCTAGGTGGTCATCAGCATAGAAGACAATGCTATGATGCAGGCATGGGACGGACCTGGCGTTCGGCGATGGTTTCATCGAGGCTACGATCCATGGCGGCAAGATGAGTCCGTCGACGAGAGTAAGCGAAGAAAAACCGAAGAAGGGAGAACGCGAAAAGACAATGTGGTCCGATGGATATATGATATGTTGCTTTACTGTGCTCGTTGCGCGTCGATACTGTTAGTGAATGGGTCTGGCAAAATTGAGACGCTGCAAAAGCCTCGCAGGGTGAGACTCGGACGGTGCGCATCAGCCACTGCATCCAAGCAAGCTCGTCCGGAGAATCATTTCACCGAGATACACAATCGGGACAGGCGTGATATTATTATTACCTAATTACCGAGTACTCGGTACAGTGATCCAGCTATTGACTACTAGACTCTAGTAGCCCCTTGGTGCCAGCCTTGCCGCGTGGGAACAAGTGGGTCATGGCGCGTCGTCATGTTTAGAGCTCAATTCTGCTCCGTAGGTATGTTTATCTACCTAGGTAGGTACTTGGAACCCGCTAATATCGGATGTAAATGGCAACTTCGATAGCATGTATGCTTGAAATGCGATCCTGGTGCTGTGGACACTTCTCCTGGCCGCCGGCAATCGCGCATATCGAGCGAGAAAGACTCTTATGAAGCCTAGGGCGATGTTTGACTTGTTACCCTACCATACAGAGCAGAGGAATGTTCTCCGCAATGGTTGTAATGAATCTACCGTCGACGGGAGCCGTACTACAGTCTCTCAGGGTCGAAAATTTCTTCGGAAAGGCCATGAATTACTGAAAGTGGTCTGTAGGCCCTTACTGCAATTTGTCCCAAGAAACAACAGATCGGCGCACCCACGAGTCAACGGTCCGGCAGCAGAAACAACAACAACGTGTGGGAGTCACTTAGCTATCGCATGCTAGACGCGACTTGTCTGCCCTCATCACTTTTTCCGAGCATTCTTAGCATCACGGTCTCTGCTGCGCCCACTGCAGCCACGAGGCTATTAGGGAGTCTAGCTCTCATCTCCCAATGTTGATATCGAAGCTGCAGTATCGCTTTGCATCGGTGGTCACGGTCTTGAGCGTGGTGGCTCTAGGCCTGCTCTGCGTCTCGAAGATCAATGTTTCCCTTAGACTTCGACTCGGCCACAAGTCCAGCCAGTTCAACGGGTCTAACAATCCCAATAGCCCCAGAGGATGGATCTATTCTGGACCCGTGGCGGAAGACAAGGCAGTGATCCTGGCAAAAGTCCACGGCGAAGATGTGAGCTGGGTCTTTGACTATCTTCAAGAGTATGTTACGCAGTATCGCGTATATGGCTTCGTCGACGCTGACGAGGATGCTCGTCCAGTTGGAAACAAGCCGTATACTACATGGACGAGCCAAGTGCAGGGGTGCTTCATCCACCCCTCAATAAAGGCAGAGAGGCTATGGCTTATCTAACATTCATTATCGATCACTACGACGTTCTTCCGTCCTACATGGTCTTCGTCCACCCACACCTGCAAGGCTGGCCTGCCGCATGGCATACGGATAGCCACGGTCACAATCAAATCACTTCTATCAGGTCGTTACGGCTGGACTACCTCGAGGACCACGGCTATGCCAACATGCGCTGCATTCTCGACCCGGGCTGTCCAGCAGAAATACAAGTGGACCGACAAGACGACCGCCGCACTGCGGAGCACGCTATGAGGGAGGCATGGCCATATATGTTTGGGGGGAACTATACGGACATACCTAAAGTCATCGCTCAACCCTGTTGTTCGCAATTTGCAATATCGAGAACGCAGGCTCTAAAGCGCAGCAAGGCAGACTACGAGAGATATCGTCAGTGGCTACTGGACACGCCACTAGATGATGATACAAGTGGACGGGTCTTCGAGTATCTCTGGCATGTCATCTTTGGACGGGAGCCGGTGCACTGTATCCCTTTACAACAATGCCGGTGTGAGCAATTTGGCCAATGCTAGTTGTCGGTAGCCCTTGACATACCTATCCTTACCTATCCTTACCTACCTAGGTACCTAGTGGCTACCATGCGTGCCATGGTGCCATGTTACCATGTTGCCCTGGTGCCTTGGTGCCTGTTATATCTTGCACTAGTGTCCGTGTACTCTTCCGTACTTGTGCCGCCAAGACCCGGCGATTTGCTGCACAACGACGTACTCGGTACAACTTGCATGCAATGACACGCACTGCGCTCCGTACCATGACAAGGTACTTCAAACGCCGTCTCCTGCCTCTTCCTTGTTTTCCAAAGTACTGAGCCCGTGATGGCTCTGGCTCTTCCTATATTGAGACACCCTGTATCATTCATATGGACATTCTGATGTCCTTAGATGAAGCGCCCTCAGTCCCAATCTGCCTGTTGGCTACCTCGACTTCCGACAGCATCTGCGTCATTTTTCCGGCGGTTCCCAGCATCATCTGCAGACGGCCGACTTGATAGACTCGACGGACGCTCTCCTTCCCAATGCACATACCCACTGCTGCTTCCACGGTCAATGCCAGCCCGATAGCGTCACTGCATCTCTTTGCCCAGGAAGATGGATCGCAACCCGGCGGCGGCTACGAAAAGTGGTCGTCTTTCATCGGCATTGTCACGGCGATTGTGGGAAATCTCCTCATCTCCTTTGCCCTGAACACCCAGAGATATGCGCACATTCTCATAGATCGCGAGTACTCCGAATCCAGAAAATCCTTCGCGAATGGACACACAGCTTCGGGGCATGTGCCCGGTGCCGCCGACGATGAGCAGGAAGAGATCGCGGAAGAGCGAAGGAGGAAAAACCTCGAGACATCCGATCGCAAAAGAAGTGTGGATGAAGAATCGAGTGGATCAGCGCAGCGTTCCTCTCAAGATACCTTACAGCCCTCTCTGGGACCAGCCCAGCAGGACCATCGCCGAGAGAAAGACTCAACCAGTGACACTGAGAGAGCGTCCTACCTCAAGTCGCCATACTGGTGGCTCGGTCTGGTGCTCATGATCATTGGCGAGGCGGGCAATTTCCTTGCCTATGGCTTCGCTCCCGCGTCCATTGTCAGCCCCTTGGGGGTTGTTGCCTTGATCTCAAATTGTCTGATTGCCCCGCTCATGCTCAAGGAACGGTTTCGTCGACGCGATCTGTACGGAGTTTTGGTTGCAATTGCCGGCGCTGTCACCGTCGTGCTATCCGCCAGAAGCAGTGAGGCCAAATTCGGCCCTGGTGAACTATGGAAAACCATAAAGAGATGGGAATTCCTCCTTTACGTGATCATCACGGTGGTGCTCATTGGGGCTCTGATGTATGCGGAGCCACGATATGGTCGCAAGACCTTACTTGTCGACCTTGGTCTGGTGGCGTTGTGCGGAGGCTACACTGCGCTCTCCACCAAAGGCGTCTCGTCGCTGTTGTCGGTGTCTCTTTACAAGGCGTTTACCTTTGCCATCTTCTACTTCCTTGTCCTTGTCCTTGTTGCCTCAGCCCTGATGCAGATACGGTATCTGAATCGTGCTTTGCAGAACTATGATTCGACGCAGGTTATACCGACTCAATTTGTACTTTTCACCCTTTCCGTCATTATTGGCTCGGCGGTGCTGTACCGAGATTTTGAACATACCACATTGGACCAGGCGATTAAATTTGTCATTGGATGCCTTTTGACCTTCTTTGGCGTATACCTCATCACGAGCCAACGTCACGAGATAGGTGAAGCTGAAGAATTAGCTAGAGACGAGGAGGAGACGATACAACTTATTGACGAGGAGGCAGAAGACGTTGATGAGCGGACGCCATTGAATCGCGATGCACCAAAGCCAACTCGCCCACAGGTGGACGGGTATCCAGTGATCACCAATTCGGAGCAAGCACAAGCTGTGACTGCCACGCCACATACACCACGACGATTATCAAATGCTTCCTCGGTCTTGCCATCAATCTCAGTAACACCTGCTGAACCTTCTGAAGATCTTATATCAAACCCGTGGCTCTCTTCCACCGAGCAATTTGACGCTTCACTGCCCCCTTCAACACCCCAAACTGGTGGAGCCCGCGAGGAATTTACACCCTTCTACACCCCTGGCACATCAAGACCCCTTCAACGTTCCGCCTCGTCACCTGCAGAGCCAGAAACACCCTCGAAACTATCCGCGTCTCCTCGACCGCCCAGCCCAGACCGCTCTGCAAGACCTACACCAGACGACAACTCTCCCAGCCCCAGTTTTCTCGCCCGTGGCGGTAGGGGAAGCATTTCGCGTCTTTTCCCCCTCCCAGGTCCACTGTTGCCCCCTCTTTCCAACTCACTCAGCGCGCTGGTGGCAGACTCATTACTGAGAGGCGAAGGGTCGCCACGCTCCGTGCGTGCTGCACTTCGCCGCCCCCGTTCTGGGCGGCACTCCATCGACGACCGACGACGAACCGTGGCTGCTATTGGAGACACCGACGGATTTGATCCGTTAGCAGCGTTGAACATGCACTGGCAAAATCACAGCGCTGACAGCGCTCAAGAGCTCAGCCGTGCACAGACGCACGAGGCCAGGCCTCCAGGGGTTCAAGGTGATGGAGACGAAGCGGATCTTGCCTTGGACGGGGAGAGTGATAGTGCCAAGAGGAAAACAAGACTACGGGCATTGAGCGAGACCTTGAGCGGGATGATGAGTCGTCGCTCATCTGGTCGGAAGCAGAGCGAGAGTCATGGCAAAGGAAAAGATGGACCCGAGACTGCTGATGACGGCGGTGAAGACACCACGGGTAGTGCAGCGGAGCAGTAAGGACAGCTACCCACCTAGTCATGCTGGGAATGGAGCCTTTTATTTGTTAGAGTAATGCTACTTACTATATAATACCCCCACCTGGCACGGAGCATTGTCGAGTCAATCATGAGATCTACTTTTTCAAGAGTATACATACAAAAGGTCCTGTCACCAAGGACAATCTGATCTACCATCGTAGGGGCATCATATCATTTACCATATATCATATCAGGGGGTATCGGATCCCTTTATATAAATCCGTATACCGAGTGTGTTCACGTCAGACCATGGCGCAGCATATCACAGTGGACGTTGTCCATAGTCTCGCTCGCATCTTGATTCTCCATGGCCGTGCTTATTCTGGTTCTTGACCTTCGCTATCTCATTCACGTCCATGCCGACTCGCGGCTATCTGCCTCTTCTGCTAGCAGATTAGACGGTGTCAGCCTCCCGCGGCGGACTCGTCTTCGCCTCCTTCTGTAGCCGTCTCCTCACCAGCAGTGCCGACCTTGTCGCCGTTGCCTGGCCTGCCACCGGCCCTTTCGCGTGCCCTTCTCGCTTTGGCTCCCGCCTTCAGACTGTCCCATTTGTCTCTATACTTTGTGATTGTCTCTTTTAACTTGACATTCTCTTCTTCCCGTTTTCTTGCCCTTGCGTCACTCTTGCGAAGGATTTCTTCCAGTTCGGCTATTCTGCGTTGCATCGTGTCACGATTGCCGCCCGCCCCTCCTACTCCTCCACTGTTGCCGATACCGGGTATCCCGCCGCTGTCTAGTCCCAACTTCCCGCTGATGGTCTTGCCACGCGAGTTTTCGGGAGAGAGCATTGGCGAACGGTTGTGAAGGGAGCGAATGCTCTGCGCCAGTGCTGCAGAGGAAGTCTGAGCGGACATCTCAAAGACGTGTAATCTCCTGGAAAGAGTGTCAGAGAGGTGTTTGAGGGCTTGGTTCTCTAATGCGAGTTCTTCCATCGTCTTGCCGTTCACTTTGATCTCATCAGCACCCCCGCGGGCTCTGGTAAAGCGGCTTGGCGGTCCGTTAGCCGGAGCGGGTAGTATCGTACTCTGTGCGTCTACGAAACTGTCCTCGGAGATGTTTGAGAGATTAGAAGGTTGGCGGTGATGACCATGTCCACGGAAACCGGCACGGGCTTCTTCGCGCTCGGCCCGGGACATGATTTCGGCGTAGGAAAGTGTGCCTCCCGTGGTAGGGACGAAGTAGAATGATTCCGATGGGTTAGACGTGCTGTTGCCGGTGCCGGAAACCGCACGCAAGGCCGCCCGCGAGATGAGCTGGGAGTAGTCGACTGATGGTGCTACTGGCGTCGGGCGGGACACAGCTTTTGGGGCTTTAGGAGAGCTCGGCGAGGGAGCAGATGGAGGCTTAGACGGTGCCGTGCTTGTTAGAGGCAGTCCCGCAAATGCTAGCGGTGCACTGAGCTTCGATACGAGACTCTCAAAAGTTGTGTAGAATTGCTGGAACGGGGCATCCGCGCTTTGGGCTTCTGGCTGTTCTGTCGCATCTGACTTTGTTGGAGAGGGGGATATCGGAGGCGCCCATGATGGACGAGGATTTGTCTGGCGGGACATGGACGAGAGAGCGTCACTGGTGTCTGCATTTGTTCTGAGGGCAGGCCTGCTCCTTGCTTCATCTTGAGCATTATGTCCGTCTGCATGTTGATTCGAGAGCAGCGGTGAAATCGGGGTAGGTCGTTTTTGTCGATTGTTGGGTATGCCTCTTGCGGAAGCCAGATTGCTCGCAATGGAAGAAGACAGCTCGCGAGTGCTTGACCTTAAGCCTCTGGGAAGCCGTGGAGGGTGGACGGCGGCCTCTGGCGAAGGAGGTCTGTCGGGGTCTTGCTTCTGCCGCTCTGGCGCGGGCACCGCATTTTCGACATTACCAACTTGTGCCTGGTTGGGGATCTCTTTCGGTGGCGGCTTCTCATGAGCTGCCCTCAACAGTTGACCCAGCTTCTTGTGATGTTGTTCCAACAGATTCAACACGCGCAAGGCTTCCGAGTCCGAAGTCTCCTGGGCTGCAGCTGCGAACTCGGCTGCGGCCAGATCATGCTCCTCGCTGGCGGCAACGGGATTGTGACGGCGGGACTCGAGGGCAGCATTCCGGGCATGGGTGTGAGCCTAGGGAAGAGAGCATTAGGATGAGAATTGTGCATCGTTGGGACTCAATCTCCGACATGATGCTTACGAGAGTCAGCGGCGCGGTCTCCATCTATTCTTAGTTTCGCTGTCGACCAAGTTGCAAGGGCTGCCGGGTTGCTGTCTGCAGTGCATTGAGAAAGACAGGACGGTGAGGCGTAAGTGGCATTCTTGTGACTCGAGATAATACTGGCAGTTAGTTGGACCTTGGTGGAAGCAAGTCCTTCCACGACAGCCACGAGTCAAATGGATCCTTACTTACCTACCTACCTAGGTAGGTACCTTAGTCAGTCACAAGGCTGCCGTGTGCCAGTGATGGGGTTTTGGAGGAGATCTCGGTGGGGACTGTTGTGCACTGTTTCTGGCCCTCGCCCCCTCACTGAGTCCCTGGGTCCCTGGAGCCCTTGAGTCACTAGCCCCAGTGGCCCCCCTAGCCTCTAACACGGCAGCCGAAAACAGCTGCCTGCGGCGGGCTCCAAGATCGCTGGGTTCGGCAAACTCATGCCCTCAACTTTCAAGCCACACGCACCCACACAGGCCCTGCAAGCGGCTGAGGTCACTGGCACCACTGGCACCACTGGGTTCAGCTACCCGAGCTGATACGCCTAGTCAGCCTCGGCGTCGTCGCTGCTGGCCATCGCCTGCCGCATTCGTGGGCGCCTTTCCGGTTCGCGCAAGCCATTCGACCTCGCAAGCTCCCACTCACACCTAGTAATTGTCAATCAACTAATAATTAATGACGCGGGCCTTTCCCCGTACCCGACGCCCTGAGGTGGCGGCCTGAACTCACAGTTGTACCCTGTGGGCGAGGTACCGAGCACGCGTACCTAAGTGCGGCCAACGAGGCAACAACCAAAAACTCCAAGCATCTCGACTAGCGACTAACGGTGACCGCTTTGAATCTGGCTTCATTCAACCTCCTCTACCCCGTTCCTCTCTTCTACAGGCCCCTGCACTTCTTCTTCTTCCATCCTTTGAGATATTTTATAGCTATCTTTTTGTGACACAGCTGAGTGATTCCCCTCTTTTGTTGTTAGGATCCACATGCCGTTCGTTACCACTGTCCGTGTGACATCACGCGGATTGGTCGCCCATTGCTCCTAAACATTGAACATTGGTGGCCACTCTGCAGCAGGACAATTGCATGACAATTGCATTCTACTCAACCCTGGACTTGCCTTGAATGGCCGCAGTCTCTACCCAACCCTCTCCCCATGTCGCCCCTACGATGCCCGAACCCTCTCCCCAGCTGAAGGGTCTCAAGAAAGTTCTCTCCAACAGGCGGCGCTCGTCTGAACTTGTGGGCGATGAGACCATAAAAGATTTGCGCACCGACTCCCTTGATTCCATCACACTGGACAAATCCCCCACGAGACACAGTGCTCGCTCAATCAGTCAAGATGGCAGCAGCAAATCTGGCAGCAGTGGAGTGCGCAAACTGCTGCCTGGCCACAGCAAGCGACAGAGGAGGAAGCAGCGCGAACTCGAGCTGAAGGCTGCTGTTGAAGACTTGGCAAGAGGAAGAACTGGTACTGGGTTGAGTGTAAAATCTGTCGCAACGCCCTTGAGCAGGAGAGCGAGCAGTCACAGTCAAGGCGGTGATGGCGATGCCAATCTTCTGACGGACGACTCAGAGGTCGAAACGCCCCCTCTGGTCACCCGCGACTCTCACACTGGTTTTGCGTCCATGTCCTCGCCTTTAATATCTACAACGACCACCCGCAGCGATGGTGAATCATTACAGAGTCCCACCAAAGATTTATCGATGAGCAACATCCCGACCCTCATTGAGCCTGCAGCGGATGACAACTCTCCCTCACCCAAGACCACACCTTTGCCTAACTCTGTTCCGGCCTTGTCCTCTTCCCCTGGTTTGATTGATCGAGCAGATACTCTGAAACCAGAATCTCGTCGTAACAGCATAGGCAAGCTTCGAGGCAAATCACCTGGAAGGAGGCTTAGAGATGTCTTTGGTAAGCCAAGCAGGAGTCCGAGAGCTAGCCCCGAGTGGAAGGAAAACGAGCCAGTTGCTGGTGTTGCTAGCAATGAAAGCCTCACTATGGAATCGAAACATGGTGAAGAGCAAAAACCCCTCGAGTCCACAGAGGCGGTTCCCCCAACGCCAAATATCCCCCAGACCAGTTCAATGCCGAACCTCGAAAGTACTCTACGCCCTCTGACGCCTCCTGCCGCTCTCATTGGCGCTCCGCGTACCACCGTTACTCCTCCTACACCTACTGACACCCGTTTTGACACAACAACTGGGTCTCCAAGTACGGACAAGCCAGAGTCCAAGTCCACGCCAGAAGGCTCGAATATTGTGGTAAGTCCTTCGGGCAACATGATATCGCATCGGAGGATCCGTTCAGCCTCTTCCATCACACATCAGCCCAGCAAGCTCTCCACTTCAGTCACTGCTCCACTGGCGCCTGCCCCGGAGGAGAAGAGAACGCCGTCCGGAGGTATATTCTCTTCTTGGGTCTCCGCGGCACAGAATGCCGCGTCGTCTATCACGAACCTGACAGGGCAGAGCCGAAACCGCGCCGGTACTAATGCCTCAGACGCCACTGCCAAGCAAAGACCCGTCGACGAACCCATCAAGGAAGAAGAAGAAGCAGAAGCCCCTGAACCAGAAATCCCACGCAAGCAGTTGGCGGTGGAGACACTGGGTTCGGGTGATTTGAACTTCGAAGATCTCGGTCTGAATGCTGAGGATAGGACCGCCTCCGCCACCAAGCCTGATACGACAGATGGCAAGAGAGACGTCACCGCAGAAAAGGACGAGGTTGCTGCTAAAGTGGAGGACGCTCTGGCGAAACGCGCCGTCTCGGCTGCGTATGAGAAATCGTCAAATACGACAACTCCTGTGGCCGAAATTCCTGATCCCGTGGGCAGTAGCATGAGGCATGCACAAGCGATTGCGGCGGCAGCCAACGGGGAAAGGACGCCTCCCAATGGCAGTGTTTTCGAGGGCGAGCTGGGTTCGGTCAAGCGAACGGCGAGTGTTCGCAGCAGACTTGGAAAACGAAGGTCGCGCGGCTCGTCCACAGCTACTGGCCAGTCCGCAATTGGTGCTATAATAGGAGCGAGTACTGCGACATTGGCGAACCCGGCCAAGGGGCCTCGACTGACGGGATTCACAATGGCTCCCAAGCAACGCAATCGAAACTTCCACCAACAGTTTCGGAGTGTTCCTGAAGACGACTATTTGATCGAAGACTACAGTTGTGCTCTGCAAAAGGAGATCTTACTCGCCGGGAGGATATACATTTCTGAAGGCCACATATGCTTTTTCAGCAACATTCTTGGGTGGGTGACGACCGTGGTGATTTCTTTCGAGGAGGTCGTCAGTATAGAGCGGGAGAACACGGCAGTCGTGTTTCCCAACGCCATCGCCATCCAGACATTACACGCTCGCCATACCTTTCGAAGCTTAATATATCGAGAGCAGACTTATGATCTTCTGATCGGGATCTGGCGCGTCAGCCATCCGGCAAGCTTTCAAAAGAGCATGAATGGGAAGCAATTAGCCGCGGAAGAGGCCGGTGTAGCCGCTGTGGAAGAGAATGGAGCCAGTGCTCAGCCCAGTGACGGTAGCTCCACCGAAGACTCGGGCTCAGAAGGAGATGAGGATAGTGCTCCAAGTCTTCTCGAAAGCAGTGCGAGCAACGCCGGCAGTGAGCTCGTGGAGGGCAAGACGGTGTCTAGGAAACCGTCCGGCATGAACGCAAGCGCCGTTGCGCAGACGGCTAGCATCCTTGCCGGAACAGCAGCCAACGTTCCACAACCACTTGCGGCCCAGGCTGGATTACTGGAGGCAGCCAATGACTTTCCGGGGCCGGCGACTCATTCTCCGACTGAATGCTCGGACAGTGCTACACATTACGACAAGATCATGAAGGACGAAGTCATTGCTGCTCCACTAGGAAAGATATACTCTTTGTTGTACGGCCCCGAGTCGGGCTTTTTTGTGCGGAAATTCTTGGCCGATGAATGCAAGTGTATGGAAATTGCTTTCGAGGACGACAAGAAGGGATTGAACAACGACATCAAAAGCAGGCAGTACTCTTACATCAAGCCGCTCGGAGGAAGCATTGGACCGAAACAAACCAAATGCATCACGACCGAAAATTTGGATTTCTTCGACCTCGAAAAGTCGGTGAGCATCACATGTACTACACAGACACCTGACGTTCCAAGTGGCAGCGCGTTCAGTACCAAAACTCGCTACTGTCTCTCATGGGCTCCCGGCAACACGACCAGATTTCAGATGAACTGCACGGTCGAATGGACAGCTAAGTCCTGGCTGAAAGGGCCAATTGAGAAGGGCGCAAACGAAGGCCAGCAACAGTACGGCGATAGTCTGGTTAAGGTCCTTAAGGGAGCGGTTAGCGGCCGTCCTAGGGGGACGACGAACGCTAGCAAAGGTTCGAAGCTGACAAAGAAGAAGCGCAAAGGGGAGAAGAAAAGCAAAGAGGAAAAGGTCGAAGAAGAGAAGAAACAGGCAGTCAACTGGGGAATCTTCGAGCCGTTGCGCCCATTGTCACCCGTCCTGGACATGATCAGACGATTTGTGACAATGGAGGTTGTGGTTGCAATCCTCTTTGTCATGGTCATGCTAGTGTGGCTGCGTGGCCCTGCGGGAACAAATCAGCTCGGTCCGTACAGATCGCCGGCAGAACGAATGGCGGCATACGACTCTCTGTGGATGCGGGAGGAAAACGAGTTCTGGGACTGGCTTGAGTCTCGCGCCAGTATCGATACTATTTCGCTGCGTGAAAAGTCTACCACCAAATTTAGCCGATCAAACAAAGACGAAAGCAGCAATTCGGCGGGATCGAGGTTGCCGCGGAAGCAGAGGCAAAAGAGGAGCAGGTCCTCGGCAGGACAAGATATGGAGGCTAGGATCAAAGAAGACAAGTTCAGCCAAAGAGAGATGGAGGACGCCATCAAAGTCACGAAGGAGAGGTTGGAAATTCTGGAAAAAGTCATGGAGAAGAACAAGCATTAACAACGATAGCATGAACAGCTGTTGTACGTCGATTCCGGGTTCATCATTCAGGGGCAGGGTTCAAGGCAGGGCAGAGAGACTGGGGGTGGTTGAGCATCATCAAACGGTTCATGGGGGCTTTCTTTGGATACAGAGAACAGAGGGCAGAGAGAGGGCTAAGGTCACGAAAGGATGCGGATGATATTATTGTCTTCACTTGGGTGTAGGGAGGGGGCCTCATGGCTTTGGCTCAGATGTGTTATCCATAGCAGTGGACCACGGCTTTTTGTACGGCGCACTGCGCTCAATATCATTCACTTTGTGCCTTTTGTTTTCCCTCCTGAGAAAGGAAGGCAGACTCGAGCCCATAATCACATACTCGTGGTACGAAGCATCGAGGAGGGGCTAGTTGGAACGCATAGCGTACCCAGGTATGTGTGAGGCTACCAGGCTGGTCGAGTTCCCCAAAGTGGAGTCAAAGGTAGATTGCATGGCGAACAGTTGCATATACGATGTCCGGTAGACACCAGGCAGATATATTTGAAATGAACGAAGAGACATACGGCTGTCTTCTAAACCCGTCGCGAGCTTCTACTCGTAGCTCGTTAGGTGCCCTAGGTATACTAACTAGGTGCCGTATATAACCGCACGCACTGAGCATTCTCCACTCCGGCTCCGCAGGCACTCGTTGGGTGCAAGGGCAGCTAGGCGCTCTCTGGGGCCCAAACGGGCAGCCAAGGCCCATGGAATGCGCAATCGGTGACGCCCCAAAGCTTAACCAGGGACAAGCTAGTAGGCTGTTAGTGCCTATGGGGCCCTTGGGCCCGGGCCCATGAGCTTGGACGCTTGACACCTCCTGAGGGTCCCTTCAAAGTTCTGAAACACCGTGCATGCGCAATCACTTTTGCTGTGCCACCTGGAATACGTACATTATCGTCGCATTTTGCATACCTAGATACCCTTGATTATTATTACTGTCTGCGACTTACATCTGCAAATAGCCCTCTCCCTTCTCTATCATTTCCACCACCTCTTCCAAGGCGAGCTCTTTCTTTGAGCAGACGTCGACCGACAGACCAGTTCGACCGTCCACGTACTTTCTCACTGCTACGCTTCCCTTCGTCCCCTCTCAATTCCACCTTCGCTGTTATCATTACGATCGCTGCGGCAGGACCGTACAGCGCAAGGAACAAAAGACATGCTGGACTCACGATAATGGATCTCCAACCACACTTCTAATTCTTCTCAATCATTGTCCCCCGCGGCCATTCAGGACGGCCACCGGGGCTTGTACCTAGCAGCTGCACTCCTCTGTCCACAGCTCCACAGAAAACCCGAGTCTTTATGCCACCCAGCTTCGCCCGGCCGTGAAACGAGTTTGAAGTGACAGTCCAGGGATTCCAAGTCCTCCTGCACCTGCACCTTGTCGGGAACGATTCCGGACACGGGGCACTCGTCATGGCCATCTCCCATTCATGGAAACGTGCAGCTCTCGCAGCAATCGTCCTACTGACATTATTCCTCCTGCTGCGGCATACATCCTTCTCACCGAGCCTTTCTGTGGTCGAAGGTACATCTGAAGGCGGGCAGCCCTCGAGACCCTACCCTCCTCCAAAGCCTCCCAAAGTTGGTCAGGATACGCAGCAAGCAGTCCAAGACGTGGCAGGCAAACCTCTACGAGAAAGATTACGGTACCATTTCCCCTATGACATCGAGGCCAAATTCCCTGCGTACATATGGCAGACATGGAAGTATGGACCGGACTCGGGGAGCTTTGAGGAGAGATTAAGACCCTTCGAGGCATCGTGGTCAAATCTACATCCTGGCTTTGTCCATGAGGTGGTGACAGACGACGCTGCATTACACCTCATCAACTATCTGTATGCCCCAATGCCGGAAATCGTTCAAGCATACGAAGCCATGCCTCTTCCTGTAATTCGGGCTGATTTCTTCCGCTACCTGATTCTGTTGGCACGTGGCGGGATCTACAGCGACATCGACACCCAAGCCCTTCAGTCTGCCACGGCTTGGTTGCCGCAAAACCTGGACAAGTCTACCGTTGGCTTGGTGGTGGGGATTGAGGCCGATCCGGACAGACCAGATTGGAATGATTGGTATGCGAGGAGGATTCAGTTCTGTCAATGGACGATCCAGGCAAAGCCAGGCCATCCGGTTTTGAGAGATATTGTTGCCACAATTACCGAAGACACGTTGGCCATGCACAAGGCTGGGCGCCTACGCAAAGGCAAAGAACCAGCCAAGAGCATCATGGAGTACACAGGACCTGGTGTGTGGACAGATGCACTGTTTTCATACTTCAACAACCAAGAATATTTTGATTTCAGCACCCGGAAAACGAATGTGTCATACCCCGATTTCTTTGCCATTACCGAACACAAGAAGATTGGCGATGTCGTGGTGCTGCCAATCACGAGTTTCAGTCCAGGCGTAGGTCAGATGGGCTCGGAAGGACCTGAGCACCCAATGGCCTTTGTGAGACATGATTTCGACGGTATGTGGTGCCCCAAGCTTTTGGCAGCGTGCGACTGAACCAGCTACTAATATTCGACAGGGTCTTGGAAGCCCGAACATGAGCGCATGAAGGGCGATTGAAGAACAAGCAGGCTCTCTACTTTCTTGAACATCAAAAGTATTTGTTCGAGTCTGAGATTTCTTGTTCGCGGCGATCTTGCATGCGTGACACAAAAGGACCGAGTCGAAACACGACCTAATGGGGAAACTAATTGACGATTTGAACCTCATGCACATAGACCGGGGGATAGACCGGTTGGGGGGAAGTTATTGGAACACGGGCTGCAAAATGTTTCAGCTAAGAAGACGATATACCCTCAGAAGAGAGCGAATATTGATTATTGTAGGATCCAATCCATGTATCCATTGCCCTCCAGGTCCTAATTAGTCATGGCCTCGCCTGCGGAAGACAACGGCGCAGCGGTGTAGCTCTCTGAAGCAGGCTGTGTGAATTTCCCGATTGAGAATGAGCCTGTCTGTGTGTTGTGTTCTTTTGACCCAAAGCCCACAATATGCACCATGACCGCCGACAGTCCCGAGCTTAGGTAGGAATGGTTATTGAACAAGGGGGTTGGTTGATGTTGTGCAATATCTACCAAGCTAGCAAGGTAGGTAGCTGAAGCTTGAGGGTTGAACCAATTTGATCTGCAGGATCGACCTGCCCAGGCCAGGTCATCCACAGGTCACTGCATTATCGCAGATGAGAGGAACAGGAATGGGAATGATGGGAATGACAGGAATGGTCCGCCTCTCGTCTCTTTTTACCTCCTGGGTGCCTCTGGGGCCTCCGGGGGCCTCTGGGTGCCTCTGTTTCATCTGTCAGCCACTGACAGCCACTCAAAATCCTCCGCATCCACCCGCCTGTCGTCATGCCCACCAGGCTGGCACCCGCTGGTTCTTCTCGTTACGAGATCTCCACTGCGACAGATGCGTGCTAGGCTCCTACCTACCTACCTAGCGAGCTAGGTAGGCACTCGTAGGTACGAGGTACTAGCCCTTGGGTGGCCCTGAGCAGGTGAGGGAACCAGGAATCGGGGATCCAACAAACCACTGGGGCTGGGCACCACCACCACTACTGAGCACTGGGGGGAAAGAGGGGAGCGCACCTAAGAGCGTCACTCAGCCAGCGAAAGTCCTATGGTGAAGCCTTTCTTCTATCATTCCCATTCCAGCCTCCGCGCAGCTGCTCTCCTCTAGGGTTTTTTCGCAACTTCTGGGGCTGTGCCTGCGCCCTCAACATCCCTACATTTCCTCTCTACTTCGCTCTATTGCAGGATTTGGTGCATTCCTCCTCTCCCCCCTCTCTCACACTTGTTGTCCACCAGACGAAACAAATCCTGCACCGCCTCACCGCTGACGCCGCTTGTACCTGGACACGGGCAACGCCCCTCTTTAATCGCATATCGCATTGCGCTTCCACCGCCCACTTCGAGATGACCCTCAGCCTTGACGCTCCCTAGGCCACTTGACAGGAAAAAGATGCGCATTGGCTGTTCCGATGAGCACAGCGACGCTTCAGACGCCGCAGCAACAGCCGCCGCAGCGAGCGTCCTCAGCTCAAGGCCATAGACAGTACCTACGAACCAGCAACCCTCAAAACACCCGCAGCGCCTCCCATCCTCATCCCAGTCGTCAATACGATAGGGAACAGATCCAGAAATATGTCGATCCAACTCAGTCCAAGGGAGAGGAGGAGGTCATGTCTCCGGAGGAAGTCTCCAAACCCCCAGAAGAAAAGAAGCTTGGCCAGTCATCCCGCACCCTCAAGGTCACCGACTTTGAGCTGATGCGGACGCTTGGAACAGGTATACCAACCCTTATCGGCTTCATTTTCGTGCCAAGAGACATTGCTGACTCAATCCCCGCGCAGGTACCTTTGCGCGTGTATGGCTGTGCCGGTTTGCCAATCCTCATCCCGAGGACAGGGACAAGGTGTTTGCGCTCAAGGTCTTGAAAAAGGTGGATGTCATCAAATTGAAACAGGTTGAGCACGTCCGAAACGAGCGAGATGTCCTCGCTGCCGTCGCTGGACACCCATTCATTACTACCCTCATTGCATCATTCTCGGACGAGACGTCGCTGTACATGCTGCTGGACTATACCCCTGGCGGAGAGATCTTTTCCTATCTGAGGCGGGCACGTCGCTTCCCCTTTGCAACCGTCCAATTCTACGCAGCCGAAATCACTCTGATATTGGCCTACCTCCACGAGGTGCAATTTGTGGCGTATCGAGATCTCAAACCCGAAAATATCCTCCTCGATGTTGATGGCCACCTCAAACTTGTCGACTTTGGGTTTGCCAAGTACTTACCACCGAGTCCTGATCAGCATGGCGAGAATGGCCAGAGTGCCACTCTTGAGAAGCTGGGCACAGAGCATCCCGAGCCTCAGGCCAATGGAGCGGGCGTCACATATACCCTATGCGGCACACCTGAGTATCTCGCACCCGAAGTTATACGAAACACCGGCCACGGAACCGCGGTCGACTGGTGGGCGCTGGGGATTTTGGTCTACGAAATGTTGATTGGCCAACCACCTTTCTGGGACCAAAACCCAATGCGCATCTATGAGCAGATTGTTGCTGGCCACATTCGCTTCCCCACTGCGCACCCGTCTCAACATGGACATCGTCATAGCCTTCACGTGCCCAGGGCTGCACGAGACTTTATTCTTGCGCTGTGCAAGACCGATCCCACACAGCGACTCGGGCACATTGCTGGTGGAAGCAAGAGAGTGATGCAACACTATTTCTTTGACGGCATTGATTGGGATGAGATATACTACCGGAAGAGGCGAGGTCCGATTATACCCAGGGTCGAATGGGCTGGGGACGCGGGCAACTTTGATGAATACCCCGACCCTGTTGAAGGTGAAGAGAGTGAGGGCGGAAGAGGGAGGTACACGGATGGACTGCGGGAAGAGTGGGAAGACGCGTTCAAGGACTTTTAGGCTTTTGCCATCTGTGGCGACGCGAAAAGAGATGGGACCTGGTGGGCGGGAAACGAGCACAGTCGGCGAACTCGAAAGTGTATACAATCAGTCCACGCTTTGAATGCTGAGCATACGGTGTTGGATTGTGATTTGCAAATGACTAGACAAAAGGGAGTTGGTTGGTGATTGCGCAAAGGGTGTATTGTCAACCCGCTGTCAGATTCATGCGTAGTGACTTTAATATATGCCTTCTTGGGCTCAGGATACCAGTTTGAAGATGTATCGAAGAATCAAAGAATCTATACCATGCACCCTGATGTGCAAGGCTGAGAAGTTGTTACGAGGCTGTAACAGGCAGCATGGATCCTTAGCTCTGGCCTTGCATTTGCGGGGAAACCTGCTTGCGGTTTGCTGGTAACCTAGAACTTGGTACCATCAGGTACAGCAACTTTATCTTGCATCAAACCAGAATTGGAGAACCAGGACCTGTTCTTCATCCTTTTCAATGACCTTCCACGAGTTGACAGTCAGTTTGCGAATTCATCTTGGAACAAAGTAACGCTTCCATATCCCGCTCTCACCTCCTCTTCCGAACTTCCAGTCTCTGGGCACGCGTCTTCACGTCCATCGCGTCGATCAATGTGCCATTGACATCTCCTCCACCATGGCGGGCGTACAACCTACTAGGGATCACATATCCCAGGTTTGTGCCATCACGCAGGTAGACGAAGGCAGCGCAAGGGTGCTACTCAAGGTGAGCCTGGTGAATTATTACAAGGATACAAAGGGACAGCCACTGACGCCTTGTGGGACAGAAAAGTAACAACGATGTCAACGGCGCCATCAATGCCTTTTTTGAAGACCCCGTGAGGTCCGTGATAGAAGAGCCCGTAAGCTCCGGTTCGACCGTCGCTCAGGCCAAGGAACTGCTTGCTAATGGAAAGGTGGGAGGGACAGGCTGCTTCCAACGACTGGCAGTACCAGGACAATATTCCATGTAAGATCGGGAGACACATACACACCCCAGGAGGGCTTCTATATTGACAAAAGACATCGTCGGCAGTCCAAGATGATTCGAGCATGGGAGGAGTCGCCGCCCTGTCCCGCCCGCCTTCACGAGCCGACAATTCCATGATGGACCTCTCCTCCGAGCATGCCGCAGCTTCAGCAAGCAACGTCAAGTCGCTCAAAGAGCAAGAAGAGTTGAACGATCCAGATCTCCAACGTGCAATGGCCGAGTCACTAGGGCAGAGCCTGCCCGCACAGGAAGACGGAGTCACAGGAACTGGCGCACACTTCGGCCCTGCCAACCGGGAGTACTACGATCCCAGCAGTTGGGCTTTGACCACCTATTCGACCTCGCGGGAGATCATTGAACATCCGCCACCATCGAAGCGGCGAAGAATAGCCGGTGAACCCGCTTTTCTACGTGGCTCGAAGGAAACTGGCTACTTGGGATCCTTGCTCACTATCTACCACAACATCCCTCTCGCTCGCCAAGCGCTTCTCATGCCTGCTTTGAAAGTCCATGCCTACGCCCATGATAATAGCTGGTGGTCGGGGGCCACTGACGAGAACACCAAGGCCTTGTCGACCGACAATACCCTTCGCATTGACCGGCAAGAGTGCAATCTGCTTACCGAGGTGCAATGCCTGATGGCTTTCCTTGACAGAACCACTCGCGCCTATGGCAGTGTCGACGCTTTGGCTGATTTACAGGCTGTTCGCAATCGAAACGATGCCACGCCATTTCATCGTTTTCTCGAAGCTTGGACGTCTGCAGCAATGAAACAAGCTCCTCAAGAACAAGTGACGCAGGTCTTCAGCTCCGTAGCGACGAAAGCGGGAGGCCCCGGTGACACTGAAGTGGTGGAGAAAACCCTGAATTGCATCGACCCTTTCATCAATCACTTCCCTGGTGAGACGTTGACTGATTTGCTCGACATCACGATCTGGAATGATGAACATGGGAATGGAAACATAGATGATGTTTGGATCAGCCATTGCGCAGAGATCTTTACTATCCGAGTCCATGACCCTAACAGCACGACGAGGAGCTCGGACCTGCAGTTGGATCCGGTATGGTATCCCGATCGATATATGTACGAATGCAGGGAGCAGATGCAACAGATACGCAAAGAACTGCAGTCAATTCGCCGAGAGATTGACCAATACACTCACATCCAGCGCCGCTGCCAGATCTATAAGTCGTCTGACAACAGATTACTCGATGTTGCCGAAGTTCTCAATTCTGCAGTCAAAGCTTCGACCACAGTGTTGGGCAAGAAATCTGTCTCGAATGGCTTTCTTGACAGCCAGGCGTCCGGAGCAGATGACACGGTCACTCAAGCCGACGTTGACGAGCTTGGGTCGGCATTGCAATCGGTGCTTCAAAAAATTCGGCAAAAGTTGGATTCTCTCGATCAACGCAAGAACGAGCTGCGACTCAGGAGCCGCCAGATCACAATGCGACTCACAAAACCCACGCCCGAGACGCCTGATGTGCCCAATCGCAAATACACTCTTCAGGGTGTTGCGACCAAGCCTGGAGTCACCTATTTCCGCCGACATACAAAGATCGACTCGCTGATTGACCACGACATATTAGACCAGGACAGCCAAAGTGGTGATTGGTGGAGAACTGCATGGCTCCAAGACGAAGCTCAGCCCGCCGTCTTTCATCCTCCACTGGTGGGCCCCGTGACCAGAGCCCAGGCAGAGGCAACTAAGCAGTCAGAGACCACCCCTTACTCAGTCACGCGGGTCCAGGAAGCCGAAGTGTTGGAAGCGGTGAGGAAAGAATACAACTCAGTGCTGCTGGTATATGCCAACGAAAACGCGATGAACTTTCAAGGTGGCGAATTGAGCATTTCGCTCCGGCACTTTGTAGACCGCGATAACCAAGCATATGCAGAAGAATTGCAACAAGAAGAAGGACCACTACCTAGTGCATCTGCGGATCATGAAGCCGAGACCGAATTTGAAGACGTCCCCTTGATCGACCCAACAGCTTCCAGCGGCTCAGTGCGTGAGCTCACACCTATGTCGACATCGAGCCCCGACCATGAGGAGGACACGCAACCTTCGCATAAAATTACGACGCAAGAAGACAGTGCGGCCCACTTTCTGGAACAGCCACCTTCATACGAGGAAACCGTTGGCAGGCAAGAAATGCTGGAGAAGAAAGGTAACAAGATTGGCTTGTATGCCGAACAAATGCTGCAAAAATACGGAGGCGATGCGGTCCAGGAAAAGGGAGAAAACGAAACTAGTGGTGGCTTTCTGGAGGTTGAAGATGCAAATGCGGTGTAGGAGACATCAAAGCTAAAGAAACCATGTCACGAGACGCAAGGTCGATGCCTCACACTGATTGCTCTTTGATCTGCCTGGACAGGGTGACACTGGGACGGAAATGTTTTCCCAGCGTGGATTTTCTGGATATGCATTTCGAGCTCCGTTCATGTCACACAAGGTTCAGGATACCGGCTCCGTGCTGTCTCGTTGGTCGTCACTATGGACTGCCATGCCAAAGTTGCACGAGCAGAGGGATGGGCCGTTTTCTGAGAGCTACAGGTTGGGGTTACACAGCAGGGCCTTTGACAGCTGGGGCCATGTGACAATCGGCGGTGGCTTGCCAACCCAGCTAAGGGTAATATCGAAGGGTACGATTACAGGCATTTCTTGGACACAACGGCGGATCTGTTGATGTTGGTGATGGAGAATAACTCTGAGCATCTGTACCTAGGTACAACGAACAAGTCTTGAATATCTGCCACTTCCAAAGCCTCTGCCACTGGCTTTCTCAAGGCCATACCGGTAGACGCATGGATGGTGATTCCGTCGTAGACGGTGAGAAGTGGAGGGCAAGCGGGCCTGCGTGGCGCAAGTTTCACTCTTTGTCTCGTCCACTAGCGAGCACGCCGGCGACCAACGTTGCCGTCTTCTATTTCGAATCCGTGTCCTCTCTCCACTACTCAGTACTCGCGAGCCAGTCAATTGTGTCAATGTCCTGTTCTGGACGATTGCGATAGTTGCGGGGCCCTTGTCCTGAGTCCTGACACGCGGCACAGACACTCGTCGAGGGCCAGTCATTGCCAGTCATTGCCAGCCAGTACCAGCCAGTGCCAGCCAGTGCCAGTCAGCACACCCTCCTTCAATGTGGCCAAGCTGACAAGCTGTTGTCAACTACCTGCTCACTACCTAGCGCCAAAGAATGCCCTGTGCCATTCTCGACCCTAACGTCTCCGGAACTGCAGCTGGGGAATCCCGCGGGCCCTATCAGCAGCCAATTCTTCCCAAGCTGTGCCGCTGGCTCAGAGCCAACGCAGTACGAGAAATGCGGGTTTGAGAAGATCATTCAGGGCCAACCCCTCGCGGTTTCAGGTACCGAGCATTTTGCTTGCGGCTCCGACTACCTAAGCAACAAAGATACTGGGAGCGATGAATCAATTCCAGGTATTCGCGATACAGGTGAGCTGGCAACGGTCCAAGAGATACCTCGGGAGCCTCAAATCTCAAGTGGGTGCCCTGCCTATTCGAACTGACCCAGCAGCCACAGTCAAGCCGCAGCAGCAACAGGACGAGCGAACGAACGACAAGAACTCCTGCGACGACCCCACGTGGTTGACTGTTGGTTAGCACTCAAGAGCTAGGTACGAGAATAATGGTGGTCCTTCGGGGGCGCTCAGAACGAAGCCCACAGCTCCCCGTTCCTTTGCATTTTAGGGAGCCCGCCCAATCGGAAGTTTATCGCGCGATAGGTACCCAATAGGCCTCAGTACGAGTCACTAGCCTTTTGTCCTCGAAATCCAGAACTCAACTAGGATATGGGGCAGCTGGCGGTTGCAAGTTTGGGATTGAGGGGTCAATGCCTCCATGGTCACCAGCCCCAGCAGCGCAGTCACGGCCTCTACAATCATTGGTACTCAGACTCTGAGAAAGAAAAGCCGAGAGTGCCATTCAGCAAGCTGGTATGGTAAAATACATGCAATGCGCACTCGCCCATTCGAAGATCGAGTCAACCCTCTACGGAGTCAGCATCCCTCGTTGTCGTGTTCAATTGGACCCAGGAGGAAAAGGAGGAAGAGCGAAATGGTCCCTAGCCCTATGAGCAGGAAACAGGGATATGCCAGACTTGCCCTCGACCCTGTCCACTTCTTGCATTGTTCGCAAGGCCTGGCACCCATGGGGCTGGTGGGCGAGCGACGGGGCCACCAGGGCTAGAAGGAGCGTGCGCTTTGGATGCTTATCACTGCCCCTCCGAACTCCGAGAGCTATTGCCTCCCCCGGAAGCGCTCCAAACTCAGTCCTGGCCCAGCTTGACTGGTGCGTGGATCTCGAAAGTCCAGTCAACAACGCTCTCAAAGTGCGAAAGAAAAAGGTGATCGGTCAAAGGACGGCATACACATGCACATAAACAAAAGGACATCCACTGCCCACCGCATTTGCGGAATTTCAGAATGTGCAAATTGCCCTGGACCAGCCGTGATTGGGTACTCGATAGTTCCTGTCACCAAACTTCCACACCGAGAGCGCCTCAGAGGGGACACCAACATACGGAGTACGCTTCTCCTTCTCGCTGGTGTGACCCGGACTCGACTCGGGGTCAACCGGGGATCCAATTACGGCACCACTCTATATCTTTGGCGTCTCCTATTTGGCTGCCCCAGACATGAGACTCCCATCGTCTTTGACCAGATAGGGTACGTTCACCATCACCACTAACTTGTTGGCTGCACCCCTACGACCCTCCCCTACAGTGCCTAGCCGCTTACGGCCGCGGGACAGCATCGCTTCTTTGCGCTGTCCAAACTCTCCTCCAGATCTTTGGGACTCATACTGGCTCTCCTCAATAACGAGCAGCATCCCCAATCGCCTAACCGGATATCCAACCCTAAGACCACCGACGGCTTGGGTCCCGAGTAACTCGCAAACGCGGCATACCTCTTTTCCTTGAAACTTTGCCCACCCCCATGTCCGTCCACCACCGACTCCGGTAAGGATCAGGATCATCTGGTTCAGATACACCAAAACTTGCGATACCTTCATAAAATTTACGCCATCCACCAAAACACTGTGGCCAAACCCCATCGGATCTCCCTTGCTCGTCCTCGCCTGAATCCTGACAGCCTCATCCGAGCTTGTGTCTCCCTCGAGAAACATTAGCGACCTCCCCCGTGGCTTTTATATTGTGTATAGGTGCGCTGAAAGTCCCTGGCCTGTTCCCCACTGATCATCTCTCCGCGTTTATCTCTGCTCGTGGCGGACTCGGTGGAAGCTTACATATCTAGGCAGGGCCAATATCAGCTGTCGAACACCCCCTCTCGACTTCAACCACTCAGTACCCTGGGGCCTGCGGCCTGTTTAGCGTGGTGCACACCAGGCCCTCCTGCCCGGCTCCATCTCCACCACCCGGGCGCCGCGCGATCGCGATTTGTATCTTACTCTGCCCACCCTGCGCCTCCAGCTTGGTGCGAGGCATCTTGGAAGCCATCTGCAAGCCACCACGGCGTCGGATTGGCACGATTGATCATCCTGGCATCTGCCAAACACAGGCTCCCCAGGCCTAGCCGTTCTTTATCGCTCCCTATCGACAGGGTTAGTCGACGCCGCCAAAATCTTCCGCGTCGTTAGAATCGCTATCCCACCTCTGCATCTTCCTCAACTTCCTGGAATCCTCAGCCCTCCCCCGTCTGAACTGCTCTTCCCGTCCCATTCCTGCCCTTCTGTCGTCACCTATCTCTCCTACACAACGTCGCTACAATCTCAGGATATTGTCGTCGCCATCAACTTCCTTTGCACTTTGATTCTTCGTCAATTGGCTAATTCGCTTCGTGACGGTCGAAGCACGATCGACCCATCGGTAGATACTACTTTCTTACCTTTGAGTATCGTCTTGGTACTTGTCGCGAGTTTGATAACCACTTCACCTACACTTGCCGGGAACCACCCGAGCTGTTGCTATCACCGTTTCAGGTTTCACAAATATCAATCTGGTCTTGATCCTTCAGGCCCTGACCACAATATCTCCCCATTGAGTTCGGAATCTCTTACCCTCCTGTACAGCCTTCTTGGACAGCAATCTGGGCATTGACTCAGTACTCAGAATCGACACATTCTCAATCGTCAGGAGGGACGAAAGCATCCTCACCACGAATGCGTAATTGCACATTACTCAAGCAATTTCCCAGCGAGCAAAGTGTCGTGCCTCCTGTCCATCCTTGACATTGCACTGTCATCGGCGCCTTCTCGACTTTGACAGTTCAGCTCGGGTTTGTGGTAGTCGAAGGCCCGGCGCTCCCTACTTCTCCTCGCTCTTTCGAAGCATGAGTGTGGTTGCTTTCAACTTCCCGGAACCTCGACTGCAGCCCAGTTTGTCGGACTACTATACAATGCCAGTGCATCCTTCAGGTTTCGAGGGTGCGGCTGCCGATAGGCGCATGTCGAGCGCCAATGAAGCCGCCCTCATGGCTCTGCCGACAGTTATGTTGCGACGTCTGCCACGAAATACGACCCTTGAGGCAGTGCGCACGATGCTTTTATTCGCCAAAGACCTCCAAGATACCGAGATCATTCCAAATGAGTATGAAGAGGATGCTGGCTTCACCACTGCGATCGCTCGATTTGGTTCCATGGCTGGGGCAACTGAGGCACAAACCATGCTCGATGGCAAGCCCAACACGGCCGGGCAGGCGAAAATGATTGTGGAAGTGATAAGCAGCCCATCCATGGCAGCAGTGCCTCGCCGCAACACCATTGATCCTCTGGCTAGCCGCAAAATAGGCCAGTCGGTATCGCCGTCCATGACCAGCGCCCAGAAGTCGTCACGATTTAACGGCACGTTCCAGTCCATGGACAAGACATCTCCGCCGCCTGTTGGGTCTCCGCCAGAACTGGTGTCGTCGGACACCAGTTCTCAGTTGCAGACAATCTTTTCGCCGCAGTCGCCAGTACCGAGTGGTCTGGCGGATCGCCCTCGTGCCAGCGGCAAGAAGGTGATCAATGAAGACGGCGCAGATGACGATACAGGCGAGTTACTCAAGGATCCCCTTGCGTATATGAACAATTCGTCAAGCAACCCGACCGGCAAAAGATCAACACACCCACACATGCCTACCGCCGCCTTCTCAGCCCTCTCACTGAATACCAATATTGGCAATGGGGCAGCGTCTAACTATGCGTCTCCTCGGTCTGCGGTCGGGTCTCGCACTCCTCACGCGCAGTTTCCAACAATGGGCCCCAACGGACACTACTCGATGCCTTCCCAACCTTACCTCCGACATAATTATCCTCCTGTCAACCCTGCCGACCAGAATCCACCCTGCAACACTTTGTATGTGGGTAACTTACCCATTGACACGTCGGAGGACGAGCTCAAAGCCATGTTTTCCAAACAGCGCGGGTACAAAAGGTTGTGCTTCCGGACCAAACAGAATGGGCCAATGTGTTTCGTGGAGTTTGAAGACATTTCTTTCGCAACCAAGGCTCTGAATGAATTGTACGGGGCGCAGCTCCACAACAGCGTCAAGGGCGGGATCCGGTTGAGCTTCTCCAAGAACCCGCTGGGAGTGCGTGCGGGTCAGCCCGGGAGCAACAACCCAAGCACGCCCCTCAGCGCCACGGGGCCGATGAGTGTGAATGGGTTCAGCAATGTCACGCATGGTGGCTTTTCGACGGCCAGCGGACCGCCGCCCGGCCTGTCGGTTCCTCCGGGACTCAATATGTCCGTGGCTGGCATGAATGGCGCTGGTGTCCCTCCGGGGACATTTGTGAATCAATTCCCGCTAGGCAGTAGTCCGGCGCCCAATATGCGAGGAATGGCAACGAACAGCGGGGCGCCGGGACCGGGAGGAATGTATCCCGACTACATGCTCGGACGGTGAAGCAAGCGGAATGAGCAAGAATGAGAGTTATGGGATGCACGATCAACATAGTTACAGCATGGTGGAAAGTCTAGCATGGGTGTGATATTGGACTCCTTTACGGCTAGCATATAGCTGTCCAACTTGGGACTGGGCAGGAGGAGCATGTGTTTCTTGGGAAATTGGGGCTGAGCCGACATGGCGAGATTGTCGTTGATTGATTTTTCAAGCACAGAGATTCCCCCTTTAGCAGACAATCAGCAGGCGGGCAAGCGACACGGCGTTTTTTCTTTCTTTCTGATATCGAGGGAACCACAGGAACCAAACACCGGAGGGCAGATTTCTGGCATGATGTGCTCACTGTCATTATCGAAGCGATTGTTTATTGTGCATTGACGGAATGGAGCTGACATTATGGGCAAGGAACGTCATGGGTGGGAACAGTGGACATATGATTGCTTTGGGCAATTGGAAGCCCGTGCCTGGATGGCGACGGCGACTGAGGATCAGGGATTATTTGTGCAAGACTGGGAGGAGGCGCATTCGACGTGTGATGAAAAACAAGCCTCATTGCATGGACTTTATGAAGAGCAAAGGCCACGGGATCTCAGTAGGACGGCGTGCATTTGGGTTTGATTTGGGGTTTGGGTTGCTTTGTCACCATTGATGCTGGTTAAGTAAATGGTTCTGACTACTCATCGCGAGGCATGTAGCTGGTGACGGCCCTATCGATGGAATGCTAAGGTTACTCGTAATGGCTCGAGGGTGATTGACATAGAGTGGGAGTGGTGATTTGCTGCTTGGCCTAGGTTAACGCAATGATAGAGAGTCACGATGCAGGATAAGTCGAGATATCAAATGAAAGAAGTCGAGGTCAAGAAACAGAGGAGAAATCGAAGCCATTGACCGAGATGTATTGAGTGGTGTGAGCAGAGAGGTGAGTGGTGAGTGGTAAGTGGAGAGTGGTGAACTTGTGCGATGGTCAATTTTTAATGCAGTTCGGTGAGCTGCGGCGAAGATGTGATGGGCGACAAGCTGGTAGTACGTACGGTGGTAGCTACCTCGTACATGTACCGAGTACCTAGGTATGCATGGCGGTATGTAGGAGGATAATGATAAGTGGTGGGGTTGCAGAGTGCGAGAGAGACACAGTGAGACAGACGTGGAGACAGAATGTGAGTGAGAGAGAGAGAGAGAGAGAGAGAGAGAGAGAGAGAGAGAGAGAAGAGAGAAGAGACTCGGTAAGTTCCTTTTTGGGTGCTACTAAACAACAGCTATTAACACAACTACCTGGTAAGTACATCTCTCTCACATCTCTCTCTCTCTTTTCCTCTAGACCTCGCAACTCCTCGATAGCTCCTCAACCTCGTCAAGCTCCTCTAAAGATATTCAGGCAATCCATCCACTGGGTGTCACTGGCTATCAGCATTCCATTCACTGCCTCGGATTACGAGCCACCACTTCTTCGTTCCCCTTCCTCTCTGCTCTCTTGTTTTCTTCTGCATATCTCTCTGGATGACCAGACACAAGGCATGACTACCATCTCCATCTCCATCTCGGAATGGGGGGCTCGTCTACCACTCTTGCTACAGCTGTGACCAGTCCTCCGGGATGCCCTTATCGAGAGCCCGTTCACGCCCGCGCATTCCTCTATTCCGCAGCCTGAGTGCCAGTGCCGCTGCTCCCGCAGACCTTGCATCCCATGACAACGCCACCATCGCTCAGGATGAAACTCAACCACCTCGTCAACGCTCGTCCGGCGGCTTCAGTCTTCCCACTCTGTCCACTCTCGCCGGCTTCAATTTCCACCGTCGCCCGCGAACCAAGTCTGTAGGCAAGCGCAAGAGTCCTGTCCCCGTAGACGACGGTCCAGGTTCCGAGCGAGCGAGCACCACATCGGCCGGGACCCAAATCGCCCACGCCCCCAGACTGAGGCCTAATAAGCCCAAGGATCTACCGCTGCCGCTGGAGCCGCCCAATAACAAGACTGTTGACACCAACACCACGCCCAGTGCCACCTCACCAGCCACAGTTGCGCCCACGACACCCACCAGTGCCACCCAACTCGAGCTCGAGCCTGAGCCTAGCGACCCCGAATCCACCTTGGCCACTGCGGCTCCTGCTTCACACTCACTTTCACTTTCTCTTCACCCGGACACCACATCCAGCACCACCGCCGGAACCAGAACCTCTATCCCGACCACAAACACCCAACCCACGACGCCTTCACTCGGCAATCCGAATACCAGCATAGCTGCTCCTCCTGATCCCGCCCCTTCGCCTCCTACCGATCCCTCTTGTCCCGTGCTCCGCATCCAGCGTCCCTCGACTCCGACCATCCCGACCCTCTCCTCGGTACAATGCGATCGACATGAGACGCTGGACGCTATGCAGAGAAAAATATGGGTGAAACGACCCGGCGCCTCTCCGACCAGAGTCGAAGTCGCCGAAGACGACCTGGTCGACAATGTGCGCGATGTCATCCTGCAAAAATACGCCAACTCGCTGGGTCGCAGCATCGATGCTCCCGACATCACCCTCAAAATCATCAGCCGTGAACACAACAACAAAAATGTGAGCGCCGAGCGTGCTTTGGGTCCTGAGGAGCCCATTGGCGCCACCCTCGACGCCTACTACCCCGGCGGCCAACAGGTCGACGAAGCTCTCATTATCGAAGTCGCTTCCCGGAGAACCCCCCGCGCCTCTCCTCGCGCAGGAAACCACCAGATCTCCTACTACTATACCGATCAATACCGTCCCGATGACGCGGCGCGAGAATACTTCCCTCCCATGCCGCTCCACTCTCCTCATCTTGCTCACGTCCCCCATCCCAACTCGGTCGGCCACTCCATGGCCGTCTTGACCACCGGTCAGCTGCCCCCTCTCCCTAGTCCTGGCTCACACGGCCAGAGAAGACATGCGAGGCCAAAATATGGAAGGCAGCACACAAGCAGTCCGACCATCCTCCATACCGTGCAACCGAATGGTCAAGTTATAGGTACGTTTTCGTGACCCGGCGGCCGGCCAGATTGTGGAGGATGCTCATTGTGGATGTACAGAATCTAAAGCGCAGCTCAACGCGCCCGCTTCTTCGGCAGCTCCCCTCCCTACGCCACCGCCTCAGGGACCAAATGAGCACAAGCCTTCCATCACGCCTCCCAATCGAGTCTCTTCTCCACACCCTGGGCAAAAACTGAGGAGGCGAAAGGGTCCTGCCTTTGGCCGGTCGGTCAACGGTGACCCACAGGTTCCTCCCACGTCTCTCCCCGCTGCTGCAAATCTGTTGGACGGAACAGTCCCACCCATCAACGTCCTGTTAGTGGAAGACAACGTCATCAACCTGAAACTACTCGAGGCTTTTATGAAACGCCTGAAGGTGAGATGGAAATCTGCAATGAATGGTAAGGAAGCAGTGGCCATGTGGAGGACAGGTGGATTCCATCTGGTCTTGATGGATATCCAGCTGCCGGTGATGAATGGTCTGGAAGCTACCAAAGAGATTCGACGGCTCGAGGCCGTAAACGGCATTGGTGTCTTCAGTGGCAGCCCCATCGAGACCGCCCTAAAGAGTCCCCAGGCGAACGGAAGTCCTGTAGGCGAGGCGGATGTCCTGTCCGACCGCAGCCTGTTCAAAAGCCCAGTCATTATTGTGGCTTTGACTGCAAGCAGTTTGCAGAGTGACAGGCACGAGGCCTTGGCTGCTGGTTGCAACGACTTCTTGACAAAGGTAGGCTCCATGCCCCTCGATAAGCAATTCTGCCGCTTGCTAACCCCTCTGCGCATAGCCGGTCAACTTTGTATGGATGGAGCGCAAAGTCACTGAATGGGGCTGTATGCAAGCACTAATAGATTACGATGGGTGGAGGAAGTGGAAGCAGTTCGCTGAGGATAAGGGGAATGAAGACCCAGCCAAGCAGGCGGCCGACGAAAAAGAGGAAAAGGCCAAAGCGAAGGCTGCGCTCAAGGCCATGTTCTCAAGACCTCCCCCAACGATCAAGAAGGACAAGGACAGCGGAGCAAATAGTGGATCCAACAGCACAACAACGACAGCGTCCACAGCGTCCACAGCGGCCTCCGGCAGCGAGAGAACGTCGACCCCGGTGCAGAATGGAACGCCAAAGAAAGGAAGTAATCCGGGCCAAGGCTCAAGTACAAGAGGCCACAAGAGCAATCGAAGTATTGCAAGTGGAGGTGGGGGCAACCTAGAGAGCATGGCGGAGGAGGACGAAAAGGCAGCATGAAAATTCTTTTCTATCGTTGGGAGTCAAGAGGAGGGATTTTGTTTTCGTACATCACTCTTGGCCCTGGTGCTGGCCGGGCCTTGGCTTCTACGTTTTCGTTTATTCGAGCGTGCATGATACACGGAGTTCGTCGCCACTGAGAACAAACACTCACCGGGATGGTCAGCATTTTCATTTGTTTCCGGAAGCGGGCTCTTTGCGGGTTCGGTCCACGGCGAGGCAATATCGAGAGGGTCATGAAACGGTTGGGTGAAAAGGGGATGTTGTCTTTTCTAATCCCCCTTTCCAGGTTACTTTGCAGCACACATATATCACGCATTGCTGTTTCCGCGTTGAGCGTTTAGCCATGCTCCAGATTTCAGACAAGGCAATGACGATTTATTCTCACTTACCAGATCTGTGCGTACTGTCTCTTCGGTAGGTTGAACTCGTGGGGGCCAGATGTACCTCGTAGGTGCCATGGGGTCAGTGGTAGACAAGGCAAGGCTGAAGCAAGGCTGTGAAGCATGGACAAGGCTGCCAAGTTGCAAGGCAGCATGACGTCGACCTGATCTGGCAACCTGCAACCTCAATCAGATTCTCTCCACAACATTGCAGGCCCCCCATACGAGATCGAGACCAATTTGTTCCTAACGTCGCTGTTCACATTTGTCATCATGTCGGCCAAGATAGCAAAGACAATTGCGCGGCAGAAAGAAAAGTGAGTGGACATCTGTATGTGATCAGATTGCTGCTGAGCTTCATGCCCCTCTCTTCAGCCAATCCACGGCACATGCACACAAACACAAACACAAACACACTCGACGCTTCACGTTCAGAGACCCTAACATGTGCGACTTTCAGGATCGCCGAAGGAAACTTCTACGAAGCGCACCAGCAACTCCGCGTCATCACCGCCCGCTACCTCAAGGCCTCCGACTACACCTCCGCCTGCGACGTGCTGTACAATGGCGCCTTACTCCTCCTCCGCGCCGACCAGGGCGGCTCGGGCGGCGACCTGGCGCTCATGCTGCTGAACGACGTCTACGTCAAGGGCGAATACGCGTGTGACGGCGAGAACAAGCAGAGGCTGTTGGAGATTTTCCGTGCGTTTCCCAAGGAGGAACCCACCAGGAAGAGATTCGTGAGCGAGATGGTCAACTGGAGTGGCAAGTTTGGGGGTTTGGAGAGGGGGGATGCGGAAATTCATCACGAGGTCGGGAAGGTGCTTGCGGAAGGTAAGATCTGGACAGGCGGGGGCCTCCTTGTCAGAAATTCTATGTCTCTAACAAACCTGTGTCTCTATAGAGGGCGAAGCATACGACGCGGAACGGCATCTCGTCATCGGCACACAAGCCTCTGCCCCCGTCCTCGCCAGCTTACACTACGTCTGGTACAAACTGGACCAGCCACACCTCGCACCCATCTACGCCTCCCGCTCCGTCCTCCCGTACCTGTTGGTCGGCAACCTTTCCAGCGCAAACGCCGCCCTGTCCACCTTCACATCGCACCTCACGACCCAAAACCCCAATCTATTGTCCATGTCTCAACCCCTCGAGTCGGCCAAGTCGGGTACTTCGCTCCGAATCTTCCCTTCGATCCCCCTCCTCAACTTCCTCTCCCTGCTTCTCCTCGCGTGTCAAAAAGCCGACGCGGGTTTATTCCGCCAACTCGCCAAATTCTACGCCCCGCACCTGAAGGAGGTCGAGGGCCTGTGGAGCGAGCCCCTGGCACATGTCGGAGAGATCTGGTTCGGGATCAAGATCCCCCGGCAGAGTGCGGGCAATCCGTTGTTTGACATGATGGGCAGTATGCTCTTCGGTGGTGGACAGCAGCCGGGGAACAAAGCAGCGACACCGAGGTCGGGCACACCCAAACCTGCTGCAGGAGGTGGTGCCCGGAAAGAAATTGAGAAGCCGCCGACGATGGACTTGGACTGAAGTCGTGAGGGTCTTTTTTTGGGGGGTTGTGGGTGGAGTATCGTGGATAGTCATGAACGAAGACAGCAACCAAGTGTCACGGAGTTTACTTGATCTGGTTTGATATCAGAGGGAAAGTAATGACCCGAGCGATTGGTTTGAAAGATACACCGAGTACAGAAACGGGACCACTCTTTTGTTGCCAGCCGCTGTGCCTCCGCTCCCACCCCCGCGCTCCGCTCGGTTCCGCCCCGCCCCTGCCCCAACGCAACCAAATGTTGCAAGAGGACAATGCAAAATGCAAATTAATGCATTGAACAGCAAGGGATTTTATCAGAATCAGACTCTGGCACATGGGGTTCTCTTTCTCATTCTCCCTCTGATTCTGGTTATCGGATTGAAGACGTTTTTTCGGTTGCCTTACCCTGACTTACTTCCACTACCTAGGATCCATGGTTTGTGTTTTGTACAAGCCTCATGCCCGCTTATGGTATCGTTGATCTCGTTATCCCGTTTGGCCTGAATGGTTTGCTCTCTCGTCCTCGCCAACGGCCCTTAGTCCCTTTCGATTGAAATTCCGAGCTTCGAGACGCCAGACCCGCTTGATGGGTGTTAAAATGATACATAGACATCTCGGTAGACACAGCCTGTCCCTGTCCCTGTCCCTGCCGTAATTGTACATGGTGCGGCAGCAGAGACGGCGTGCAGTCCGACCCGTGAATTTGCAAACAGCCGGGCTACATAAGCCCTCTTTAGTCGTACACACCCACCTCGTCCCTCCCGGCCATGCCACCTATTCCCAAGGCCTCGCCGAACATCCAAGCTTCCTCCTCCGCCTTGGCCACCTCCCTGCGCAAACTGCCCATGATCAAGCCCATCAGCTCGTCCTTTTCGGCGGCCTCATCATCGTCGTCGACGGCAGCCGAGGCCGACGCCGAAGCTTTTCCTTTGGCTCGCGCGCGTTGTCGCGCCATCATCTCGCGCAACAGTCGCTCGATGCGTTGGCGGTCCCGTCGTTCTTCGTCTGCTTCGGCCTCGGCGCCGGCATCCATCGCTGCGGCGTGTCCATGGTCCACTCTCTGAATGTGGGACGAGTGATGGCCATAGGCGTCGTGGCCTTGTTGTTGGGCCCCTCTGCGTCCTGTGCGTCGGGAGTGGGGTTGGACAGACGCGCTATGGAATCCATCATCGGAGAATGCATGTTCATGCGCATCGCCTGGCTCAATATTTGCGTCTTCCTCATCCCCCTCCTCATCGTCGTCGTCGTCACTCCAATCTTCCTCCCCGTGCTCTTCTCCATGCCCGTCATCCGAGTCTGTCAGTCTGAGTCTGCCGGGGAGGACGGGGATTTTGGGCAGCACGGGACGCCCAGTGAGCGGATTCAGTGCGACGATCGATTGATTGGGGAAGAGGGCCGCCGAGGATCGTGGACTGAGCGGTCTATGGGGAGAAGTTGTAGGATCGTAGCCACCATCTACCAGTGGTGGTGCTGCGCGGTGAGGAGGTGAGAGCTGCGGCATTGGAGGTGGCGCGAAAGCAGAGCTTCTGGCGCCATTATTGTTATTAGGAGGGGCATCGTGGAAAGGAGATGACCGCGGCGGCGACGGCGAGAGCGACGGCGTGGATGCTGAGCGTTGATGACCCCTCGGACGCGGGAGGCTACTCCCACCACCGCCATACTGCTGCTGCCGCTGGGTTTGCGACTGTGATGGTTCCTGTCGCCGGGTTTGGTTACTGTTCGACTGTGACTGTGACTGTGATTGCGATTGTGCTCCCGAGGCCGGGCGTCGCGATAGATGTGCAGAAAACAGATTTCTCCGCACCGAGCCTGCGGCGACTTGATGGGAAGTGGAGGAGAGGAAAGATGATGAGTTGGGGGAGGCATCGGCCGTGTCGCGTGAGGGGGAAGCAGCCATTTTAACAAGAACAAAACGGGGCACCGAAAAGCTGGGCAACCCCTAGCCAGGAAGGAAGTAAGTAAGTTGAAGGGATCTTTCTGACAGATTGTTCCTCTTGACAGGGTCAGCCAGGGGTGGGACCTTTGAGGACCGTCGCTCGGACCGTGGGACACAAACAAAGAGCGGGATCCCGAGCGGAAGCACGCCAAGAGTAAACACGCCAAATGCTCCGCTTCCGCCAATCAGATTCATTTGCGGGCTAACAATACAAAAGTCCAACTCAGCCTCGCCGCTTTCCCCACAAAGTCTCCCTTTTCTACCAAGGTACGAGGTACTCCGTATCATACTATCTGCGCCCGTGCCAGTCAAGTGAAGCTAGGATATGACATAACCACTCCATGTCGGTTCTCGGCTGTCATCTCGCTCAGGCTGATGCCAGACTTTCGTTCTATTCGACAATGTACCTAGGTAGGCTCTGCAACGGGTGGACACAGCATCAGGCGACCAGCGAGCGGCGTGTTGTAAGAGGATCAACAAGGGTCGTATCGAATATGTTCAGCCCTAAGGTCCGGATCCCCGCTGGCCTGAGCGTATTCTCCCACCTTATATCAGATACAAGCGCTTGTCTGCCTGTCTTTGTCCCGTTGAGACAACAACAACAAGCATCAGCAACGTTGATACCGTGAAACACGATGGCAACTGAACCGACAGAGCAGGCAACCAACAGCACTATTCCACTTGAGCCAGACGCCGACTTTGTGCAAGGCCAGACTGCCGGCGCACCTGCGAAGCCCGTGCTGGTTATCGGCGGAGGTGTGGTTGGCTGTCTCACAGCTCTCAAGTTAGGTCAGGCAGGGATCGATGTCGACATCATCGAGAGGCTTCCTCAGACGAGCAACGAGCCGCGCGCATGCGGCTATTACGGCGCCGTCCACCATATGCTGAACGACATCGGCATGTACAAGGTGATCAGAGAAGAAGGAGGATTCATGACCCGTGGCCTCTGTTTCCGCAAGCCGCCCAAGGACGACGGCCAAGGTCGAGGTGGCAAGGTGTTCGGCGACGTCGTTGCAAATCTGCCCCTGTGCGGCCCCAATGACCCTCTCACGGAACCGGGCGCGGGCCTGCTGAATATGCCGCAAGCGCAACTCAACCGATTGTTCCTGCGTGAGGCGCTGAAGACGGGCCATGTTCAGATCCATTTCAACCGCGAACTGGTCCGCATCTTGAAAAACGACGACCACGAAAAAGGCGTCACGGTGCTCACGCGCGATCCCAACACCGGCGCTGAACGAGAATTCAAAGCCAGGTACGCCGTGGCAGCAGACGGCGCCCACTCGGCCGCTCGCAAGGCCCTTGGTCTCCCGTACGCGGGCCACACGTGGCCTGAACGGCTCATCGCCACAAACGTCATGGTCCGCAACGTCGAGGAAACGCCCATGCACACGCACTTCGTCATGCACCCGACACACTTCAGCATCTCGACTCCTCTGCAAGACCCCGTCATGGGGGAGAAGACACTCTGGCGGTGGACGTTGGCGGCGGACCCGGCGTTGGAGCAGTGCTCTGACGAGGAATTGTTGACGGACGAGGTCATCCACGCGCACTACGCGCGGTGTGTGCCGGGCCCGAGGCCGTTGGATGTGGACATCGTGGCGCGGTCGGTGTATAGGACGCATCAGAGGCTGGTGCCGACCATGAGGAAGGGGAACGTGTTACTAGCCGGAGATGCTGCGCATTGCAACCATGTGAGTTGGTACTTTCTTGAAACCAACCCCCCCTCCCATTGACGAACGTGCTAACCATCATTCCCCTCCCTTTTTCCCTTTTCTCAGCCCTTTGGCGCACTGGGCCTCAACACGGGCATGCTCGACGCCGAAGCCTGCGCCGACGCCCTGATCATGATTCTTAGGGATTCCTTCCCCGCTGCTCACACCCTAAACACCTACTCGGACTCGCGCCGCAAGGTCTTCCAGTTCTTCGTGGATCCCACGTCCACCCAGAACAAGCTCCGCGTCCACTCGAACCCCGTCGAGACGGCGGCCGAGGACGATTGGTACCTCAGGGATTTGAACCATATGACGCCCAAGAAGGCCGTCGAGATGGCGAGGCCGTATTTCGAGGGGTGGAGGACGGATATGAGGAAGGCTGTTGTCCAGGAAATGGAGGATGGATTTCCCGCACAGGGTTGATGTTCGCTTTGTCCTAGCACCCTGCTTTTCGGTTGATGTTAGTAGAAACGGGCGCATCTTGACTTGAGGACCATTTTCAAGCACCAACGAAAGGCACGGCTTCATCTTCTTACATTTTCTCATTCATACACGTAAGTTGGAGTCCATGGCCCAGCATTTCCCGCCACGGTGCTTTGGCCATCATCTCCGAGGTGCTATCTAGTTTTTCTCTTACAGGAAAATCAAGGATTGCACCATCAAAGGTCCCAGGGGTATCTCAAGAAACACGGACACAATATCTCACGCAACGAAAGGCAGTTACTTTTGCCGTCTCCTCTTCTCCACTCCCTCACTCCAGATCTTGCCCTTCAAAGGCAGGCAACTTCTTGACGACATCTTCCCAGCTCTCTTCCCCATCCACCAAAGCCTTGACCGCTGCGATGATCTCATCCTCGCTCGCCCTGACTTGCTTCGTGGAGTCTCTTTCTCTCAGCGTCAACGACCCATCTTTGACCGTCTGGAAATCAATAGTGATCCCAAACGGTGTCCCCAATTCGTCGTTACGAGCGTACCTCTTGCCAATGCTTGCAGAAGAGTCGTCCACTTTATTAGAAACCCCGACTCGGCGTAGACGGGTGGTTAGTTTCTTGATGAAGGGCTTGAAATCTGCGTGGCCAGAGAGTGGGACAAGGAGGACTTTGGTGGGGGCCACAGCAGGGGGGAAGGACAAGACTCCACGGGCAGCATCCCCTTCGCGAATCCAGAAGACGTGTTCCATCAGGCTGTAGAGAATTCGTCCGATGCCAAAGGACGGCTCGATGACGTTAGGCGTGTATTCGCGGACGTGTTCTGTTCGTTTCCTCTTTTCGATCTTGATCAGGTCTTTCTCAAGCTCTGTTCGTCCGCTTCCGACACCAGGCGTCTCGATCTCAATTTTCCCAGACTTATCCAACTCCAGCGCAAGCTTTTCGCGCAGGTCCTGTGAAAGAGCATCCACGGCGGCTTCGACGGCTTTTGCATCCTTGCGGAATTTGGGTCCAAGCTTCTTGCGTTCCAAGTCAACTTCATACTCTTCGATGATCAACGGTTGCGCTCGAGTTTCGCGCACAACGAGCGGTGCTCCAGTCTTCTTCATGTGGACTGTCAAATCATAGGCGCTTCGGTCGGCACACCCCACGCATTCAATCCAACCGTAGGTAGTGAAGAGTTCGGCGTCCCAGCAGTCCGCTGCATAGTGGGCCATTTCATTGGCCATGTGTTGTCTGAATCTCAATTTGGTCTGGTCAACTCCGAGTTTGAGCAAAAAGTCCTGTATCCTGACCAGGAAGTAGCCGAGAGTCTCATTATCTACCAGTCCAGAAGACACCGCGTCCCCAATAGTCAGCAGGTCGGGTTTTGTGCTCCCCGCGAGTTGAGTTTTTCTGTTCAGGAGAGATAACTTGGTGTCTTTGACATCTTCGAAGCGAGGGTGCTTTTTCCCACCTTCAGGGTCGACAAAATGCTCGATTTCGGCCATCAAGAACTCGCGGACACGCAGAAGCCCTGAGCGAGGGGAGATTTCGTTTCGGAAGGACTTTCCAATGGAGGCAGAGGCGAAGGGCATTGATTGCTGGTTGAATTCGAGGAGCTTCTGGAAGTTCAGGAACTGACCTTGGGCGGTTTCTGGACGAAGATATCCATTGGGTTTCTCGGCGCTAGGTCCAATCTGGGTCTGGAACATGAGGTTGAAAGCCCTGGGCGGCTCAAGTTCTGCTCCGGTTGAAGGACCTTTGATGTTGTATTTCTTGATCAATTCGCCGAGCTCGTCACCTCCGTAGTTGTCAATCTTTGCCAGGGTCTCTTCATACTCTTGCACGAGGGCGTCGTCAAGCTTCTCGATCTTTGTGTCCTTGATCTTCTTCTTCTTTTTGGCCTCCTTCGCTTCGTCAACCTCGATCGTTTGACCGCGTGCGTCTTTATCGGCTTTCAGCCTGGCCTCGAGGACCTGCTCCACCAAATGGTCCGCACGGAAGATCTCCCCACTCTTGGGATCCTTGCACATCCAATCTGCAAACTTGTCGACATGCCCGCTGGTCTTGAGAATTGCCTCTGGAGTAAGCATGGTGCAGTCAACCTCGAGCATGTCTTCTTCCAGGACAAAATGCTTCCGCCAAAGATCGACCACATTGGCTTGCAGGGCGCATCCTGGTGGACCGTAGTCAAAGAGCCCGCGTTCTCCGCCATAGATTTCGAAGGAGGGCGTGTAGAAGAGTCGTCGACGTAGGACAGATTCAAGGACCGCACGATCCAGCGGCTGGCCAGTCTTGGTCGTGCTCTCTGCCATGTTGAGGTCTAGTTTGGGCGGCTGGAATTTTGCTCGGACAAAAGTGGCAGCTGTGAAAGGTCGCACAAAGTGGGACGATTGAAAAGAAGTGGCTCTAGAAAGGCAAGCCAAAGCACGCATAGAACCAAGGAGGGAGGAAAAGAGGGACTGAGACGAAACCCCTGAGTAGGTAGGTATACACAGGAGTTGCAGGGTGTGATGACTCGAAACTCGCGGAGGACTCACGATTGGAAAGTGACAAAATCGTCTTTGGTCTGTGCAGGGGCCGAGCAGCCAGCCTCGTGCAGCCACAGACAGCGAGCACAGCCACATCCAGCCTTGCTGCTTTCGGAGATTCTCTTTTCTCCGCACAACTTTTTTCAGAAGAGGTCCTCAAGGCACAGAGCACATCAACTCACTCTTCAACACCGACCACGAGGTTCTAGCTTGACACATGTATCGCGCTCAACCGCCCTCTTAAACCCCTCCAAGATGCCCTCTCGAACCACAAGGCTCTCCGACAAGGCTGCTCTTCCTTTCAAAACCTCCAACAAGCAGCGAAGACAGGATCTCCACGTCAAGCAGAAACGTGCACGAGATGCACTGAAGCGGGCCGAAAGATTCAGTCGCAAGAAGGAGGAAGCGAAGAACCCGAAGCTGCGAGAAGATCGGCTGCGGCGCAATGTCCCCATTACATTGGACAAGAAACGGGTCTACGATGAGATTGCGGATGAGCCTGAAGACGGTGGTCTGGGGATGGTCTACGACGTCGAAAGGCTGAAGAGGAGGAAATTGGCCGAGGAACAGGAGTTACAGCACGGTGGCGATGCGGGGGAGGACACAGCGGAGGGTGAAGGAGACGATGATGACCACGACTCCATGCTGGAGGAAAGCAGCGATGATGAGAGTGACAACGACGAGGACGATCTCGAGCCTGCAGATCTGGACGAAGAGACGCAAGACCCTCTGCCCTCGAAGTCTCAGCTCAGCTCCTCAAGATCTCGACTAAAAGATCGCGCAACTTCACCGACCCGTTCGACGACCTCGACCAACCTCTCCCTTGCGCCCGCTGCGCTCGCCGCAAAATTTCCGACTCTCTTTTTGTCTCCTGACGCGCCTCCTCCACCGCCTCCTAAGATTTTAATCACCACATCGATAAACTCGACCTTGCACAATGAAGCCGCAATCCTCACCACCTTATTCCCCAACGCAAAGTACATCCGCCGCTCTTCCCACCGGTACGGGTATAAATTCTCCGTACGCGAAATCTCGGCCTTTGCAGCCAAGCACGGATACACGTCCGTCATTGTCCTCGAGGAGAACCAAAAGAGGCCCTCGGGCATGACCGTTGTGCATCTCCCCGTGGGCCCGACATTCCACTTTACAATCTCGAATTGGTATTCGGGCAAGCAGATTCCCGGCCACGGTCGTCCCACAGACCACGTCCCCGAACTGATTCTGAACAATTTCACGACCCCGCTCGGCCTGGTGACCGCTCACCTCTTCCGTTCTCTCTTCCCCGCCACTCCGGAACTCCAGGGCCGGCAGGTTCTGACTTTGCATAACCAGCGTGATTATATCTTTCTTCGCCGGCACCGGTATATCTTCCGCGCAAAGCGGGAGACGGAAAGATCTGTAGTTGGCGCCGATGGAAAGGAGATGAGAGGCACAGAAGGCATCAGAGCTGGACTGCAGGAACTCGGGCCAAGAATGACTCTCAAGTTGAGGAGGGTAGATAAGGGAATACAGAGAGCAAGTGGCCAGGATTGGGAATGGAAAGCCAAGATGGAGAAGAAGAGGACGAAATTCCAGCTGTGATATGCCGCAGACCGGCTGGCTGTGGAAGAAGGGCCATGGAATCAATCGGCGATCGCAGCACTTGGTCACGAAACAGGACTACGAAACCAGCCAAAAGAATCCCAGAAGAGGGACAAGGCTCAAGGTGAAAGCTCGCGTTGGATTTTCTCTGGACGTTGCAAGAGCCCTGGCCTCTTCATCCAGCTCATCGATTCCTCCCAACAGCTAGGGAGAGTTCTGTCCTTGGTCCATGTGTCTCGTTTCTCCCCCTTTCGTCTCGGCGCATCAACCTTGTTGACACCGTTTCCATTCACGTGTCAATAGATGTCAACACCATCCGATCCGTTCCCAATTGTCGTGGCCAGGTCAGTGTCTCCAACTCTCTTTCCTGGGTCCATTGCATGGCTACCTCGTGCATTTGACGTGTAGCCTATTCGTCCATCCGTGAAGCAAGCAAAATAAAACAGGGCTAAAAGCTGGAATAGCGGACTTTCCAATCTGGCCACCCATTCTTTCTCAAGCTCTAACTGCCTTGAGCCTGGGTCCAGAAGTCAAGACTAGCAATCACATCCTCGCCGTTCTCGTCTTCGTAAGCATACAGAATCTAGGGACAAGCCGTTAGCACAAACATGAACCCCCCAAGGCAGGCTTGATGGGAGTCACTCACCTCTCTCAAACTCGAGTGCAACATCCGCACATTTTTGCCCGTCATCACGTGAATCAACTCGCTCGTCTCAATATGCCGTATCTCGATGAAAGATGGCTCAAAGGCGAGGATGTACGGATAATTCAGTGCAAAGGCTTGCGGTGTTCCCTCCCACGTGATCTTCCAGTCCTGCCTTGCACGCCATCCGTTGCGGTTAACGAAAAAGCTGAAATCGGAATAGTTGAGCAGGAATTCGCCGTTAAGACGTTCAATGTGGATGGGTTTGACGTTCTCTTTGCGCGTCACAAAGTCAAGCGATGTATCGGCTTGGTCGAGCAGGGATTGTCGCTCGGTGGTCTCTAGCGAGACGACTTCGAAACCCCTGGCGCAGCCAACACATAGAGTGGAGCGGAGATAGTGTACTGATGTCGATTCAGCTGGGATGTAGAATTCCTAGAGCACTTGGTCAGCATCAACTGTCACACCTTTTCACCCGAACAGCTTTTACCTTGAAAGGCTTCAGAGCATCTTGGCCACTGGCAAACATCTTACTGATTGCCGGCTTCTTCTTACCCTTAGTAAGATCGTCCATGGGCTCGTATACCTTGATGGTGGTGGATAATGCCGAGGTCTTCACAGAGCACACCAAATGTCGCCCCAATCCAATTCCCGCTTTGAAGAAGTTGGAATGCCCCTGGATCTTGCGCGGTCTTGTCGCCAGTGGGTTCTGGTTATTCGGATCCAGTGCGTCAAAAGGATATGAAGTGAGTGTTTTGTTTGACAACACCAGCAGTAGCCGATACTCTTCCAGCGTGTCGATTTGGGAAACCTGAGTGGCGTCGAGAATGCGCTTCGGCTTGATGGTCTTGTCCTTTGGCCATCGATCAGCGATGTAAATACCGTTGTCAGTTCCATAAATGAGCTTGCGGCCTCCATCGGTTGGCACGAGACAGTTGACCCGGTTCTGAGCATTGAAGAAATTTTCGCACAAAATAGTCTTGGTGTAGAAGGCACTGCTTCGATCGCGAAGTTTGCTTTGCTGCTCTTCCACTAGTTCAATAAACTTTTTGCGTTGTGTGATGGAGGTGGCATATAGTTGAAGCTCATATGCACCTTTTCCAAGATGTCGAAAAGTAATGGGGTACACCTCTTTCTGACCGGGGGTGCTTGAAGTGGATGGTTTGTTGCCAGGGATGAGACTAGACGAGGACCGCTTTGCAAGACCCAGGCGGGGAATGACTTGATCCATTTCGGCAATAACGAGGAGCTCCAGTGGAATCGGCTTTCTGTACACTCGAAGTTCCTCTCGTTTGTTGACAGTTTTAACACGGCACATGAGCACCGCGTGATCAAAGAGGTATACTTGTACTTCTGCGCTGTCGGTGGGAGACTTCTTGAAGCTCATCTTGGTCAGAATGACCCGATTCTCCTCAGTAAGTTTCAGATCCGTGTACTCTCCCGCATTCCACTTGAGCTGTTGATTGAGCTGAAGCAAGTTGAAGTGATTCTCAGCTTTGCCACTCTCCGCATTGACTCGAGCCAGGAAATCCTTAATCAGGCCGATGGCTTTGGGTATATCCTTTTTGTCTGGGTTGTCATCTTTTGTGTATTTCAATACATTGTCCAGCAGGAGTGGGTATCTGGCTAATCGCGTTGTTGGTTTGGTAAGGTATCCGTTCAGCTCGAGCTTTCTGGACTCCTTGAGGCGCTCAGTCTCGTCAACGAACCGCGAGAAAGCTGGGTTGGCGCCTTTCTCTTTCTCGAATTCGTATTTGCCGTACATCTGGTTCGCTCCGTATTTGATGAAAGGATCGAATTGCGGCACAAATCTGAGAAAGATATCACCAATAGTGTGCACCACGTGTTGTTCTTTCTGCCGCTTTGACAACTCCTCCGCAAACCTGCCATTCACTGCAAGAACCTCTAGACAGTTGCCGAAGACGGTGCGGACAAATTTCTCTCGCCTCTCCTCTTTTATTGGAGACATGACATTGCCAGCGCCGCGAAGTGGCCTTATCCAGAAATCGCGGAGATATTCCAGATCCTTGACAAAGTCACGTTCTGTGTACATGATCTCTGAGATGACTTCCTGTCTCTTCTTCTCTCTGTCATCAATCTTGTCCGCAACCTCCTTTGGCACGCTATTGATCCAGAGCTTCTGTTCTTGATCTTCCTCGCCGTGTAAGCTGCCTCTCGAGTTTGAATGTCGTAATCCGGGCTGCGGCCGTAAATTCAGGCGTGCTTGCTGTTCCAGCCGCCGAGGACATGCGATCGAGTAGCAGAGATGGTCTTTGGTGCAAGTTGGAGAATAACATTCTGTCAGCAAGGTGAAGACACCGTTGACATCTTTCGAGGACGCCTCTTCTCCCATCGTTTCTCGGAACTGGTAAACTTCTCCGGGGGCATCCCTGAGTCGATGCTCATAGGTAACGTCGTGAAAGAACTTTTGGGCGTCAAGGGCTCGTCCGAGAAGTAGCGCAAGGTTCCTGTCGGTTGTCTTGATGATGTAGGCGATTAAGTCAACAGCCTCAGCTCCTGTGAAGGCATTCTTGTAAGAAAGGTCATTCTTGCTTCTGTCGCCGACGCCGATTCTTTCCTGAAAAGCGCTTGCAACGCGTGACAGAAGGGCAGGGTAGACTAGGGGCGACTTTCTTTGGACGACGGTCGTTGTCTGGCTGGCCGATGAATGGGCCGAGCCTGTCGGTCTACTCATCAAGCTGTCGTTGCGAGATCCATTCATGGTGGTTGTCGGCGTCAAGTCAGACGAAGCTGAGGTGGCAGAAGCGGCAGACACAGTGCGCGGGGGATTACTTCCTTCACTAGGGCGCCGCGACCGTGGAGTGATACCGTATCCTGGAGAATTGGTGGAGCTAAAGGAGCCATTAGATGAGGCATGGTGATCTGCGAAAGGGTCTGATTCTGATTCGCGGCGACGATGAGGCACGACTCTGCCACTTGTGAGTTGCTGTGTATGATCTCGATCTAAAGCGTACGATCCCATCGACATGGATCTATCCCCATCAACTCTTTCCGGTATGTGTCTGCCTTGGGCTGTCGTCCTTGAGCCACCCACTCCTGCATAAGGTTGCTGTCTGAAAGCACTGGCTGTACCCTGCTGGAAGCTACTGGGTGGCGGACGATAGCCCATGGTCGGCTCTCCAGGCCTCACCATGGACCGCGATCTGTAACCGTCATTGTTCAATGCTGGAGGAGGCATTCGGTTGGGAACAGGCCTCCGATCATAGTTCGACATCGACATTGAAGATGGGCCATTAGGTCGCGCATCTATCCGCTGAGGCGGAGGATAAGGTCGTCGGTCAGGAAACATGGGCGCGGGATTGTGTGGCGCCGGTCTTGTACTGTTGGCGCCATTTGTATAAGGCTGGCCCGGAGCAATGCCGTTGGAGCGATCGTAGGATTGAGGCATCTGACGCATTGGAGGAGGGGGTCCCTGTCTCATGGACATGGTATGAGGTTGGTGTTGCGAACTCATATTGGTCATGCTGGGCAGCCGATCATACATGCCACCCGCAGACTGTGTTGTCATTGTCTGGGATCTCCCCGGAGGAGGAGCACCGCCAAAGATATTATGGAAGGCAGTATCTCTTTGGTCGGCCGGACCTCCATGCTGTGGAGGAGGTGGCCTTGCACCATAATAGCGAGAATCGGGCAGACCATAGTCTGCCATGCTCGGTCAGAGGAGAGGGAAAAGAGTGATATAGCAGAGGCGTAGTTATTGAGCGAGCATGGAGAGTTGTGGTAATGGAGAAACTGATCTGCCGCGTGTAGGGTGCAGGGGGCTTTTTCTTGTCTCCTCTTTCGCGATCTTGAAATCTTTCCCCCACCCCCAAGTGGTCGATTGTCGTGTAGATAGCGATGGCAGAACGAAGGGCAACGATATGGATCGTAGGCTCGACGGAGTGGAACGGAATCAAAATCGAGGACAGTGGGTGGGCGATATTCAGGTTGGGGTTCAGTGTGCGTGCTGCACGAATGGAGGAGGTCGCAGTGGATGAGGGATGGTCAGAGATTACAGATGATGGTCGCACAGATTCCGCGTCATGCTCTCACCGGGCCAGCAGGGAGAGAAAGCAGATGGGGTTGAATGAGTATGTACGAATTAATGAGTAGTAATGGAGAAAAAGATCAATGGATAGAGCGCAGTATAGCATGTAGTGGGAATGGAAATGGGAATGGGATGGTGGATGGTGGTCTGTGGATGGTGGATGGTGGATGGTGGATGGGGAGAAACGATGCAGTTGGACGAGGATCGACTGCTGGTGCTGCTGCTACTGCTAATCCACGCCTAAGAGGCTACGACTGGGGTTGCCATTGGCTGCGCCTGCCTCTACTACTAGGTACTGCTCCTGGCTGCTGCTGGCTGCTCCTGGGCTGCTCTTGACTGCGGTGGCACTGGGTGGCTCGGTGCGTAGAAGCGCAGGCACATCATCGCCATCTCTTTTCCCTCCCCAAGCTTCATCGGCAGAACGTTACTTGCAAGGTGCTCTGACTACCTAACTACCTACCCGCCTATCCAACAGCTCTCTTTCTTGCTCCTCTTCGACATCTCATCATCAGACACTGAACATCCCACCATGGCGACAATCACAGAGGGACCTGGCAGTGAACTCACCCCCAACTTTGCTCCCTTCTTTGGCATGGTAAATTCCTCACTCATACCTCGCTGGACGAAACAGAACTGACAGTCTGATTGATGCAGGCCGGAATCGCCTCTGCTGTACGTCGAGCTAGCCTCAAACAAACCAGACCGTCTCTGCTAACCCTCTGTGCGCTTTAGATGATCTTTGGCTGTATGGTTTACAAGAAGAATTGAATGATGCAAGAGATGCTGAATAGTCATACAGGTGTAGGAGCCGCCTATGGCACTGCGAAATCAGGCATCGGAATTGCTGGTGTGGGGAGTTACCGCCCTGACTTGGTCATGAAGGTATGGATTGCGCAACCAAACCCTCGATGTGCTTTGTTTGACGACGAATGTCAGTCCCTCATTCCCGTCGTCATGTCCGGAATCATCGCCGTCTACGCCCTCGTCATCGCCGTGCTTATCGCCTCAGACATCGGACCCCCGCCCCAGCAGAATTACAGCTTGTTTACGGGATTCATGCACCTGGCTTCTGGACTAAGTGTTGGAATGGCTGGTCTAGCAGCGGGCTATGCCATTGGAGTTGTGGGAGATATGGGTGTGAGATGCTACATGCAGCAAAGCAGGATATTTGTGGGCATGGTGCTCATTTTGATCTTCGGCGAAGTCCTGGGGCTCTATGGGTTGATCGTGGGGTTGATTTTGCATTCGAAGAGTTGAACAGCTGTCCGACGATATTGGAGGAAGGTAGGTATTACCTTAGAAGACCAGTACACGATGAATAGAGCCCGGCCGTTTCCAGTATGAAAAGCAGAGGGTTCTGAGCGACAATTTGTGTCGCACCTTGCATCTAGGAAAGCTATATGTGCTTACTGCAGGAATTTCCCAACATTGCCGCCAATATGCTCTAAATCCAACAGAAATGTATCGTGTCCGAACAAACTGATATCCTCGCCAAGTTCAACATGCGTAACTCGATTATTTCCTGTAGCCCTCAACGTCTCAGCTATCTCCCTCTGCTGCCACGCTGGGAAGAGTATATCGCTCGCCACGCCCATAACCAAGACCGGATGATTGCTTAGTGGCGCCATTCCCTGGACGAGATCTCTGGGCGGTCCAGCTTGATGGCCGGTGGCGACAGCTTCATCCATGGGCGCCGTCGAGACTTGCTCTTCGTAATTCTTTGGCGGCAGCATCAAACTGCATGCTGGGTCGTTTCGAATGGTTTCTGCCCCGCGGAAGTTCAACAACTTCTCCTGGTTCTTCTGTCTCCGTGTCCTGGTGCTCTCTTGATGAGCCCACCCAAGATCGAACAGATCCATTGCCTTGCTGACGTAAAGCAGAGAGTTTGGATCGTATTCCAAGGAAAACTTCTCACCGGCGTGGTCCAAGTACGTCTCAATCAAGAAATCCGGGCAGAGAGCGGGCTGCTTACTGGGGTCGGCTCGCTGTCTTCCAAACCGATTCTCCCACTCCGGTCCACTGCGATATGTCACTGTCGCAATTTCCCGGGCGAGTTTCATTCCCGTGTGTGGAGGAATGCTGTCGTAATAAAAACCCCTGTTCCATTTGGGGTCCATCATCAACACTTGTCGTTGAGTGTGACGCATGGCAATGCTGTACGGGTGGCTCCTTGCACAACCCGAAATGCTGACGATTTTGCCCACCCGGTCAGGGAAATGGACGCCAAAGGCGAGACTCTGCATTCCACCCATGCTGGCGCCAACGCTGGCATAGAGCTTGTCGATACGAAGTCCGTCCAGGAGCCGCGCTTGCGCTCTGACCATGTCGTCCATAGTCAAGATGGGAAACCGAGTGGCATATCGCTGACCGTCAGAGGGGTCGATAGAATAAGGTCCAGTCGAGCCGTAGCAGCCGCCTATCACGTTGGTGCAAATGACAAAGTTTTTATTGGTATCAAGAGGAGCACCAGGCCCAATGAACTTTTCCCACCACCCAGGTTTCGGGTTTGCTCCGGTGCTGTGTGCATGGCTCGACGCCGACAATCCAGTATGCAGCAGAATTGCATTGCTCTTGTCTGCGTTCAGAGTGCCCCAAGTCTCATAAGCGATCTTGAATTCGGGTAGTATCCCACCCCAATCCAACAGGATGGGTTCCGAGCTGTGGAACACCATGTGTCTGCCCGTGGTATAGGACGGTTCGGGGCCCGATTCGAGAGAGCGGTTCTGCAAAGCAGCGGTCTTCATTTCTTGAGCATCAAGACAGGGAAAGGACATTGCAGGGTTCGTGGACTCGGGACTGTCGTAGGGTCCCTCTTCTTGCACGACGGCGGCGGCAGCCTGTGCATGATGAGTTGCTCGCGTGTGTAAAGACGCATTTCTAATCCGCTGGGTCTTTGGTTTTGCAGGGAAGCGGTCGAACCTGTAGTCTCTTTTATATAAGGACGGATTGGAGGTCAACGGTCTTGAGCCTCGACTAAGGAGCCTTGCTGCGATCTGGGCTCCTCGAGGGACCGCCATGTCGAGGTGCACAGGATGTCAACCTGGTAGAGGATCGAAGAGGCCGCGGGGTCTCCCCCAAGAGACAAGTTAGAAATATGACATCCATTTTCCTGCGCCTTGACAACTTGGGGTAAAAATGGCAGGGAGTCGATGGCGCCGTCGATGAGCACGACATCGGCAGCCAATAAAAAAGCAGTTGAGTGTTTTCGCCTAACCTGCCTCTTCCCAATCCTCAGCCTTGCGGGTGCTGTGCCACTTCAGCCTTGGAGACAGCCTCGTCGGGCCGTTTTCTGTCGAGTATCGAGCATGACAATATCCCAGGCCGAAGTCTTCTACCCACCAGCGACTCAGCCTCTGTAGCGAGTTACCGCTTCGGTTGGATGTGAAAACACGTGTATTTTCCACGCCTGGCCAGTATTTCTATCTCAGTTGGGCTGAAAATGGAACGCTACAGAAGGAAGGAAAAGAAAGAAGCGGTGCGGGTTTGCCACACATTCGTGTGGGATGGGCAATTCCTGGTGAACCCGTGTCATATCTTCGCTTCCAGGTGGACATGGTATTTCCCTGGTGCAGAAAATGCTCAGAAACAAGGAAAATTGGTATTGCGCAAGGAGACAAGCACCGCAGAAGATGGTTGTTGGTCACCCTCATCCCCTCTGTGGCGTGGTCTAGCTGGACCGACCTTGATCAATGTAACATGTCATTCTTCATTCTGTCTGGATCCTCGTCCCGGGTAGAAACAAACACGATGCTGGCACCGAAAGAGCTTTTCGATTTGACCAGTGTAGCCGTGGAAGACGGAATACAAAAGCGAGCTGGTTGGTCTTCCGGCAACCTCGGCTGATTCCCCAGCTCAGGAACCGCCGCAAAGCCCATTCCAGCTCCGCAGTCCAAATCGCCGCATCTTACCTTTGATTACTACCTAGTACTAGGTAGTCTATTGCCGGCGCCTGTGGTCCTGTACCCGTCTCGCCGCATACGGCGATAGCTGACTTTCCAATGCCGAGGGACAATTGAAACATTTTATATCCTGCCCCAAGATCTCTTGGAGGAGTTGGAAAGGCTCCAGAAAAGCCCATCCACCACCTTCTTACAGACCTTGTCGGCCAGCTTCAGGTATACAATTGCCGGTAACGATTGCTTCCCTCTTAACCTCGAGGCATCTGTCCTGTACCTCCCGTCTCGATCCATCGCTTTTGTCCGCCCACGTCAATGGCTACCATGGCTTCCCCCGAAGAAGCAGTCCTCTACAGGCAGCAAGGCCGTGTCGCGATCATCACCCTCAACCAGCCCAAGAAACTAAATGCCATGAGCCAGCCTTACTACTATCGCATCTCCTGCCTGCTCCGGGACATCGCAGAGAATCCCGAGATTAGCGTCACGGTACTCACAGGCACAGGCCGGTTTTTCTCGGCGGGTGCAAACGTCAATTCTACAAGACCGGGTGTAGGACCAGACCTGGACAAAGACGCAGTACGCAACGATATCTTGAAGGGATTCGTGAGCAACAACTTGGATATCACACGCTCGTTCTATACACACCCGAAGATCCTGGTCGCAGCGCTGAATGGGCCTACGGTGGGGCTGTCCGCTGCACTGTTGGGCTTCTGCGACTTCATTTATGCCGCCCCGCATACCTTTCTGTTGACGCCCTTCTCCTCGCTGGGGCTAGTCGCAGAGGGCGGTGCGAGCGTTGGGCTCGTGCAGCGCATGGGTCTGGCCAAGGCCAACGAAGCACTCATCATGTCCCGCAAGATCCCATGTGACGAGCTCGTGGCATGCGGCTTCGTGAACAAGGTCTTCTCTGGCAAAGATCAAAATGACTCCGACGGATTCCTGAAACAGGTGTTGGCGGAAATCGATGACAAACTGGGCGACCACCTGAACCAGGAGTCCATCATCAAAATCAAGGAGTTGATCAGACGGCCATTCTTGGAAGGCCTTGAGGCACAAGGAGTCAGGGAGGTGATGGAGGGTATGCAGCGGTTTGTCAAGGGAGCGCCGCAGGAAGAATTTAAGAAGATTGCCAGTGGACAGAAGAGACACAAATTGTAGATATTCTGGGTGGGACCAGACCAATGTGGAGATTGCACGGGGTGGTTGAGGATTGATGGAAAGTGATGATCTGTCAATAGTCACTGCTAGGGGACTTACCTAGGTACATAATGGTCTCGGAGATCAAAGGGATGTATAGGAAGGGATGATTTTTGGAATGAAAAGCACACACATGAGACTAATCCTCGCTGTACTTATCCCGCTAAGCATGCCGTATTGCTTGCTCTGATCTCCCAGGTCTCTCTTCTGATTCGCACTCCCCTTCAGCATGAAAACCCCATTCTCTTCTGATTCCTGGTCGGTCACGTAGCACCGCCTCCTCGTGTCAGGAGGTCCTCTCCGTTGCCGGTTCGTCCCTGGCTTCGTACTGAACTTTCTGTGCGATGTCTGCGCTGTGACCACAAGCAAGCTGATCCACGGGGGTGTAGCGCTTTGGGATCCATGCAAAGCAGCGAGCAGTTTCAAAATGAAAGCGGCACGAACAACCATTTCGCCGGTTCATCAAGTTGACTATTCAGGCCTCATTGTATCCGAAACGGGCTCTATGGAGGCTCGAGCGAAGCGCTTCTGGACGAAAGCCTGCATCAGCAATTTGACATGACAAGGATCCTTGGCCCCTTTCACACATGCCGCCCCCATAATGCAAATATCCAGAGGCCTATTGCTTTCCAGCTTCGCCACGGTGCAAGGGCCCTGAGCAGGCATGTTGGCCGTGTAGTGAAAAGCAGCGGGCACGTCCGGAATGAAAAGCAGCAGCAAAGACTAGTTTGCTGGTTCACGAAGATGCCCCTTTAGGAACCAATGTTGCCTGATACATGCTCTTGAGTGACTTGTGCCGCTGGAGCAAAGACTCGGTGTCAATTGTCGTGCTGACTGGCTGATCGTGCTCCTCCTCCCCTCTTGGAACAATCTCAGAACAGAGTCGTGTCAGGCCAGATCTGCTCCACAGCTTGCGCAGATCATCACGGCCGTGAAAAGCAGCAACCGGACGTGAAGAAAAGCAGCACCAAAAAGAAGTTTGCTGTTTCATGAACTGCTCATCTTGGGCCTGACGGTTTACGGAAGAGGAAATGTATACGCTTAGAGATTGGCGGAGAGCAAGCCACAGACGTGTCTAAGGCGCCATGTGGATGAAATGATGAGGAAGCATGCTCGCATGGAACGAAGGTGCCGGGATGTGGAAGCAGAGCGATGAAAAGGAGCAAGATATTTGAGGGGTTCTTGACTGAGCAGAGCAGCAGAGCAAAAAGAGCGGGATGCCTAGGCCGCTAATGGCAAGTTTTGTCTTCCCGAAACAGAAACAGCCCTTGCTATTATTACTGTTCTGCTTATGCGACTCTGAAGGACATCCCGCCTCTTTTAACCTGCTGAATCCATCTTCAAGCAGCGACTGTCCACTTCCCGCGCCTGGATTTGATGTTCCGACCTCGTATTGCGCATCTTCTTCTCCTTTCTCCGTGGACAATTCAACACCATGGAGCCGGGCTAAAGTAAACACACTCGCGGTCCATCCAATCGCTCTTCTAAACTCCTTTGTCAGCGCATCCCCGGGATCGGTACCAATGCAGGGAATGTCATGGTGCATCTCTTGCTAGACTTCTTTCAAACCATACCTCTGAGCTTCAGAGTTTGTCAGATGACGTTTCAACCGGTCTGTATACCATGGCCTGGGCTGAGCTGGGAGCTTGCTCATGAGCTAAGCTACAGCTCGAGCTCGAGCTGCACCTGCGGTGGAGTGCAACACTCTGTGCATTGTCCCAGCACCAGGTTGAGTACATATATATGGAAGTCAAAACACTCCTGTCCTCCCATCCATGTGTTCAGTCGTTCAGCATAGACATCGAGAAGCAAGAGATCCAAACTGAGCTATAGCACGGAAACCATTCAATTGCTCACTCTTGACAATTATCCAGATTCTGACCTTGCAACATTGTCAAGATGTACACGACGTTGCCTAATGGTATCAAAGTCTTCTATCGCGAAGCAGGCTCCTCAAGCAACCCGACCATCCTGTTGCTACATGGCTTCCCATCATCCTCAAACCAATACCGAAAATTGATCCCTATCCTCGCAGAGAAATACCATGTTGTCGCCCCAGACCTGCCGGGCTTTGGTTTCACGGAAGTTCCCGCCGCGCTGAACTTCAAATACACTTTCGCCAATATCGCGACCACCATCGGCTCCTTCCTTGACGTTCTCAAGATCCAAAAGTTCGCCGTGTATGTGTTCGACTATGGTGCCCCGACAGGGTTCCGCCTTGCGCTTGAGCGGCCCGAGGCCATCACTGCCATCATCTCCCAGAACGGTAATGCCTACGAAGAAGGTCTATCGTCGTTCTGGGATCCCCTGCGGAAACTGTGGGCTTCAGATGCTGGCTCAGACGAGGAGAAACAATTGCGCGAGATGGTATCGGGTGCAGTCTTGTCCTTTGATGCCACGAAGGGTCAATATCTAAATGGTGAGCCCGAGGCTGAAAAGATTGATGACCCGGCGACATACCATCTCGACTACGCCCTTATGTGCCGGCCAGGCAACAAGGAGATCCAGCTCGACCTCTTCAGGGACTATGCCTCTAACGTCGCCCTCTATCCCAAGTTTCAGGCTTACATGCGTGAGAGCAATGTTCCCGTGCTGGCCGTATGGGGCAAGAACGATGTTATCTTCCCGCCCCCAGGAGCCGAAGCCTTCAAGAGGGATGTGAAATCGCTGAAACTGGTGTTCTTGGACGGCGGGCACTTTTTGGTCGAAAGTCACACCGAAGAGATTGGGAAGCTGATGCTGGGTTTCTTGGCCGAAAAGGGCATTTGATCGATCTTACCCAAAACCTAATTGAATGGACAGGTCATAGTTGGGGAGCAGCCGCATCTTCTATTGATACCCACGAGTTGTAATACATAGCTTAGGTAGACAGTCAAAAATGGAATCTCGCCGTTGCAATTGATGTCTTTTGGCAATTGGTTACCCTTAACTCTCGGGTGAGCTCTTGATGTTTCTACCTGTGGTTATTTGAATTGCACACTTGCTGGCGAAGAAAGATCGCGGTTGTTCTTCCAAGCAATCTACGCATTGTAAGGGACTGCTCGCGCGTCGTCGACCTCCACCACCTGTGTCCATTCAACAACCGATTGAAACATCACGTGCAGGGCAGATCCGACTTTGCTGAGTCAGTACATGCCAAGGACATCCACAGGCCGAAGGTCTATTCAGCTCTAGACCTCGTCGCTGACAAAGTCGCTGGGCACGGAGGGTACAGAGAACGCAATGCCACGAGGCTGAACTGCCCTCGTGGTTGTGAAGCCATGGAGCCCTGCAGCATCAACTACAAAGTATAAATGAACCGGTAGGATCTTCCCAGTTGACTGTGAAGCATGGTCAAAGACGATTGCAATCAAGGAAGAGGCTAGGTTCTCGGAAGATATACTGCTCACGATGCCAGCTTCATTGCGTCTCGAAATATTCCCATCCAATCTTCAACAGATGATTGACTTCTATTGCACCATCCTCAATTTTGCGTTGATCAAGCGGAATGGCGACTACGCCTACCTTGGGCGCGACAACATCTTCATCGGCGCCATCGAGACTGGTTCGACCGAGTCCCTTGAAGAGAAAGCAAGCTACCGTCGCCCAACCAAAGGAGTTGAAATAGTGGTTGAAGTTGACGACTTGGAGAAGGAGAGAGATCTCATTGTTGGTAAGGGCTGGAAGCTGGATGCCGACATTCAATGGCAGGATTGGGGACTGAAGGATTTCCGCTTGACCGATCCTGACGGGTGAGTGAACGATGCCTGTCCAGCTGATTGCCGGATTGGCGGGGTCAATAGATCGGGTTCAGCCATTCACCTGCAGTTCACTAGGTACTACCTGAGGTTCACGACGCACAGTCCGAATCGCGATGGGAAAGGTCCATAAGGAGGCACATGGGAAAGTCGTGTTGTCCCATGAACCGAGGTCAGTTTCACATGCGGCTCCTGAGGATCCCCTCCACCTTACCTGTGTAGGCTATTGCAGCTGAGATCATCTAGGAGGCTGTGTTTGTTTCATCTTTTGAGGGAAGGATGACGACGTTTGTTGTCTTGCCAAGGCACCCAAGGCACTCGCTAGGGGTTTCAAAGGGTGGTTCGTCGCCAGAGCCCATAGCAGTAGGTGTGATTGGACGTGATGCTCCCTGTGTTCGCTCGTGGCTACTGCAAGCAAGGGAAAACCCGGGCCTCACATACCTAGGTAGCACAAAGCGTCGTCGTTGTTGTATCGGGGTTTGCTGGTCGTCATACGTCATGATAAAAAGGAAAACAGAGCCAAGCGGCTCGTCTGTGGTCGGATCTAAGTTCCTAAACCTTGTATGACGAAGGCCAACGAGATCGGTGCGCCACAATCAAGCCACAATCAGCCACAGGTCTCCGTAGTGTGTGCGCTATAATTGGCGGAACGGACTAGCGCGTTGTGGGTTCTTACGATGGAATGTCGTCACTCCTCAGATCTTGGATTCTTCCCTTTGTTCAGCCCTCACCACCCACTCACTTTTCCCCTGTCGGGTTTGGTAGGAGCCTGCTCTTGCGGGTCAGCAGGTCAAAGGACGTCATAGATTCTGCAAGAGCATTGGGGGTTGGCATGGCATTCCGAATGACCTCAGACTGAATTGGGCTGAATCCTTAGACGCGGCTTGCTTTGTTCGACTGTGCGCGGAGCGATGTGACTGGCCACCCAGGCAACGTAGTGGGGGATAGGCGGTTCAAGGAAGGAGTGAATGACAATAAAGTGAGAAGTCGCAATGCGGGGCAAATCAGGCAAAGCAGGCAAACGCAATCTGGCACGGCAACGGCAGTGACATCGCGCCCTGACAGACTATAAGTAGCTCTCTCTTCCTCTTCTTCCTCTTCATCCCTTCCATCATCCACGATCTTCACACAGTTCATCAAAGTTTTCAATTCTAACCAAACCAAATTCAATCCAACCAAACTTCATCCACAATGGAGACCATCAAGAACACTGCCAAGTATGTTGCAGTCTATCCATTGTCGCCTCTCCACGATAATGACTGATTTGCCCAGCTACGTCGGTGACAAGGTCAACGAGGCCACCTCTGGTGCTTCCAAGGAGGCCAACAAGAACGTTGCCAAGGACTCTGATGCCTCCCTCGGAACCCGTGCCTCTGCTGCAAAGGACGCTGTCGGTGACAAGGTTGATGAGAGCAAGCACTCTGTACGTCCCCTCTTTTGGCCATTCTTTCAACCTTATCTCTAACACCGATCAGGCATCCGCTGAGGGCAACAAGCAAGCCGCTACTCACTAAACGTTTCAACGTCGACAGCACGTCTTGACCTACGATACCCTCTTGCTACAGTTCCTAAGAATGGTTTCTTTCTTCGTGGTCAGTGGTCGAGTGGTGGACGCACACAACCTAGCAGTACATGCCGGTGACAATGAGCTTCGGATGATGACAATGTATTTCTTATGACACATGCGCTCAAGAGAGCAGATGGCACCGAATGAGGTAGCTTCAATCCAATGATACTGTAACCCAAACGTTTCCCTCAGTTTCAGGTGCAATTTTGCCGTGATTTTGCTCGAGTATACAAGTTACACTTTCGCGAACGATGGTTTAGTTTCGATCTCTTCCACTATCCTGCGAACTAATTATTGTCCCCGTTCTTGAGATATTCTCGATGATACAGTCGATGAGCTACACTTTGTCTGTGCTATAATAGGACCTACTAACAGTTGGCCAAATCATCCAACGTCTTAGTAAACGAACGCCGCAGTCGAGATGAGGGTTTTTGTTCCAAGCCCAATGTCCTTTTTACCTTTGTACTAATTTCCTATACGTCCTTCCAGTATGACTGAGAAAAGCCATGGAAGAGCTGGTGCTAACAACCAGAGAGTATGCGGAGTGATCACCTTCACCACAACTACGGGGAGGGAAAGAAAACCACCATGACTATGACCTTTGCGTTTCCTGCCGCGACAATGCAATCACTTGAACTCACTTTTACATCCCTAGCAGCGCACACAACTAGAACCACGCCGTGAACAACCAACAACAATTGCACATCCCGAGTTTCTCTAATCAACACCTGTCATTGTTACTTGAGGCAAAACCCATAGCAACCATGCAACGGCCACGTGGCTTTTCCTCCTACTCTGCCTCCTCAAACGAGACCATACTGGAAGCATGCTCTTCTTCGCCTTATGCCACACACACTCCGGGTCCGGCAGATGCTGTACGCTTTCCATTAGACCCAGCAATCGTGCCGTTGCCTCGAACCTTCACCTCCGGCCCGGATTCCACCGTCCAGACAGTTCGCCGTAACGATGACGATGTTGCGGGAAGGAAAAAGGCCTCAAGCGGGAAGGAGCAAGATATTGACAGGAATAACGCAGCTGGAAATGATGATGAGGAAGAGTCGATTGACTGGGACGCCGAGTCGGAAGAAGACACCGCCGACAGCGCAGTGGCACCTCAGCCTCGTCAGGTCGTGAAGCGGGCCAAAGTGCCGCAGAACATGGGTTTCCACTTCGACTGGTGGATGGCGCGCATCGGCACCGCGGCGGTGAATGTGAGTATCCTTCTCACCCCTAATCTCTCCCCCAGACCTTTGCCCTCGCTGTTTGCTGCCCGTTCGTCCATGAGCGTGGAAGCCTCACATGCTAACCCCCGTTCGTGAATCCCTGTAGCTAGACTTCAAAGTTCTGTGTGCGAGCATGATGTTGTGGAGGGAGAAGAATGAGGTTTTGCAAGTCCCTTTACATCTTATGAGAGACACACCACGAACGTCCTGGAAAGGAGACAATACAGTCCCAAACTCAGCAGTATCGCAGATACCCCGACCGCCATCACCAGCACCATCACAGCTCATAACAGCGGATCGGTGGGCTGCCCTAAAGTTGAGCTGGGATGTCTTGCTGGAAGACATCAGGCTAGCGAGCGAGCAGATGCATCGGGACCGGAAGTGGAGGATCAGAGGGAAGAAGAATGCCGCTGGTTGGTGCAGATGGGGAGCAAGACAACGGATAGACCACAGGGGCGAATTCGTCGAGGAACCCGAAGTTGGATATGAGGTGGAAAGAGAGGTAGATGGCCGGACGTGTGTGATTAGGCTGGGATATCGGAGGAACGACGCAGTGGTGGAGGACATGGATTTGGACGATGAAATAGCTGGTTGTGATGACACTGTCGCTGGTGAGCAGGGCGCTGGCGGAGAAGAAGCAGCTCAAGGAACTTTGAACTGGCCGGCAGGCAACAGCTGCCAGGACCTCGACGTCGCGATGGAAGAAGCCCCGGAACCTTGATCAAACGCTAGGCATTCTCTGCGTTCCATCTCACACAGTCCTCGAACCTGGCTCCACTCCCGCCAAAGATGTCCAAGGCACTGCCGATGGTCAAATCAACCTTGCCTTGACTGCACTGCCTGACAAGGTCAAGATCAGCCACGGTGCGAGCGCCGCCGGCATATGTCACGGGTATCGTGCACCAGTCGGCCAACCTCGTGACGAGCTCGGTGTCGATGCCTTGCTGCAGACCTTCGTTGTCGGCTGCATGGATGAGGAACTCCGAACAATAGGGTTCGAGCATCTTGATGCTCTCTGCGGCGTCCCTTGCGTAAGCGGATGGATAGCAGGAAGAGCCCACCGAGGCATGCGTACATACCTCTGGTGATCTCCATTTCGGTGATAGTCTGCCACTTGTTCATGGCGACGAACCACGTATCGCCTCTCCTCCTACAGCTGAGGTCGATGACGAGTTTGTCTCTGTCATCCGCCAACGTCGCGAGCACGGACTTCAATCGCTCCAGGGAAAAGCGGCCGCTGGGAAATAAGAACGAAGTTATAATGACCTACTACTTCGTATTCTTGCGCCTTAGACAAGCCGGAATCTGGAGTTCGAGGGCGATAAATCAAGCAGGGGAGGACTAAATGTGGTCTTCTTCTGTCTGCTTACCTTCTCGGCGCCAGCTTCAATCCATTCCCTGGCATTTGCATCGGTGATGCCACCACCGACCTGGAGTCGCCCCGGCCAAGCAGAGAGAGCCTCCCTCGCAGCCTGTTCGTTGCCGGGTCCCAGCATGATGACATGGGCGCCGCGGAGATTGGCGTCACGGTACAAATTCGCAAAGTATCCCGCCGGATGTTTCGAGACGTAGTTTGTCTTGAGCTCGGATTCCTGGGTGCTCAGAGTCCCGCCGACGATTTGTTTGACCTGCCCGGCGTGCAGGTCGATGCAGGGCCGGAAGCGGGTCATAGCGGGCGGAGAGGATTTGTAGGTGAAAATTAGGGAGAGAGCACCTAGGTATATAAGAATCTTTTATGTATTTTTTGCTTTGAAGAAACGTATTGGGACGATGAACATGGTTCTACGGTATGTAAATGGAGCACAGGGCAGAATTGCGGCACAAGGGAAGGATCCGCCAATCAAAATTCGATGGTGTTGGGGCTTGCTTGGGGAATGGGGAAATTTTTGGGACCATCACGACCATCCCAAGTCATTTGGATCTGGCCCGACATTTGTACAATACTGTCAACTGCTCAGGTCCTGGCAGTGGCCCCAGTGGTGTCTGCATAGACGACGTCGGATACCTCTCTTGCTTGAGCCCAGCCACCAACAGAGCCCTTGTTCAAACAATGTTAGGGAAGCGAAAGCGAGAAGTCGCTGTTGCGGCTCGACCACGAGGGCGCAGTCCCGACGACGACGACGAACAGACTATCCCAACGCCTGTCGCTGTCGATCGAGAGATATTCCGCAAATATTTCGAATCCACGTTCGAACCTCTTCCAGAAACCGAGACTGTAACGCTCCAAACACAAGAGAAGGAAGCAGACGAAGACGAAGAAGAAGATGACAATGATGGCGAGGTCGACGCTGAGTCTGTGGAGGCAGAGTCCGAGTGGGATGGTCTCTCAGATTCAGAGCACGAGCACCCAACAGTTGAGATTGTGGAACATCACGCAGCGGGTGACCTGGCAGAGGAAGTTGGAGCGCGTCGGCAACAGTACAAGACATTCATGGTAAGTGGCTGTAACAGTTGTTGTGAATTACTCGGTTGTGACGTTGGCACTGATCCCTACGACAGAGTTCCCGGCCCCCAAAGGAGATAGATGGCGCGGGTAGAAAAGGTCCTGTCAAGGAGGCCGACGACGAGGACGACGCTACTACCGAGGCCCTGAATCTCAAACATGATCTTGATCTTCAACGCCTCCTGAAAGAATCCCATCTGCTCGAGCAGGCAAAGGCATCGTCCACACTAGGAACCCACCGGCACAAGGTGGTGGACATGCGGATGCAGGCCTTGGGCTCCAAGGCCTCCATGTTTCATCAAGAGAAGATGCCGCTGGCGCATAGAAGGGGGATCCTGGCGAAGGCGGCAGACCGGGAGGCCAGCCGAAGAAAGGAGGCCCGAGAGAATGGCATCATCCTGGAGAAAGCCTCGGGGAAGTCTAGGTCCAAAGACACCCGAAGAGAACGCGGCGTGGACGTCCCTGCTGTGGGCAGATTTCGAGGAGGCACTCTGACGCTTAGCAAGAAAGATGTCTTTGATATTCAAGGACAAGGCCCTTCTAGACCTCGTGGAAAGATACGACGACGATAATGATTGGCATGTATGTCCACTTCGACTGCAAGCTTTCAAGAGAAGTGAAGTCTCCTCCCTGTTCAGTCCGCACTTGCGCAAAAGGCAACCTTGGTTTGGACCTTACCAGCACTCCATTTCGCTGACCTGAACTCGCCGCCAGGCTGGACCGGGAGTTTTCTCTCTCCGGCGTTCCCTCGTCTGTCGGGGGAGAACAAGGGGGGATATTTGTCATGAACAAAGCGACAATGCCACATCGAGGCGAACTCTTCCAAAGCCAGCACCACAGCCTGAAACAAGATACTTCATCTTCGCGCTGCTCCCCGCTGCTTAAGTCAAGCATGGGTCCTCGTGTTACACCACTGCTTCAGCCTTGGCTCTATAAGGTAGAAAGCTTGAACCGTTCATGGAAGCGCTAGACGAACCTTTGGGGCCTCTCCTTGCTGGACTGTCTCACACTGACCTGGATGCCAGCTTGTGTCAGTGCTGGTCCCTGGACGACAACCATCACGTCCGGATGCAGGAAGCGGTGATAGTTCTCGCTGACTGTTTCGGGTTGCTCTCGACTCGATTCCATCCCCTCGGTCAGAGTGGTCTTGTGTCGGAGATTTGCCAGGGTTGGCCATGTTCACTGGGATTGCGCCACTTTTCACCGTTGGTAGCAACCACAAGCGAAGGGAAAGGAACTATGTTTCAAAAGTCAGGGAGCCTCGCGAGATCAGTGGAAGGCTCGTTTTCTTGAGCTTCGTGAAATGCTACGAATCGCGTGTTTGAATATTTCCTCGAATACCTTGTGGAATCGATCGGCTGTCAAAGTTGGGGGCCTTCAAAAAGGTTGCAGCAACGACTGGTCATAGACAGCTGCAGTGATGATGTGCATCCCGAGTCTTGGGCGTGATGGACGGCCCAATCACTTCGACCACGGAGAAAAACACATCTTGGGAAGCCAGTGGCAATGGAGATGACATCTCTCAGGCCTAAGGTTCACCCTTTTGTGACTGATGTGGCTGTCGAGTCGTGCAGAACCTGAAACATAGCGCCATCGGTCGGCCATTTTTAGGGGGCGTGGCGCGTGCGTCGAGATGCTGGAGACGGTCAAAGCCGACTCGAGAAAAGACCCATCATCCAGACTGAGCCTCGACAGGGTACCGCGGTCCATCTTTCGGCCTGGCTCTCGACTTGTAAAGCTCTGATCTGAAACTGTTGGTCAGGCGTGGTCGGCCGATGGCTGTGCGCGCCAGTTTGAGGTCCATCGCGGTCAGCCGGATTCGACCAAGGAGAGGAGAGGGAGACAGGATTCTCGGTGCGTAGTGCGTACAGCAGAGACCAACCATTGTCAAAAGATGGCGTGTAGGAAGGATTGTGGGGGCGTGTGTGACTGTGGTCAGCTAACGAAAAGGGAAGTAATTGGTGTTTGGTGATGGGAAGAATGCGAAGAGGGCGTCGACTGCGGGCGCCTGGACCACTTCCGTCACGTGGGCTGCGCTGCGATTTGCTTGTGCCTGCGCGCGCCGTCAACTCAAGCAAACAGCGAACACACCAATCACACTGGAAACACGAAATGCATCTTTTACGAGTAAGTTCTTGCGATGCTCCTTTCCTGCTCGGCATTCCAGGCCTTCGTACGCGATGCTATCGTGGATGAACAGGATTTACGACGGGCAAGCCCCCGGGACGCCCTTGTCGTCGACCTCGACATCCTCCCACCTCGTATCTCCGCAGTGTCATCGTGCAAGTGAAGCCATCGGTGAAGAACCTGCACATGTGTGAACCGCATTCGGCGAATAAATGGGTACCGACAATCACGCTTATGGGGTCGGGGATTTTCTTGTGTCAAGCTATTGAAGATCATCTCGCCATTGGTCATATCAAGAAAAAGGGGGCAGGCATGGAAGAATCAAACTCATGGGACCCTCATCTTCAAGTTGCATTGGGTTTCGTTCCGATTTTTGCCTGCGAAAGGTTGCAGTTGTGGGCACTCAGAGGCCAGAAGCAAACCCGTCCCAGCGTCAACATGGGTAATCGTGGTAATGGTGGAAATCTCTGAACGCGGATGTCGGCACCTCAGCAATGCAGCATGAAGGGCACTGCGACTTCTACGACGCTGTGCCGCGCCTGTTTTAGATGTGTTTCTGAATCATCAAGCCGTTGGCCGAATGGCTTTTGGCGCCAGAGTGGGCGGACAGCATCCCAAGACAACCGCCAACGCGAGACTATTCGTCCAGCCGATCCGCCGCTCCCAGCCACTCGTTTCATCAGTTCAACGTTCACATTGCATACTGACTTCAGCGAGACGCTGACCGTGGGGATACGAGCAGACTGCCCCTCGTGCGATGACCCCTCTTGTACGATCAAAATAGCAACCTGGCCGGGTCGGCATACTGCCCTGGCCATTACCATACTGAAGAATACTGTGATTTTTCTGGGTATGAACCGCACGGACAATACGGAGCCCGAGTACTCCATAGGGCTTTTCGGTAAACATACCTACGAGTACGAGTGCTGCTCGTGAACGGGCTAGTTCGGGGCTTCCAAGTCGTCGCAATTCCGCTTGTATGAGTACCGAGATACTTCCCACGGAGTTCCTGCGAACACAACGACGTTCAAAGTAAATATCTCACTTTTCTGAAAAGAGAACATCGGATGCAGTATATGTTTCGGATGTCAACAAGATCAAGCTGCAAGGTTACTGAATAAATCACGGATTTTGCAACTTCCGGAGGCAGATGGCTGGAAGGTTTTTCTTGGGGGGGGGACCAGAAATGGTACGTGGTACGAGGTAGAGACCAGCAACCCAGAGGTGTTCTTTAGTCCCAGGAGGGAGAAAAGATCAACAACAGAAGCATGAAGAAGTGGAGCAGGCGTATTGGTACCTGTTCTAGCGTGGATTTTCTTTGAAGTGGGACGTGAACGAGAGGCTAAGGAGCGGCTACTGTGAGCTTTGGGCGCAAGCGAAAAGAGGAAAATACCAGGAACCTAGGGGCACAAGGTCTGTCAGTCATCGCGGTCACCTTTCGCCCCTTGACTACTGTCGAGGCGGCAAGCCAGCCTCCAATGCTGTGCTGTTATACCATAGGGAGTCCAAGTGGGAGTCGGACCAGGCCGGTGCCTGGCATCCCTTTGCAAAGAGCTGGCTGGACTGGCGGGAAGAATGGCATCAATTGGTGCTACTGTCACCCACCGTGTGCTGAGCACAGATGTCGCCCTCCCTTTTTCTTCCATGGCGCCCGGGCCCGCCTAACAAGATGTCATCCGTGCCCTGTAGAACAGCCCTGGCCAAGATTTTCCTCGGGCGGGATCCCTAGGCCAGTAGCCCTCCTGGCCGCCTGTACTCTAGGCTTAAGCTAGCGGGGAAAAAGGAATAGCGGAGACCGCGCTCTAGGGGACTAGGGGACTAGTATTAGAGCCCCAGCGCCCACAGCTTTTATCCGCGCCCGCAGTCTGTCTCTTTTCCCTCTCCTCCTCACTGCTCGGTCGTGTTCTGTCTCTCGCTTCCTCGCTGGTCCCGGTCTCACCCTTCGACTCTCCCTCTCTACCCTTTTTCCCTCTTCCACCTCATATTCCCTCTGCACCTTTTATCACTCCTCGATTTGTTTCACCTCTTTTGTTGCTACAGCATCCTCTCAGTCCTTCTTCCTTGTCAACCTTCACTTCCTGTACTCGGCCTTGCCCTGAGGACTTTTGAGAGACTAGCTTCTCTCCTTACCCACTTTCGTTTCACCTGTCCTCGCTTCCCACGAACTCGAGACAGGAGCTCTACCACGTCTGGACGTTTTGCGAAGCTGGTCTCTCGCACTGACTCCCTTTACATCATCGACACGTTCGCTATACACATCGCAAATTCTCCTCTTGCTCAGTTGTTTGTGGTCCAACCCGTCGCCCAACGATCCTTTCCCTCCGCAGACGAAGAAAAGGAACAACCAATTTTCTTCCATTGAACAAGAAGATAGACCCTCAAGCACTCTACTATATTGCATGAGTTGAGCAACAATATTCACTGCGAGTTAGTGAAGGCAGCCCACAAACTTCCGTCCGTTTCCGTCGACCCTTGGATAGCGTCGACGATTTGCTCCCCCAACTACCATGTTTCCCTCGAGCGGTGCGCCAATGGCCCAACCTCAGAAGCCAGAGACATTTATGCTGTCAAACGAGGCACAACAGAGCTTGCCCCAGGATGCGCAAGTCGCCCTGCAGCAAGTAGACAACCTCAAATACTTTCTCATTTCTGCGCCGGTGGACTGGAGTCCCGATTCCCTCATCCGCAGATTCCTCCTTCCCACAGGTGAATACGTTTCCTGCGTGCTATGGAACAACCTGTTTCACATCTCCGGCACCGACATTGTCAGATGCTTGTCCTTTCGTTTCCAAGCGTTCGGCCGGCCGGTCAAGAATCCTAAGAAGTTCGAGGAGGGTATTTTCTCCGATCTGCGCAATCTGAAATCAGGCACAGATGCATCGCTGGAGGAACCCAAAAGCCCATTCTTGGACTTCCTGTATAAAAACAACTGCATCCGGACGCAAAAGAAGCAGAAGGTCTTTTACTGGTACAGCGTGCCTCATGACCGTCTGTTTCTCGACGCCCTGGAGAGAGACCTGAAGCGCGAGAAGATGGGCCAGGAAGCGACGACGAAAGCAGTGGCCGAGCCAGCGCTCTCATTCGAGTTCGACTCGTCGCAATCTCTGTTTGAACAGCTTACAAAAGCTCAGCAAGCCAGCTCATCGTCGTTTGCAACCGCAAATGCAAATGTGAACTACTCGCAGCCGACTTCGCCTGTCCTTCGAGCAACGGATTCTATGCCTCCTCCCATGGTCCCTCAGATGCCACGCTCTCAGGAGCAGCCCCAGACCATGTATACTAGCATGAGCATGCACAACAACCTCCCAACCCCCCTTTCCACCACGGCTATGTCCCGAGAGCCGGATTTCTCTCAAGTCGCATACGACCGCGCCCACATTCGTCATGCCTCTATGCCCGCATACATGGAGTACTCCCCAGCTCCTTCCTTCGTGTCGTCGCACTTTGAGGACTACAGCACTCGCGGCCTCTCATATGAGCCCATCACACCACCCCAACATGCCATCCCTGGTGCTGAGCCTGCATATATTGCCAACGAGGACACGGGTCTCTACTCTGCCATCCCAGAGATGCAGCCAATGCCGACTTACAATCCAATGGCTTCGTTGCCGCCTTCTACTCTTGCAGGGCCGCTTCACGTGACTGCACCACGACCGTTTCCTCCTACCAACGTCTACTCGGTGATTGAAGGGTCTCCGACTTACAAGGCAAGGAGGAGGCGCTCATCAATCCCGTCATCCATCATGAATGCAGTGGCTGCCAATGCTGTCGCTCAAGTCACTCACGGAATCAAAGCGCATCTCCCTCAAAGGCCTAGTGATCTTCGCCGCTCCATGTCGAGCTCTGTTCTGCCTATTGCGGAAGGCGATGAAACCGGCGACCAGTCTCCTCCTGGTCTCGCGCACAGCTACGCATCCTCGGTGGTGAATCGCGAGCATCTCAATGATTTCTCCCGGCGAAGCACACCATTACCAAGCCTCGAAGAGGATCCAACACACTCCCTTGGGATGTCGGCTGGCACTGAACACATGCCTGGTCTTATGGGAGACGATATGCACATCCACTCGCTGCAAGCCAGCCCCGCAGTCCGGTTAGAAAGACCAGGGCCGGTCCGCAGAGCACGAAGTGCAACCATGATGGAGCTTGGTGTACCCTACAAATCCCATTCATGCCCAATCCCCAGCTGTGGGCGTCTTTTCAAGCGCCTCGAACACCTCAAGCGGTATGCCCGAACCCCTTGTAATCTTATTGACGCTTACTGACACGGATTGGCTAGACACGTGAGAACTCACACTCAAGAACGCCCCTACGTCTGCCCTTACTGCAACAAAGCGTTTTCACGGTCTGACAACCTGGCACAGTGAGTATACCCATAGTCCGAGTTTTCTGTAATGAAAACTGACCGTACACAGACACCGCCGAACTCATGAATCTCAACAAGATGGTCAACCTGCTCCTGTGACCAGTGAAGAAGAAATGGAGAACGAAGAGAATGACTTCGGCTCCATGGACGAGCTCTCCTCCCCAGATGAAGTTACCCGCCCCACCAGCGTGTCTGGTATGATGGCCATGTCCATGCCTCCTCCCTCGACGCTCGTCATGCAACCAATGACTTCTCAGCCAATGATGGCCCCCAGTCAGCTTGTTCAACCTTCGATGCTGCAAAACATGTAGACCTGAGACATGCATGTTGCAACAGCTGAATGATTCACCTGCGAGAACGGAAAAGGAAATTATTATGCTTTTAGTGTTTACCGCGAGCCCCGACTGATTCCTGGAAAGGAAACGGGACCATGCGCCTGACGAACCAGAGCTCGATGCATGTGGGAGTTTACGAGGCGGCAGGCAAGATGTTGAGGACTTTTGATGTTGGACAGCACCCTCAGTAGGGAGCTGAATGGTGGCATTCTTCCCCTTGTATTTTGATCCTCATCTCGTCTCGGGCCCAAGACAGAGAGTAAAACATCTCTGCCGCCTACGATGAGGACTTGAGCTTTGGCGATTTTGCTGGATCAACTGTACATATAGCCGCATTTATTTATGTTTCATCTATCCTATCAAAAGGGGACAAAAACAATGCGTTTTCAGGGGTCTACACAACCTTTCCATTCGCTTTTATCTTTCTAGTATTTGAAACATCATCACGGGGAAATTTAGCGTCTCCACGTTGCCATTGCTGCGTGGTTCCAGAACGTAAATTCAGTGGACGAGGTCACAGCAATCTGTGAAAAGTCCACGGCGCTCTTTTCTCTAGACTTGTACATAGCCACTGTGGTGTCAGTCTGGCCCCAAAGGAATTTGACTCGTGGTATCGTGATCTTGCTTATGCCCTAGCACTACTGCCTCGCCTCCCAACAACGACCTGGTCGTCTTCGTCTTCGTTATCGGAATCATCACGAAATCCCTCTTCTAACTCCCGGCTTAATCGTCGGTTCGAATCCGACACGTGTTCTCCTCCCATACCAGCACCCCGACTCACAGTCCTCGTGGCGGCGTCCATATTGGAAACTTGTCTCTCCATGGCGTCTCGTCTCCGGTTCCGTTCTTGGGCGTCAAATCCCACCATCGCCTCACCAGATTCTTCGTCAAAGAGAGTGCCCTCATCTACGCTGACGATGCTGTTGGACCGGCCTCGCGAGCGCCGAAACGACCATGTTGAGGGCACAATGAGTCGGGTGAAGAGTGTTGGCAGTCCATGGCGAACGTGAGCAGGTGCTATGATGTTGAGAAGGCGGGAAGAGAGGGAAGCAGAGGCTGATTGGACCGATTGGAGTGGTAGAGGGAGGTACTGTGAATAACGGGCTCGATGGCGCCGATAGAGGGGCAGTAAGACGTAGAACACCATGAGATAGAGGAAGAGGGAAATGGACAGAGGAAGTAAAATTGTCTGTACCACTCGTCAGCCCTGTCAAAACTCACACATTTGATTTATGAGGGGACTCGTACCTTGGTGAAGTTAATGAAGCCCGACCCAGCCATGGCGCTGCTGGCGACTTCGGTGCTGACGGGAGCAGGCGGTGTGTCTGCAGTACCGACGATTGTGCTGGGCAGCGAGCGCCTCAAGACGAAACCCATTTTCACACCGCCATACTCGGCGGCAGGGAAAGGTGAGAGGGACACAGAGCTGCGATATATACGAGGTGGTATGGAGTGAGGTGCTCGAGTATAGTGCCCGTCGTGAGATTAACCGCAGCCAAATCTGGCAAGCTTGGTGTCCAGACCGCGGCCAGGAGGGGCCGTTCGGCGGTCGAAGGCGAATTGGGACTCTCTCCCAGGTGATGAGCGGGCACCTGGATACTTGTCCTCCTCGTACGGGTATCACAGACCGTTCTCTGGGTACTGTCGTCCGGAGCGGTTGTGGACAAGCACAAGTGTCAAAGAGTCAAACCTCGGCGGCGTCGAGGGTCCGGATCGCGGGCAGCAAAAGATTCCGAGGACGAAAAGCGAACGTGATCACTAGGGTATCGTTCTCAGAGATGGGGGACACTGCACAGTACGTACTACTTTGTGGCATGGTGTATCGCGTGCATAGGCAGGAATTGAGATTGGTTTAGCTGTAGATTGAGCGAAAGGGATGGCGACGCATTGGTGGTTAGTGGGTGACGATCCCTGGTGGAAGAGCCTAAGGGAGTCGTGCAGTGGGCACTTAGCGGGCATGCTCCCCTAAGGCTAGGAGGCTAGGACCCCTACTGGTACCCTTCTGCACCCTACCTACTCGGCCCAGCCGTTGGCCGAGTCCATTGGTCCATGGCGCCGCCGCCGCAGCCGCTTAAGCAATCAATGACCCCAAGCACGCCGCCAAAGACTGTTTGACCGAACCCCTGGCCGGAAGGCACCACGGGCACCAAGCACCTGTGGCGCCCACCAAAAGTAACCCACAACGCCTGGAAAGCAAGGACAAGTTTAAGATCCCTCATTTGCTGGGTGGCTCTTGGACGGGTCGGGGAGACTGCGATGCACACCTGACGGCACTCTGGCACAGTTTGGAACCGTCGTTCATCATCACCACCGCGGCCATCCTTGTCCTCACGAACTTCGACAAACGCCGCCAACCTGAGCGACGTGTCAAAGTGCCCTTCATCTTTGTTTGAGAGCCAGCGTTTTCTCTCTTGCTTTGTTCGAGTCTTTCGCTCTCGTTCACTTGGGTATAGCGCTCGTTGACGTCCGCAGCCAATAAATACGCCGTTTCGTTGTCTGCAACCACGCCCAATTGTTTACCGCCTCATCAGCTGAACGACCCTGCTGCCTCTTTGTTCAACAGCACCGTGCGACCACTTCGACCAAAAACACGTGCTTGCCGCGTCGCAAATCCGATATCTCTTGTGTTGGAACTCGGTGTATCAGTGCCCAGAGAGTGCAGGACATCATGCAAGAATAAACACCCGCCACCCGCAGCCGAATCCGAGATTGTCACAGAATCAGGGCCATTTGGAAAAGAGGGGGAGAAAAGTTTCGAAGAGGTGGACTTCCCCTTTTGGGGGCATAACGACCGCATCTAGGTACACATGCGTCCTGTTGGTCTGCCTGCGCGCCATCGAGTATGCCCCAGATAATCCAGACCGACAAGACGACCAGACAGTCGTCCGCGAGCAAAGGTTTCTTTCGACGCAACCGGGACACCAAAGCTGATAGTCGACATGAAGGAAACGGCAGTCTCGATTCCTCCAATACCAACGGCTCCTGGGGCTCGCGTCATTCGAAAAGAGAGTCGGTAGCCTCCAACGATGGCCAGGATCCTGATAATGCAGGTCTAGCCATGACCGCCGGCGTCATCACCTCCATCCCTTACTCTGCCACGACGGCAGGTGGGCATGCACCAGTAACGGTGGATTATCTCCCTCGAGACGACCAAGTACCAACCCGGAAAGATCCACAACCGTATCAACTTGCGAGAGGTTCTGATTTTCACCAATACCCTGCCATCAATGGAATATCGAACGGCTCATCGCACCCGACCGGGCCTCGCCCGCCTCCCCAGCCGACAAGCGCAACCGGCATCACAATGGCATCCAGTCAAGCTGGGGATCGAGGCACAAAATATCAGCAATGGGGTCGGCCTGGGAGCAGCCATGGCCCTCAGCATGGCACCTACGACTCGGTATCGACGAGCGACTCATACTCTGGATCGGGACACAGGAGGTCTTTTGACGGCGCCAGCATAAAGTCAAGTGCTTCCACAGCTACAAGAGGCTCCAGTCTATTTTCCTCGGACAACTCATCGCGAACGGCAATGCCTCCCCGGCAGGACTCCGACTCTTCTGTCACTGTAATTTCTCCCACCCATTCCAGACTTTCGAAGATCAGTTCACATTCGGGCTGGCCGACCCAGCAAGCCTCGCCCTTCAGCTCGACCACTTCCTTTACTCCAGCCGGGTTTTACCTGCCGAAACCATCAAGCGACGCAGAAATTGAAAAGTTGTTTCTGCAATTGATGCACAAACGTGGATGGCAAAACCTGCCCGAGCAAGCCAGGCGACAGATGATGGCATATGCGCCCGCGAAGAAATGGACTCTTGTGCATCAAGACAAATTGACAGAGTGGCAAGGCGAGCAGAAGAGGAGACAACAAGCAAGACAAACAGGAGCCATTGACGGGCCAATCTCTAAAGACGTCGAGGGCACCCCCGAGTGGTATGTTAAAAGGATCCTAGATAACAGCATCACGCCCAAACAGCTGCAAAGTCTGAGTGTCAGTCTACGAACCCAGCCCATCAGCTGGGTCAAGGCGTTCATCGAAGCACAGGGTCAAATCGCCTTGACCAGTGTCTTGATTAAGATCAACCGACGTCAAGCCAGCGGCCCAACGCCCGTCAGTTCTGTTGCATCAACCGACAAGGACTTGGACAGGGAGTATGATATTGTCAAATGTCTAAAAGCGTTGATGAACAACAAATACGGTGCAGATGACGCTTTGCAGCACGAGCAGATACCTATTGCTCTTGCGACGTGTCTCATTTCTCCCAGGCTTACCACGAGAAAACTGGTGAGCGAAGTCTTGACTTTCCTTTGCCACTGGGACCAAGGCCAGGGCCATCTCAAGGTCCTACAAGCCCTGGACTTTGTCAAGAACCAAATGAGTGAGAACGGTCGATTTGACGCCTGGATGCGCATTGTGGAGGTTACTATAGATGGCCGAGGCAAAATGGGCAGCCTTGTAGGGGCCAGCGAAGAGGTCCGTAGTGGTGGCATTGGTATGGAAAATCTTCTGATGGAATATGCCGTGGCCACGCTCGTCCTCATCAACATGTTGGTGGATGCTCCCGACCGCGACCTACAATTACGATGCCATATCAGGGCCCAGTTCATTGCCTGTGGGATCAAGCGGATACTGGTGAAGATGGAGTCTTTTCAGTACGACGTGATTGACAAACAGATTGCGAAGTTTCGCGAGAATGAGGCAATCGACTACGAGGATCTGCTACAGCGCGAAGGAAGCAGCATGGTTGAGAGCATTGAAGGGGAGGTCAAGGACATGACGGATCCAATGCAAATCACAGACGCCATTATGTCGAAAGTCAACGGCACAAGAACCCAAGACTACTTCATCTCGGCCATGCAACACATGTTGTTACTTAGAGAGAACAACGCCGATGAACGGCTGAGAATGTTTCAGCTCGTGGATTCCATGCTCAGCTACGTGGCGATGGACAGGCGACTACCAGATATGGATCTCAAGCAGAGCTTGAACTTCACCGTTCAGAGTTTGCTGGATCGGCTGCATACCGATGACGAGGCTCGAATCGCTTTTGATGAAGCCACAGAGTCGAGGCAGATTGCCGAAGCAGCCATTGCTGAAAGAGATGAAATGGCAGCGCAGATTGCCATGGGTGCTAATGGCTTGGTGAAGAAGCTGCAGAAACAGATCGAAGAACAAGCCGGCATCATCGAAATGCAATCCAGGCAAGCCGAGTCCTTGAAATCGGAGGTTGCCGAGCTCCAACGGATAAGGGCTCAAGAACTGCAACGCAATGAGTTAGAAACACGAGAGCTCTATCTTATGCTTCGGGATGCCCAAGATGTTGCGGCTTCTCGCGCTGCTAAGGAGGGCTCTGCATCTCAAGATCCTGCGCAGTTGGCAGGCATTTTGGACCGTGAGAAGTTGATGGAGCGACTGGAGCGCAACCTTGAGCGCACCAAGACACAGTTCAAATTGGAAGGCAAAGTCTGGGGTCAGACAGGACCTTCCGATCGACTTAGAGAGCTCCGCGAACAGATGGACGACGCCGTTGATGCCGATTTCCAAGAGCAGACACGACGACACCTCACCAATAGTGTTATGGGAAGTGTCCATCGCAGCAATGCTCACAAAGGACCCCGGAGAGCCGCATTGGAGGCCCTTGCGATCAGCGAAGAAGCAGACCAGGACTCGGATATGGAAGAAGATGTCGTCTTTGAGACGCCGCGACTTGTCGAATACAAGAGGCCGAAGATCAGCGCAGAGCAACAAAATCAACAAAGCAACCTCCTTGACGAGCTTGCTTCGAAGGTCAAGAAGATCGACGATGAAAGCGACGAGGCTGAAGGAGAAGGGGACGATGCTGGTGTCACGACTGGACCAACCCACCCAAGCCTGGAGTCCCAGTCACCCAGGACTCCTCTTGACGAGGGACAAGCGGAGGAAGCCAAGTTCAATGGGCCTCCTCCTCCACCTCCTCCACCACCTCCTCCGTTGTCAGATCCGGCGTCTACATCTTTGATCGCCGGGTTTGAAGCAGGGGCGCCTCCACCACCGCCGCCGCCACCTCCGCCGCCTCTCCCAGGGATGCCCATCTCTCCTGCTACTCCATCCATGCCAGGCTTCACCGGTGGGCCACCTCCCCCTCCACCGCCTCCTCCTGGCTCTCTACCTCTGAGTCCATTATCACCCATGCCCCCGCCACCACCTCCTCCCCCAGGCGCTCCGGCGCTACCTGGTGCCCAGCATGGGCATTTCTTACCCCAATCACCCGTGGTGCCCGTGCCTGTGCTTAAGAATCCTATTATGCGGCCGAAGAAGAAACTCAAAGCCTTCCATTGGGACAAAGTCGATACACCCCAAGTTACTGTCTGGGCAGAAAATGTGAATGCCGAGGCCAGGGAAGAGAAGTACCGCGAATTACAGCGTAAGGGTGTCCTCGATGAAGTTGAGAAGCTGTTCATTGCCAAGGAGATCAAAATTATTGGTGGCGCAGGCAGCAAGGGAAAGAATGACAAGAAGCAGATCATCAGTAGTGACATGATGAGGAATTTCCACGTCTCTATGGCCAAGTTCAAAAATGATTCCGCTGACGAGGTCGTGCGGAAGATCATTCACTGCGACAAGGAGGTTCTGGACAACAACGTGGTCATGGATTTCCTACAAAGAGAGGACCTTTGCACGATTCCCGAGAACATCGCTAAGCTCATGGCACCCTACAGCAAAGATTGGACCGGACCTGATGCACTGACTTCGAAGCGTGAGCAAGATCCATCCGAGTTGACAAGGGAAGATCAGATCTATCTGCAGACGGCTTACGAATTACACCATTACTGGAAGGCCAGGATGCGAGCTCTTGCTCTGACACGAAGTTACGAGCAAGAGTACGATGATATTTCTGCTAAGCTGAAGGATGTTGTCAATGTTTCGGAAGCTATCCGCGACTCAACTTCTCTCATGAGCGTCTTGGCCCTTATTCTCGATATCGGAAACTACATGAATGACTCGAACAAACAAGCCTCGGGCTTCAAACTTAGCTCTCTTGCACGACTGGGTATGGTGAAGGACGACAAAAATGAGACCACGTTCGCCGACCTTATTGAACGTATCGTTCGCAATCAATATTCTCAATGGGAGGGCTTTGTCGAGGATATTGCTGGCGTCATTCCTGCTGCAAAACTCAACGTTGATCAATTGCGGCAAGACGCAAAGAAGTACATTGACAACATCAAGAACGTCCAATCTTCACTAGACGCGGGCAACTTGAGCGATCCTAAGAAGTTTCATCCTCAAGATCGTGTTGCGCAAGTCGTACAAAGGTCCATGAAAGATGCAAGGCGAAAGGCAGAGCAACTCCAGCTCTTCCTGGACGAGTCGTCAAGAACGTACGATGACATTATGACTTATTTCGGCGAAGACAATCAGGATGAAAATGCTCGCAGAGATTTCTTCGGAAAATTGAGCGGCTTCGTCACAGAATGGAAGAAGTCACGTGAAAAGAATATGGCCATGGAAGAGAACAAACGACGTCTCGAAGCTAGTCTGGCTCGGAAGAGGGCTCAGGCGAGTGCGAATGTCAGTGGCGCAGCAAGCGGCACCGAGACACCAGGCAGTCCACCCGCTAATGGCGCCATGGAAACCTTGCTCGAGAAGCTTCGAGCTGCAGCGCCGCAAGTGAAAGATCAACGTGACCGAAGAAGACGGGCAAGGCTAAAGGAGAGACATGATCAAAGAATCGCCAGCGGCCAGCAACTCCCCGAGCTCCAAGTAAAGGACGGGGTGGAAGAGAGTCGCGGTCTTACTGGTCCGGGAGAGAAAGCCAATGATGATAATCTGAGCACAGACGGCACTAGTGCCAGAGGGGATGTCAGTGAAAGCGAAGACGTCGCCGATCGAGCTTTGAGGGCTCTGCAGGAAATGAGAAGTTCGGCTCCATCCACAGGCGACGAACTTGATGTGAGAAGGAGGCGGGAGGGAGCTGACGAAGAACGCAAAGCCCGACGAATGAGACGCCGGACTGCACAGCAGAGTACCAGCAGTGTCACGCACACTATAATATCACCCACGAAGACAGAAGAAAGGGGCGGCCAGGACGGAGCCGATGATGGCTCATCTCCCACGGAGGACAAGCGATCATCTGGGGACACTTTGAGTCCCGTGGCCACACAGCCGCCACCGGCGATAATCGTCAGTCCAACGCCGGATGACGATGATGACGAAGGTGAAGCCGGTCAAAAGGATGAGGCAAAGAGGGAAGAGGGCTTGGTCCAAGAATAAAGGAAAGGAACATAAGCTTGGGTTCCAATGAACCAGGGGGGCCCATGACGGCTACCCATTGTACCAGGATTGAGTTGGATGGGGATAAGCATTATCATCTCGAGTCTTGTTCTACTTTACATGCAAAAGATACCCCCCAGCAGAATAATTGTTCCGAATAGGAGAGGAAGCCAGCATTTGCTAGGGTTTGGACCTGGGGATACCAAGCACATCAGTATCAGGGGTGGGGAGATATTCTTGTGTAGCTATAACAACCCATCAGCGGCAGCAAATGAGAAAGAGAGACAGCAACTGAGGACGATGGTATTTCTTGCTACAAGATTGGGCCAGAAAAGCATTCGATGTCTCTGATGCACTTTATGGAGATGGTGGATGAGCCAATATCACCATCCCAACCGATACCTCTGCCTTCAGCACTCTTTCTGTCTCTCCTTTCAAGGGCATCAGCTTCGCCTTTATCTCAACCCCTGCAATCCCCATCCTGTCTGTTCTTCAAAGCTTCCATCATAATTTCCCCGGCCAGAACTTCTTTTCCTTGACCGCCCTCTCTTCCCACGCAAAGTCATGTGCAAAGATGACTTCAAACTCTGCCGGGGTCTCCTCTCCCTCCACTGTGAATCCCTCCTTCGAGGCCGCGTACAGTCGAGCCAGGGTCTCCTTTGACCTGGGGATGTCCACGTGCATACAGCAGTACCTCCCTGTCTCATCCGTCCACGTCGCTATGTCGCACTCCCCCGTCAACAGTCGGACATCGTGGCACGCATCCCCGGCTAGGCAAACAAATTTGGACGGTTGGCTGGAGATCTTGCACAAGAGATTGATATGTCCCGGGAGGTGGCCTGGTGCATTGACAATATAGACACTGCCGTCATTGAAGAAGTCGATCGCATGTGGAAAGGTTGCAAAGGATTTCCATGAGAACTGTGAGTTACCACCACCATCTGGGGGAGGTAACTCTATCGTCCGTTCCAGCGGGAGCAGATCTGGTTCGAAGACTGCATGCTTCCCCAAGTCGAATTGCGTCTTCCCACTGAGAAGATCAAGTGCACCATTGCCCACGATGAACTTGGTCTTGTCGTCATCGAAATCCTTGGGATAACCAACGTGATCGTAATGCACATGGCTGAATATCACGTAGTCGATGTCATTCACGTGGAGACCTCCAGCTGCTAGTGAAGCAACCGCGTCTGGATGCGTAGAGACAGGTCTTCGGTTGGCGAGGTGAGCACTCAACGCTGGCGGGTAGAGGTCGAGCTCCCGTCTCATACCCAGGTCGAAGACGATTCGTGTGACTTTTTCGCTTTCCACATCTTTGTGCTGTATCAAGAAAGACAAGGAAGGCACTGTTCGTTTGGCGACAGGGTCCGCTGGAACCACAAAGAATCGTTCAGGAATCGTGAGGTGGCCGGAGCTCAGAGCATGAACTGACACAGTCGCCATAGTAGTCGTCATTCATCGGCAGTGCCTGGAAGATCAGGACAACCGGCAATGTGCTTGAGATGGTCTGCAGGGGTACGATTGTTTGCTGTTACGGAGCTCGAGTATCTGCACCACGTCGGCTCGAGGCTGGACGTTGTTTAGATCTTCCCCGCACCAACCTATGCTCAGAGTCATCCGCGGCTGATTCGACTGCGGGATAGTTGATATGAGGGGAAGCCGATTTCGATACTTCTCGCAGGTGGAGCTCTTCTGGGGCCGTTCGAAGTCAGATGCAAGCTCTGTCGACGTCCAGAGGCCATCCGTCAGGTTCAAGACTGGCCATGCGCGCCGCCGCGACCGTAAAGCATCTCGGCATTTAGAGCCTCTTCGACCTACTCAGCCTCGTGAGGGGGTCAGAAGTCCTCGATGCCTGACAGCTCCATGAGATACAAAGCCCGCCTCAATATTCCAGTTCTTCTGTACGTTGGGAATGATCGACGTATCTTGTTGTCAGCAAACCGAAAGATTGCAGAAGAGGTCCGACCTAGGCACTGTCACACATTGTGTTGCTTGTTTTTCTGCCTATTGGCAACACTGGGTGGCACAAATCGTAAGGCGGACAGAGATGATTCGAGCTCATTGATGGCTGCATCCGAGACATTCTTGTTGAAGTCAAGATTTGGGCCTCCTTTTCTCTCCTGATCTTTGCCCTTTCCCGGTGCGACGACGGCGGAACATTTCTTGTTATCCGTTCTGGAGTGCTGTCGTCGATGGCTGCTGCTGGAGGTGGCTTGATCGGTAGTGGTTGACACTCTCCTGCGGCGACTTTCATGGAGCATGGAGGTCGACTTGTCAATGCCAGTATCCACAATGCGAAAGTTGTAGATCTTGGGGAACAGGTGTTTGTCAATCAGATGGAGACGTCGTTTCTGCGGAGTCGAACACTTTCTGTCACAGTCCTCGACAAAGCAAGCATATGTCTTCTCACCTTTGGCTTGTAGAGCCTCGCGAAAGGTATTGTGGTTCTCGTCGATGTGCAAAGCTAGGAAGTGAGCAGTGGGGAAGTTTTTACCGCATGAGGTACAACGATTGGAATGGTCTTTGGCATAATGCACCTCGAAATCTTCGATAGAAGCAAAGTCCAGGGTTTCCCGGTGAGGCGGCAGAGAGCACTGCATGACAGGTTTGGCTGGCAGGTCGGCGACTGTGGCTACAGCACTGAGTTTTGCAGGACGAGGAGATTGAGATTCCTCGGCCACAGAACTGGCGGTGTCGCTGCTGGAGGACAGGACCGATGACTCGCGTGATCGCTTGACCATGGCGGTGTGAGTTTCCCGGTTGATGGGGTTGATACGGGTTATCTGGGTCTGATCAGCCTACTCACGCTTCAAGATGGTGGCCCTTTCCCCTTGCATGCCTAGATCGTATCGAATGTACCGGACTGCCTCCAGAGCATGATTGATTGATGAGAGACACAGGAGTGACGATGGCAAGGGACGACCATGGACCAATGACAAGGATGATGAGGCCAGGAAAAAGAATCATGGGCCATGGCAGACTGCGCACCAGGAAGAGAAGCGGACGCCGATGGTTGGATCTCAGCCCGAAGGAGCCAGGCCCGGAAGGGGGAAAGCGGTGCCTAACGAGCCAGTGCCATCCCCACTGGTTGCGCCTAGGCTAGACACTGGCTAGGGTGCTGCCACTGTAGGCGTCACTAGGCGAGCCTTGAGATGGTGATTGGGCGCCCCTGGTGCCCCCGATGAGCCTGATCCGCCCTGATCAGCCGGGGCTCGGGTGAGGTCCCCTTCTCACTCGTTACTCTGTTACCTCCCCTGTCTCTCCATCGCTGCCTCATCCTGCTGTCACAAGCAACCCAACAGCCAGCCTCTTTGTGCTTCTCGTTGGTCTTTGATCGTGTGTTTCAGGTTCTGCAGCCACGATCCACGAATATCCTCGATTTGACGGTGCGTGCGGTGCCACCACCACGCCAGAAAGCCGCCCGGACTCGTCATCCATCTTGCATCTGACCATCTATCTCAAACTCTCCTGCGAAGCCTCAACGTCTCTTCCTCTCTCCATTTCACTCCTTTTCCAACTGCTCAACGGCCACTAGCGATTACGGTCCAGCAAACACGTCCGCCCAGTGCTTTATTCAACAGGCTTTCACGAACTCCGCGTTGTCTCATTCAGCCCTCCTTGTCTCCTTGTCACGTACCTCCACCTGGCTGAAACTAAATCCGCGGCTCGACCATTCTTTGTCTGCCCACGAACCACTCCCATTTCCGCTCTCATGCCGACCATTAGATAAGAGAAGGAGCACGCCTCCCCATCTCCTCGTTGTCGCGAACCTGGGTTGGAGGAATTGATGCGGATATGCTCGCCTCCAAGCCACCGTATACCGCCAGTGCTGGCAATACCCAGCCGATGCCCATCCGCAACTTCTCCGAGACCTCGACCAGAACCCAAATGACCTCGATGGCTCTCCAGGATGGTCTCTTTACCTCCCCAACGGACTCTGAATTCTCCGATGTCTATGACGGGCTGGACTCGATACGGGCATGGGACGAGAAAAAGGTTGGAGAGTGGCTGCACTCAATCCGCTGTGGACAGTATGAATCTCTCTTCAAGGCCAACAACTTCACCGGCGAGAGTCTGCTGGAATGTGATCAAAAGATTTTGTCAGAAATGGGCATCAAGAAAATCGGTGACCGTGTCCGAATCAATGTTGCAATCAAACAACTTCGAAACAAGTCGTCCCTGTTGCGGTCCAGGAGAAACCGGGACAGTCTTGCTATCTTGGATGGCATTGCTGGGACTCCGTCGTCCTCCGACTCTCCTCGAACTCACGGATCCAGGTCTCACAATGGCAGCGGCAAGCGCTTCTCTCGCCAGCTCGACTCCTCTGTTCTACAGAATTTCAACTCGGCTAGCACAGGGTTCAAAGTTGGATCGAGACCAAGCTCACCTTTAGCTGATGTACACAGCGCAGGTCTCAGATCCCATCGTTACGCGCAGAGCCCCATGGACAGTGGAAGAAACGCCTCTGGCGGAGGATACTTTAGCCAACCAGGGTCAGCAAATTCTACGTCCGGCAGACGACCTGAAACTCCGCAACTCGCAAATCAAACGACACGAGCAGCTCATCTCCGACAGAACTCGAGTATCGATGGCCTGACGCCAGGTGGACTGCCGTCGGGATCTCCCGTCATCAAAATCATCCACAACGGCGGCCAAACAAAGGTTGTCAATATCAAGTTCTGTCGCACGGCTGACGATGTGACGTCGACGGTGCTGAAAAAGCTACATCTTCCAGAAACGCATTTTCGCAATTATTGTTTCTATGTCCTCAACGGCCTGGAACCAGATCCAGGAAATTGTCGTCGAGTAAGCGACAGCGAACTTATGAGAATTTGTAATGAGTCGACCCGGTCCGAGAGAAATAGGTTGATCCTCAGAAAGATTAATGACGGGCCTCCCGATGTGGACGAACTCCACAAGGCTGCTAAAATCGCGGCCGATGAATCACAAGTTCTGCACAGCAACGCACTGAGCTCGAACAACATGCGCAACCAAATCAAGCTTCAAAAGCTGACGGGCGAATCCTGGCACAATATTCAGGTACCCATCTCGCCAGTCACCACTACAGATCGAAATCGAAACATCATTGCTACTGCGGACGAATATGACCGACAGGAAGCCCAACAACACCTGAGAGTCCCTAGTAACCAGAGTACGAAGCTTCGTACGTTCTTTGGGGCACGACCTCCTAGCGAGATGATTGTGCAGGAGTTGACGTCTTATTTCCCTGCTCACCAACGCGAGGATATCGAAAAGACTATGAGACTGTCGGTCCGCCGCTCACAGCGCATGAGTCGTGCACAAAGTCGTTTGAGCGTGATGAGTAATGTGAGCATGGCTTCCAGTCTCAAGGATGCTCCTCCCGTACCAAGCATTCCTAGTATCGCCGACTCCTGGGTCTACCAGACCGGCACGAGCTCTCGTGCTCCTGCAGCACGACCACTATCCGTAGTGTCGAATAGGTTCAACCTCATGAGTCAGTCGTTCCGAGATTCAATCGCCTCTTCAACACTGCACCCATTGCAGGAAGAATCTCCTATCGAGCCGAACAGGAAGTCATACGTCTCGTTTGACAGCGGTTCCGACACTGCGGCCCAGAGCGAAGCAGCTAGGGCAAGCTACTTCGACGAGAGTCCTGGGGTTACCTTGAACAACGACAACATGAATGAACGGCTGTCGGTGATCGTTGCTGAGGATGGCGAGGAAGAAGATCAGGAATTGAACTCGTTCCTTCAAGGAAACAGCTTCGACAAGAACAACTGGATGAAGGGCGACTTGATCGGCGAAGGCTCGTTCGGCAGTGTCTACCTCGCCCTCCACGCTGTAACTGGTGAGTTGATGGCAGTCAAGCAAGTGGAGTTGCCAAATGTGGCAAAAGGTACCGAAGGTGATAAGAAGAAGACGGCCATGATTGCGGCGTTGAAGCAAGAGATCACGCTCTTGCAGGGCCTGCGCCACCCACATATCGTGCAGTACTTGGGTACTTCGTCGGACGAGGAGCACCTCAACATTTTCCTCGAGTATGTTCCTGGTGGCTCCATCGCCGGCATGCTCAAGCAATACAACACCTTCCAAGAACCTCTGGTCCGAAACTTTACTCGACAAATTCTCGAGGGCCTATCCTATCTGCACGCTCGCAACATCATTCATCGAGACATCAAGGGCGCCAACATTCTGGTCGACAACCGCGGTGCCGTGAAAATTTCCGATTTTGGTGTCTCCAAGAAAACGAACTTCAATGGCATGAATTCTGCGCCCGGCACGCGCACATCCCTCCAAGGAAGCGTCTTCTGGATGGCTCCTGAGGTGGTCCGCCAGTCGGGGCAGTCGATCAAGTCGGACATCTGGTCAGTCGGATGTCTTGTGGTGGAGATGTTCACAGGATCCCGCCCATTCCCGTCAATGACAACCCTCCAGACTCTGTTCGCCGTGGGAAGCAACAACGAGAAACCGACCATTCCCGAACATGCGAGTGAGGATGCGAAGCGGTTCATGGGGAAGACCTTCGAGGTTGACCATGAGAAGAGGCCCGGCGCGGATGAGTTGTTGAGAGAGACGTTTCTGTTGCCTACAGCGTGAGGGCGAAGTTGAGGCTGGAATTGGACGGATCTATGTGTATAATATGAGCGCTCGGCGAATGTCAGGACCATCTTGCTGGGTAAGATCTCACAGTCTGAGGTGGGAAGAAACAGCTGTGGATTCGAAACAGATCAGCCTGTTGTCCGAACTGCAGAGCCGGTTCTAGAAAGTGCAGGGCATAGTTTCCTTTGTTCTTCTACGTATTATCTACGGATCAGCTTGGGACGATGTTGTGTCTGTATATCACCCGCGGATTGATGAAGGCGACATACCCCCGGAGGCAGGTGTTAATTGGTCTGTGGACATGTGTCAGATAGAGACCACAGAATCACCGCCCCCCAAGCGGAATGAAATCCATGGACATGCTGGTACTCTTGTGCTTGGCTGTCTTGTCTTGTCCCTCGGTGCAGGTCTGCAAGGCCCTCTTTTCAAAGGAGAAGGACGAGGTACTGAGTATAACATTTACTCCGTCACTAACATGGGATCATATCAAAGATTCGAGAGACGCTTTCATTTGCAGGGTATCAGATACACTGTATGTTGCGTATAGGCTGAATGGACTCTTTCTTGGTCCTCCAAAATTCATTCGTACCTTTTTTCAGGAGCAGACAGTTCAGCTGGTCAGGACTGCCGATTCCCGTGTCAAACCTTGCGAGACAACCAGCTGTCTCCTTCGTCTGGTTCCTCCTCATGGATACCTATAGATATCTAGGCGCGCTAGCATGTTCTAAAGTCATGGGATGGCAATGCTTGATGTGTGGCATTACCCTCCTTTGCCACATCTGGCCTGCTCTAACGATGAGGTAGTGTCACGATTTGGCCCAGAACCTGTTCGTTACCTGGGTAGGTTTCGAATGGCTTGATTTCTTGATATATTGTTCTTCCTAACCTTCCTGAGAGGTTGCGACATTCGCATCATTTGCACCCAGGGGATGACTTTGTACCCGCTAAGATATGTCCATGGGCTGGATTGGGATATGGACCGTCGGAGGCGGTCGAGGAGAGTCGTGCCCCGTCATCTTCACACCGTTAAGTAGGTTTTGCTGGCCTCCATCAGTCCCGCTGTTTCGTGGGACAACATTATTCGTATCCGTCATCTCTCCTAGGGGCTGCAGTGGCCTCGGTGCAGCCTGCACTTGGTGCAAACCATTGATAGCTGCTGATGTTCCATTCGTCATGTGGGAAGGCTGAGGAGGTGCAACTTGTGCCGTTGTTGTGGACGCAGGCTTCTCAGTCTCTTTTCGATACCGTAGTTGCACAACCAAACTTTCTTGAGTATTCTCATCCTCCTCCACCTCGTCGGGTTCGAGGCCCTCATCACTCATAACCTCGTCGTCGTCGTCGTCGCCTTCATCCTCTCCGTCAAAGTCCGGCTCTGACTCGTCTGGTTCGTCTTCGTTTCCACTCCATTCTTTACCTGACGATTGTGCTTCGTCGCTCTCGTCTGAGTCCATTTGGTCGCCATAACCTTGTCTGGTCGGCTTGACTTGTCTTCCCGACCTCGATGTTCTTACTCCACGCGAAATGGGCATGGTGTTGGGCATGTCCTCACTTGTTTCTGTAAAGTTGCCTTCACCAGTCGCTCTTTCCAGCTCCTTGCGCTGGTCGATCAACATGCTCTCTCCGTACAGACCACCCACCCTCGACTTGACGTGTCTCCCACTGGCCGTCACGGTCGGTCCGGTCTCCAAAGGGGTAGAGATACCTGAATTGCGCGCGGATCGTTTGCTGGAGAGTCCGTCCGACCCATATTCCTCGTCTGAATATGTATATCTCATTCTCTTGCCACGTGTTCGTCCCTCGTATAGTGAAAATCCGGGCTCCGGTCGAGCGAAAGCGGCCTTTCGGGCAAGGCGATAGTCGCGACGTCTGCGCTTCTAGTGCAATTGTCAGCGTGGACCAGGAAAGCGCGGCAGGGTGCCTACCTCTTCACCAGCCTCAAATCTTGGAATGGCTGCCCTCAACTTGTCACTAATCACTTTGGAATTGGAACTATGTTCGTCGGCGAACTTGTCTGCTAGGACCATGACGTCGGGGATGGAACCAGCAACGCTGAACCATGTGTTTGTCTTTGCAGTCTTGCCGTCATTTTCTCTGTAAATTCGAAAGTGCGAGTCATCCTGTCCTTCAATGAGCCAATACTTTCGGCGATATTGGTCGGAAAACCAAGGTTGAACGCTTCGTGGCTGGTTTCGGTCGTCGTCCCGACGTGTCTGCTTGTATGACTCTTTGATGAGCGCTTGCACGGCTTCGGAGGAATTGAGAGACCAGAGAACAAGGGCTTTTAGCAGGCTCAGCTACAGCTTGGTCAGCAGTGCGTAACAAAAGGAGGAAGGCAGCAGCGTACCCGTTCCTCAGGGCTCATGTTGTTGAAACTTTTCCCTCCGTGGAGAGGGTTGACTCCCTTCCACTCGGTCGGCCATTGACTGTGGTTCGCAGAGAGCGCATCTTCAAGTGCCCGGCCATAGTGTCCGCGTCTAGCAAGTGTTAGAGATATAGGGGGTGACGGCGCAGGAGCTCGCTGTGGGCAGCGTGTCATCCAGGGTGCGGAGACTAACTCGACATCCTTCTTTCTGTTCAAGACAAGACCCAAGAGCGCACATAATAGTCTCTCTACTTGCTCGTCGGGAAGTTCTCCGGCCACCCCTCTTTCAATGTCCTGCGGGCCGTAGTTCGGTAGAGATTTGGGAAACACGTCGCTGAATCGGCTTCTGAACATAACAATAAAGGCAATCGCCGGGTTGTCGGCCAAAGTATACTCGTGGGGTGGTGAGGGTGCGCGTTTGGGAGGTTCGGGGGTGGCTTCAGGCTTGGGCGCCGGCTTGAAATATCGATCCAATCCCGTAGGCTTCAACGACATTTTCTGTACCATTTCCTCATCGTCGGAGGACGGCGCAGAAGACAATGAAGAAGAGTCAGAGTCGGCCATGGTTGGATGGAGAGGAATTGAGCACGAAGGAGAGAGAGACAGGAGCGGTACAATACGGCGGGTGTGTCGCAGCAGGAGCACAGTGAGGGGAGGGAAGGGAAACTACAAAATCAGGAAGCGGTCTGATGAATTCACTTGGCGCGTTGAGGGCAAGTTACGCGCTGCTCGGCCAATGATCGCATTTTTCATTTGTATCCCGGCACCGTCGGTCAACACGTCCCTTCATCTCCTTGACGGCGACCTATCCCATGCTAATCATCCCCCTGAGTTCGAAGCACCAGTTGGCCTTCAATCACCAGTTGTCCACTGGCCAACTTCTGTCGTTTGGTTGTTTGGGGGCCGCTCACCATGAACAGCAGTGTTTCGGGGGACGCCATCTTGCCAAGCGTTCGAATCAGCCTCTTCTGAATCCGACCTGAGTTGCAGCGATCGTGCGTCGGGCCCCGTCCTTTTCCCGTGCACTCAGCTTCGTACAATCCTGACAGCGCTCTGAGCCGTCGATCTGCTTGCCGGCAGATTTTCGACTGTCGGATTCACTTCCTTCGACGCCGCTGCGGCATGTCACCCCCTTGCCTCACTTTCTGGCTGAGATCAAGCATTCTCCGAGAAGACGCGGGGTTCTCCGGGTTTCATGCCCAGTGCCATACCAACGGCGCGCCCGAATTCTGTGCGTTGATTCTCTCGCTGAAGATTTTGGCGAAGATGGTGATGTGTCCGTCAAGTTGAAATAGTCCGGAATCTAAGATGGCCGACAGTGATCAGAAAGCCGGGCGCACGATATTGACATATCTCGTCACTTGTACTGGGCGCGTACATGTAAATGAACCCAAGCGTGTGCTTCTGATTCGATGAGCACCAAGAGAGCACCCGCGAGCCATGCAGAGCAGTCAGCCTGAGATCAGCAGGTTCGAGTGCCTGACCACATAGCAGCTCGATGCTGATAGTCTGGATTGAACCAGCCCTTGCGTGCAATGAGTCTTCACAAGTACCGCGAAGAATATGATAGACGCTTTGCACAGCCGTGATATTGCTCGCCGACGCTGGGGCCACCGCACCTATCGGCCAAATGCATGGCAGAGGAGGAGCCTTCTCCGCCAATGCTCTAAGCTTGGAAGAACTTACCACAAGCCACAACTCTTCTATTAGACATGTGCCGCCACGCCGAATAGAACAACATCATAATACAACAAGCTTCAATGCTTGATGAGAGAGACCTGTAAACTTCACTTTCTCAAATGTTTGTTGCAACAGAAAATTTCCTGGAGACCAAAAGTATGAGAGACGCAAATACACGGAGCACAAGGGCATTTTCAGAGTCGATCAACTCGAATGCAACTTGTGCAGAATGGAGTAGATCAGTCGAATGAGGCAGAGGTGAGATGAGTTTGAAGTTGGCGGTTGCTGGCTGGACTTCAGGTTCCAAGATGGAGGTGAGGCGGCTGGGCGGGAGCCAAGTCGTCACGTGCAACTATAACGCGCCATCTGGCAGGTCGCTAGTCCATAACAGGACTAGCGGCATACATGCGTCTCGACGTCCTCTTGCGTCGCCGTACTCCCACTCTGCCATGCCAAGATTTTTGCTGAGGCGCACACAAACGAAACCTGCGCCCATCCACCTTCACATAGAACTCTCTACAACCACGTTCGGTCGACAACTACCTCCAAGCTCTACGCCATCATGGGTAGAGTCATCCGGAACCAGCGCAAAGGGCGCGGATCCATCTTCAGTCAGTGCCCCCTCGTCCACAATGTGGCCCGGAATTTCTGCTCAGCGCCCGCAAACTTCGCTCAATGGGTTTTTATCCGTTTGCTGACGTCTCGCAACAGCCAGTCACACCAGGTTGAGAAAAGGAGCTGCCAAATTTCGACAACTCGATTATTCAGAGCGTCATGGGTACATTCGTGGCGTCGTGACTGAAATCATTCATGATCCCGGTCGAGGTGCACCTCTCGCCCGTGTCCAGTTCCGCTCACCCTACAAATATGGCCTCAAGACCGAAACCTTCATTGCGAACGAGGGGCTCTTTACTGGCCGTAGGTTTTTACTCTATCGTTTTTGTCTCGATTGTCTCGAGAGTCAAGAGAGGGTGCAACGGCTGACTGCTTGGAATCATCAGAGTTCATCTACGCCGGCAAGAACGCAGCCCTGAGTGTTGGCAATATCCTCCCCTTGGGCGCAGTGCCCGAAGGAACAGTCGTTTCGAATGTGGAGGAGAAGACCGGTGACCGAGGCGCGCTGGGACGAACTTCAGGCAACTATGTGACTGTGATCGGACACAACCCAGATGAGGGCAAGACCAGGGTCAAGCTCCCCAGTGGTGCAAAGAAAGTTGTTCTCAGTTCGGCTCGAGGAATGATCGGCATCGTCGCTGGTGGCGGACGTACCGACAAGCCAATGCTCAGTATGTGCACAGCTAATCATTGATGTGGCGGTTAAGAATGGGCTAACAAACGGTAACAGAGGCTTCCCGCGCAAAGCACAAATTCGCCGTCAAGCGCAACTCCTGGCCCAAGACTCGTGGTGTTGCCATGAACCCCGTCGACCATCCCCACGGTGGTGGTAACCATCAGCACATCGGCAAGGCCTCTACCATTTCACGATACGCAGCACAAGGTCAAAAAGCCGGTCTTATTGCTGCCCGGAGGACTGGTTTGCTGCGTGGTACCCAGAAGACCAAGGAGTAGATGGGATATGTGTACGAGGGACATCCAGAAAACGGCGTGGACTGTGTTACGGCTCTTTTACGGTATTTGCGTCACCAGCACACAAAGGAAGTGGAAAAGGGTCCAAAGCTCCGATGGTCAGAAGAATGCCAATGGATGCATTGCCATTGAGCAGGTGCTAGTGGAAGCTAGATAGCCTGGGGTTGCGGTGACCATATCCGCAATGAAGATCAGGTCAAGGCGACGAGAAGATTCTGCATAGTGCAAGCACGGGAGATTGCTATCGTCTCCAGAATTTGACAGAGACAAAGGGAACCCAAGTATTTGTTGAAGTCGATCCCCCCTTTTTTCCTTCTTCTTGTAAAAGATCTTGTGGCGTGTCAATGTTGCAAATCTCCCTTGCCCCCTATTCTTCCAAAAGACATGTCACGAGAACATCCATATGCAACTCAGACGTGCATGCTTACTGGCGGTCATGTGCATGATAATGCTTACGGGGTTCGGCGGCGAGTAAGGCCCGAGTACGTGCGAGTACCGAGTAGGTACCTGTATCTACTAGGTAGTGGTGGCTCGTCATAGCAGTTGTATGGACCAGCAGAATTATGCCCGCATTTGTGCGCCGTCAAAATCGAACATGGCTTCAAGTTCTTTCCTTTTTCCCTGCGCCATTTTACGAACATAGCGCCTCGGACTTGTGGCTACGAATAGATAAGCCAAGCGATGATTTCAGTTGGTGGCGCACTGTTTCAGAGGGTCACGAACCGTCACTGGGCATCACAGGTTCGTGACAGGCACCGCTGGAGCTTCTGACGAATCCCCCGCAGAAGAGTTTGAAGTCAGGGGCAGCTGTTGGGAACCAGTGGCTCTGGGCTGTTCTGGCTGCGGCCACTTTGGTGGTGTCACTGGCACCCAGAGTCCCCGACTGGGACCTCGAGCGTCCCAGGGCACCAAGGGGTTCCGAAACTCTATCAGACACAACGTGCATGTTTTGCGCGTCGCTGCAACCCGCAACTAGTCATTAAATTATTGATTATTGGCACCGAGAGACGAGAACTTGCGCGACGGGCAGCAGGGATTTAATTCATCATCCAGCATTCACTGTCGGGCCTGATTCTTGTTCCACGCTTACCAGCGCAGTCAGTCGTTTATCCTGCCTCTATATTCTGACCTCATTCACGCTGCCCGCCGGACTTTGTTTCTTTCCCTTGCTCATCTTCCGCCAGCCCTTGATCAGCATTCCAGTTACAAGACTAGAAGCCACCGCGCAGTCCGATCCGACCCCTCCGTTGCTCACCACATCGACGCAGACAGCGTAACATAGCACCTTCTCTTATCAACCCCAACATCAGCACTCTCACTCACCATTATACCCTCCTTCCGCACCCTTCACTCCCTACCCCAACGAGCATCGTCCCCGGGCGTTTCCAATCATGAATGTCAACAAGAAACTCGATCGTTTTAAACAATGGGCGGGAGAGCGTATGGGCGGGGAAGTCAAGACCAATGTATCCGATGACTTCAAGGCCCTGGAGCTGGAGATGGGCCTCCGTCAAGATGGTGCGTACCACACTGCTGTTGAACGATCGTGGATACACTGGCGCTAATCGCTACATCTTGCAGGTCTCGAAAAAATGCAGCGATCTATGAATGCCTACATCAAAGCCATCTCCAAACGATCCGAGGTGGAGGGTAAAGAGAAAACTCTTCCGATCGCCTACATGGGCGGGACCATGATTTCTCATGGCGAGGACTTTGAGACGGATTCAGAATATGGTCAATGTCTCAACAGTGGGTATGCCCATGTTTCGAAGGAAATGCTGTATGCTGACCTTCCAAGTGTTTGGCCGAACACAGGAGCGACTGGCTCGCACACAGGAAACCTACATCACAAATGCCACCACCTCCTGGCTGGAGTCTCTCGAGAGATCTTTGGTCCAACTGAAAGAATACCAGGCCGCACGCAAACGACTTGAGACGCGCCGACTGGCTTATGATACATCGCTGGCCAAGATGCAGAAGGCCAAGAAGGAGGATTTTCGCGTCGAGGAGGAACTGCGGACTCAAAAGGCCAAATATGAAGAGTCGGCCGACGACGTTCAGCGCAGAATGGAGGAAATCCGGGACTCGGACCCAGAAAGCGTGGCCGATCTTGCAGCATTCCTCGACGCCGAACTGGCTTATCACGATCAATGTAGAGAAGCGCTATTACAACTGAAGAGCCAGTGGCCTGCCAGGTAGAGATCCCCCCCTCGAATGCGAGGACGAATCTAACTGATTCTGTGCAGAGCCCAGCTGTCAACTCGTGGTGGCCGACCCAATCCTCGGTCCAGATCAAACACTGTTCGGTCATACACCCAGACTATTGAGCCGGCGGAGGAAACGCCGCCAGTGGTCGAAATGCGCCCGACTATCAAGTCGAATCGCAGCGGCCGTTTCGCTGACCAACCTACTTCCGAATATTCGCCAGCACGCCCGAATTATGCCAGAGCTACTACGTTCAATGACTCTCCTACAGCTAGGGATCTGTCTCCCGCCACCAGGCCGGGAATTGCGCGAATCCCCAGCGATTCGTTGATGATTCGAACCGCGCGATCGCAGCTACGAAGCGTGGATGAGCAGGACGTTTTTGCAGATGAATCCACAAACAGTGGCTCTGACCGCGGTTACGGGGATCAATCTGTATCCCCCGCAACTTCCCATGGCAGTGAATCAGTGACTCTCCTGGGCGGTAGAAAGAGTGCTGTTCCGCCTCCACCTCCTCCATCACGCTCCAAGAAACCACCACCTCCTCCTGTACCAGCAAAGAGAACTGTTCTCACATAGAGCGTCTTGTACGCAGGAGATCATGAAAGCTGTCCGGATTGATAGACGGAGTCTGGCGCTCGTTCCGGGGGTTGAGACGGGTTTTGCTTGCCCAGAGAGAGACTGTTAGATCCAGGCCCGGCTGAGAATGCATCGAGGCGGCGTTGTATGCCATATAAACTGATTGAATTTGCAAGCACATCAGTCATCGATATTCCCACCTGCATATTTGTACTCGGTAGACGTGTGGTACACATTATCTCGTGTATTTTGGGGACGCGTCCGTGCATGATCACGTGGACTGCAACCCACGTGACTAGATGTAAGATTTGGCGCCCACTTGGCAAACTACTTGCGCAGACCTCGTTTGGGGTCACATCTGTTCTCCGTTGCGCTCCCCCCCAAGACGTGAAGGCCCCTCGGCCGGGAAAATCATCAATCAACGCGTCGCATCCATCTCTTTTCATCTCAACTGAACACTGGTAACTCGCAGTTCCGCTTGAGGAGTGCGCCCGAACCCCGTTGGCGACTCTTCGTCCCCTCTTTAATCAGGCACCCTCACCTCAACACCCAACCACGCCTCACCCGGGACTGCTACACCAACGAATCCCTCCCATCTGCCATCTGCGCCCACGTCCATCCACCCTCACAAGGCTGCGCCAGTCCTGTGCGCCCTCGAGGACCGACAACAACGGCACCGACCTGGATTAGATGCTCAGATAGGCCCTAACGTTCGCCTTGACCTGCAGCAGCCTAGCGTTGCAGATTTACTGGGCCGGCTGAGAAGTCACCATGACTTCTGTTCAATCCGCGCCTGCGATGCAGGCCAACGTACCATCCCTCCCGCCCAACCTTTCCCAAGCCCAGGTGCAGGAAGTCTATCAAGTATGTATAGGCTTCGTGAAAAGGCCTTTCAACCCCCCAAATCACTTTTTGCTGTCATCGGCTGCTAACACAAGCCACAGAAATTCCAGCGCATGAAGGCCCAGAATGTCCCCGAGACCGATCCTGAGTACTTGAAGGCATATCGATTCCTCACTGCTGTTCAACAGCAGCAGAATTACCGCAAGTTGCAGGCTCAAAAGCAGGCACAACTCCAGGCTCAGCAAATGCAGGCTGCCCAAAAACCCCAACACCAGCCGCAACCACAATTGAGCCAACATCCTGGACTACAACTTAACGGAAATGCCAACCCTCCAACGACCAATGGAACTAGCAATGGTCAACAAGACCCAGCGGGCGCGGTGGTCAATGGGGCAGCTTCCTCCACCCCAAGCTCAACCTCTGGACCCAACTCAGCACAAGCTGTCGGAGCACAAGCACAGCGCGCTCCAGCCCAGGCGAATGGCAGCTTCACAGCGGAACAGCTAAACTTACTGAGAACCCAGATTTTCGCTTTCAAGACCCTGTCCAAGAATCAGCCCTTACACCCCAGAATACAGCAGCAACTATTCCCGTCCCTGAAGCAACAAACTGCCACGCCTACGGAAAGCATTCCCTCTGGGGATAAAGTGGCGGATGACGCTGTTGAAGCGAAGGAGGATGGTACCTCAACCGAACTTGCTCGAGCCAAATCTTTCTTCGAAACATATCAGTCACCGTACGACCTTCTCTTCAAGGCGATTAGCTTCTCAGATCATTCGCAGCGCTCCAAGCGCCAAAAAATCCCAAGCATCTTGCCTCTTGGCCTTGACTCGGATCAAGTTCGAGAGGAGCAAGAACGGCTGCTGTACAACCGCATCCAGGCTCGAAAGGCCGAGTTGGCAGCACTACCTGTCAATATCGCGTCCTGGGACACTAGTAAATCCGTCGACCCCACCGCTGATGATTCTCTTAAGCTCAAAGCATTGATCGAGTACAAGAAGTTATGTCTACTCCAAAAACAGCGAGACTTCCGGCGTGAAATCCAGCAAGAGCTCTTCTACTACGACAACCTGGCAATGACAGCTAACCGATCAATGCATCGTCGGATGAAGAAGCAGTCTCTTCGAGAAGCCCGCATCACTGAGAAACTCGAGAAACAGCAACGCGACGCAAGAGAGAACAAGGAGAAGACCCGACAATCGAATCACCTGCAGTCCATTGTCGCTCACGCCCAAGATATCAAAAATAATGCCATCAGTCAACGCTCGCGCATTCAGAAGCTTGGTCGGATGATGGTCACTCATCATCAACACATGGAGCGTGAAGAACAGAAGCGCATTGAACGAACTGCGAAGCAACGTTTGCAAGCATTGAAGGCAAACGACGAAGAGACATACCTGAAGCTCCTCGGCCAGGCCAAAGATTCTCGCATTACACACCTTCTCAAACAGACCGATGGTTTCTTGAAGCAACTTGCCGCCTCTGTCAGACAACAACAAAGAAGTGCTGCAGAGAAATGGGGCGAAGACAAGTACACGGACGAAGAGGACGAAGAGGAGGGCGACTCGGAAGATGAGGAAGGACGTGGCAAGGTGGATTACTACGCCGTCGCTCATCGAATCAAGGAAGAGGTTAACGCCCAACCTTCAATCCTGGTGGGAGGCACTTTGAAAGAGTACCAGCTCAAAGGTCTGCAGTGGATGATCTCACTGTTCAACAACAACCTGAACGGTATCTTGGCCGACGAAATGGGGTTGGGAAAGACCATTCAAACCATCAGTTTGATCACCTATTTGATCGAGAAGAAGCGCCAGACCGGCCCATTCCTGGTTATCGTGCCTCTAAGCACACTCACGAACTGGAATCTGGAGTTTGAGAAGTGGGCTCCCTCAGTCAGTCGCATCGTGTACAAAGGCCCGCCAAACAGCAGGAAGCAGCAACAAATGAGGATTCGACAAGGTAGTTTCCAGGTCTTGCTGACAACGTACGAATACATCATCAAAGACCGTCCTATCTTGAGCAAGATCAAGTGGGTGCACATGATCGTCGACGAAGGTCATCGTATGAAGAATGCGCAATCGAAACTGAGCAGCACCATCACACAGTACTACACAACAAGATACCGACTGATCTTGACTGGTACTCCCCTGCAAAACAACTTGCCCGAATTGTGGGCTCTTCTCAATTTCGTTTTGCCCACGATCTTCAAGTCAGTCAAATCCTTCGACGAATGGTTCAACACTCCTTTTGCAAACACTGGCGGGCAAGACAAGATGGAGTTGAGCGAAGAAGAGCAGCTTCTCATCATTCGCCGTCTACACAAGGTGCTGCGACCTTTCTTGCTCCGTCGTCTCAAGAAAGATGTGGAGAAGGACCTTCCTGACAAGCAAGAGCGAGTCGTCAAATGTCGGTTCTCGGCACTCCAGACCAAGCTTTATATGCAATTGATGACGCACAACCGACTGGCTGTAGCCGACGGAAAGGGCGGCAAGACCAGCATGCGTGGTCTCAGCAACATGTTGATGCAGCTGAGGAAACTGTGTAATCACCCTTACGTCTTTGAACCGGTGGAAGACCAAATGAATCCTGGCAGAGGGACGAATGACTCCATCTGGAGAACCGCCGGAAAATTTGAGCTTCTCGACAGAGTTCTGCCCAAGTTCCGCGCGACCGGCCATCGTGTGTTGATGTTCTTCCAGATGACTCAGATCATGAACATCATGGAGGACTTCTTGCGGTATCGTGGCATCCAATATCTCCGACTCGACGGTGCCACCAAGGCTGAAGATCGATCTGAACTGTTGAGGGTTTTCAACGAACCAGGATCACCGTACTTCTGCTTTCTGCTTTCGACGCGCGCAGGCGGTCTTGGCTTGAATCTTCAAACAGCAGATACTGTTATCATCTACGATTCAGACTGGAATCCTCACCAGGACTTGCAGGCCCAGGACCGTGCTCACCGTATCGGACAGAAGAATGAAGTGCGCATTCTGCGTCTCATCAGCTCGAATTCAGTGGAGGAGAAGATTCTGGAACGCGCGCAATTCAAGCTTGACATGGACGGAAAGGTTATTCAGGCCGGTAAATTCGACAACAAATCCACCAACGAGGAGCGAGAGGCATTCCTCAAAACCTTGCTTGAAGCTGCAGAAGCTGCCGACCAAGTAGGGGATCAGGAGGAAATGGACGACGACGATCTGAACGAGATCATGGCTCGCACAGAAGATGAGTTGGTCTTGTTCAAAAAGATGGACAAGGAGCGTGAAGAGACCGATCAATATGGACCCGGCCGCCCGCTTGCACGTTTGATGGAAGAAAGCGAGCTCCCTGACATTTACGTGGCCGAAGACAATCCGGTTCAGGAAGAAGTAGAGGAGTACACGGGTCGCGGTGCCCGTGTCAAAACACAAGTCAAATATGACGACGGTCTTACTGAAGAACAATGGCTTGCTGCTGTTGATGATTCGGACGATTCGATTGGCGAGGCGGCCAAACGCAAACAGGCTCGGATTGAGAAGAGACGCACCAACAAGCTCAAACGTGAGCGAGAAGCCGCGGGTGTGGCATCCTCGCCGGAGCCGGAACAGGAGAGTTCTGAGGAGGAGCCTCCCCCAAAGAAAAAGGGCCCTGGACGGAAGTCGGCAGGCCAGAAGCGTAAGGCCGAGGAAATTGAGGATGAGCCACCAGCGACGAAGCGCAAGAGAGGAAAGCAACCCAACAAGCCGGCCATCGATTCGCTCGGTAGTTCGGAGCGATCTGCGCTACAAAAAGCTCTCAAGGCTGTGTTTGGGTCTATCAAGGCTCTCGAAGTACCGGACTCGGATTCGGAGCAGCAGTCTGAAGATGAGAGCGACGACGAACCGCCGACAAGATTGATTATCGGGCCGTTCCTAGAGCTGCCGCCGAAGAAAGTGTATCCGGATTATTACAGCTTCATCACGGAACCGATCGCCATGGACATCATTGAGAAACGGATCAACAGCCACCAATATACGAGCCTCAAGGATTTCCAGAGTGATATTGCGCTCCTGGCGAAGAACGCAAAGACGTACAATGAGGACGGCAGCATGCTGTATAACGATGCAATTGCCATTGAGGTAAGGCTTGCATGTCCATCTGATCTGAAATGCGCGACTAACAGGCTGTGACAGAATCACTGCAACGAGATGGTAGCCAAGCAGATTGCAGAGAACCCCATTCTAGGAGATAGAGGGCTGGCGGATGGCGACTCGACAGCAGCAGGTTCGAGTACGGGAACGCCTCGAGGATCCGTGGCACCAGCTGGCGGGACCAAGCTGAGACTGACATTGGGCTCCGGCAGCAATGGAGTGGCGACGAATGGCACTACCAGCGGCGCCGGGAGCGGAGCAGAATGATAGATGGATGTGTTCTTGTACCATAACGAGATAAACTGAAGATGAGAAAACCGGTCATAGGGTGGATTGGATCAGCACTTGCATCTGGACAGGAGAGTGGTGGGATAATCCAGTTCTATTGTTTCTCAACAGCAGGAAGAATTTAGGATGGTCATAGCTTGCATGGCTTTGGAATGGAGAGGAAGACGAGGCACTGGGCGAGAGGGTTTTTTTGTTCGCTGTGGAGATTCAGTACCGGGCGCTTGGTATAGCTGTGAGAATACATGTAGTGCTTGTACAATGGAATACTTGTGCCGTCATTTGTTTATATGGTACCATACCTAGGTATGAACCAGCTCCGTATCTCTTGTTCCTACCGAGTGACTGTCAGGGGATGCGAGAAAAAGGAGAGGACGGTGGCTCAGGAGTTTGGCGAGGACGGCACAACGGCTGAACGACTCGCTAGATGCAGATGCCAGATGGGATCCAGATGACATTCCGCCAATGGTAGAGGGCGAGAGGAGCGTGTGGAGAGGAGCCACGAGTGACTGCGGACAGATGATGGGTTGACGGAGGATCGAGTAGGGCGACATCAAGTGTCCATCTGGCCATCTTAGTTGGAGGCGAGGAGGATCTCGAGTTGGTCCCATACTCACCCAATACTCTCTCCGACCACGAGTAGCTAAGAGACTGACCACAAGTGCATCCACCTGCGCTGCGTCTAGTATTATCGTCTCCAACCTGCTCTTCTCCCTGCTTGTCAATACAACAACATCCCTTTTCTTGCACCCGCTCCTCCTTCTCCTCCTGCCATGCGTGCGCTTGGACTGCGCCTTCTCGAATGATACCTAGTTTGACATCTGCGCCAACATGGCGTCGACTCTGGTGGGCGCGACGCTGAATCTTCTCCGTAACGCAACCCCTCGCCCCCCCTCTGCGAGACCATGACACTGACTCTCAGGATCCAGGTCGCCAGGTGGAAGACGTCGATCCAGACGGTACGCTGCCTGCGCTTCGCCGCTCACCCTGTCCCTTCCCATCGCTCGCTAATTGATCCTCGAAACAGACCCTCCCGAAGCTGGCCAGAAAGAGATCTTTTCGTCATGGGCACTCTTCATTCTGATCATGCTGCTTATTGCGGCCCTGTTTACGAGCTACATTTTGCAGCAGAAGAGAATACAGGCCGTCCATGAAACCGTCATATCTATATTTGCTGGTACTCGCCGATTGCTGCATATAATTGTACGCCTCTGACCGCAGTGTATAGGCATGGTCGTCGGACTGGTCATACGCATCACTCCTGGCACCGCAATCCAAGACACCGTCAGTTTCGATTACCAGTTCTTCTTCAATCTCCTTCTCCCGCCCATCATTCTAGCCTCCGGGTACGAATTACATCAGGTAGGCCTCCTCCCGCAAAAAAAAGAGACTGGATTTGGACATCAACTAAAGGATCATAGGCAAACTTCTTCCGCAATATTGGCACGATCCTGACCTTTGCATTCGCCGGGACCTTCATCTCCGCCGTGTCCTTGGGCCTGATCCTTTGGCTATGGACACGAATTCCCTTCGATGGCCTAACCATCACCTGGGTCGAAGCCATTTCCGTCGGCGCAACCCTCTCTGCGACCGATCCCGTCACGATCCTCGCTATCTTCAACATATACAAGGTCGAACCCAAACTGTATACGGTCATCTTTGGCGAATCCATTCTCAATGATGCCATTGCCATTGTCCTGTTTGAGACTGCTCAGCGATACAGGGAAGGAGCTGCTGGGAATCTCAATATCATCAGCCTGTTCGAGGCTATTGGAATCTTCTTACTCGTCTTCTTCACCAGTTTGGTGATTGGCGTGGTGGTGGGCATCGGGACTGCCCTCGCCCTAAAGTATACGCTTGTCCGCCGGTTTCCAAAGATTGAAAGCTGTCTGATCGTTTTGATTGCATATGCAAGCTACTTTTTCTCCAATGGCGTTCACATGTCTGGTATGTCCCGTGTTCCCAGCCTCGTCATCTTGCAGTACACTAAATCCATCCACCAGGCATTGTGTCGCTGTTATTCTGCGGCATTACCCTCAAACATTACGCATACTACAACATGTCCCGGAGGACTCAACTTACCACGAAATTCGTCTTTCAAATCACCGCCCAGCTCTCAGAGAACTTCATCTTCATCTATCTTGGTCTCACACTATTCACCGAGACAGATCTAGTTTTCAAACCGCTGTTTATTCTCGTTACAGTGGTCGGCATCTGTGGCGCGCGTTGGCTGGCCGTATTCCCACTTTCCAAGGCAATCAACTATATCATTCGACTTCGGGCCAAACGCCGTGGTCGCGATGTGGCAGAGGAACTTCCGTGGCACTACCAAGTCATGTTGTTCTGGGCCGGCCTACGGGGTGCCGTCGGTGTGGCCTTGGCCGCTGGACTACAAGGAAATGAAGGTCCTGCACTCCGTGCCACTGTCCTTGTCGTGGTGGTGTTGACGGTCATTATTTTCGGCGGGACAACGGCACGTATGCTGGAGATTCTAGGCATCCGCACGGGGGTGGTCGAGGAGATCGACTCGGACGATGAATTCGACATTGAGACCGCCAATGGTGGCACATACTACAAGCGATCTGGTACTGGCTTTGGCCACAACCCGCGACCCTCGGCGATTGGCCTTGATTATGTGGGCAACAATCGCGATGGCAAAGCAAATGGCTCAGCTTCACACGCTCGAAACGACAGAGGCTACAGCAGTGGTAATGGTCGATCTCCTCCACTGCACCCCGGAGCTCAGCGCAAAAACTCGAGCATCTCTCAGCGTGACCGCGAAATTGCCGCTCAGCAAGGAAAATTGCTGTCTGGCATCGGTAACACCAGCGGCTCAACGTCCGACGACGACGAAGATGCCGCAGAGCTCGACCTCCCTCCTGCTGCACCGCGGAGAAAACAGTCTCCCTTGTCGCTCCCACCTGGAGCTCATGATACGCGCGTCCGCTCCGCTCCTGATATTATTCTGAATAACGGAGACAGTGATCCTTTGGGGGAAGACCAGGGAGACGTGGGCACAGCGGCTACCCAACCAGAAAGAGCGTCGACGCCGCTGGCGGGAGCGAGTAGTTCGATAAGGAATCTATTGAGGGGGGCAGCGGCGGATCACACTGCTTGGTTCCGCCAGTTGGATGAGGACTTTATCAAGCCGCACCTGTTACTGGATCAGCACCAGGGGCAGGGCAAGGGGCCCCCTCCTTCATGAGCACCAATGCTTCTCCAAGGAGGAGGCTGCAAGAGGCGGGCGGTTCTATTCTTGCATCAGGGCGTCAGGTGTCCTTTAAAAGTGATTTTGGGATGACATGATATTCAGTTGAAGGGATTTCGACGATGATGGCCAGGGCACATAGCACAAGGGCCGTTGGGAAATAGAATGGCAGAGATTGAAGCTTCACAGGGCAGACAAGTTCGAGTAACGTATATTTCATCCACGTTTTATACAGACCCTTGTATATGCCGTTGACTGAAGACCTCGGCAAAGGGGCTTCTTCTTCTCGACGAAGCTCATTAGCATCTGAGTATCAGAAGCGAGAACCAATTCCTCATCCTCTAGATAGTCAATGAAGGTGAGAAAAGATTCATCTATACCGTCCTTGAGGGTCTTGACAGAGGCGAAGAAGATATCGTGGACTTTGGTCATGAACTTGCGAAGCTTGTCTGTCAGCATAGCCCTTCTTTCCTTTAACAGTGACAGCGATTTTGATAAGAGATTCTTGCCTATTCATATGAGGTAGGCGCGGCATGAATCGGTAGTTGGCGTTGGTAACCGATTTCGAAAGGAGCGTGGTGCGTATATGCGGTTCCTTACAAACCACGCGACAGGAATCTCCAATGCTCACGGCGTCAGCCTCACTCTGAGACAATCACACTCACTTTGACAAGCTCCCCAAGTTCGTTTCTCGGATCCGCTGTTCAGAGTTCACACTGGGATCCCGGCACCTACTTCGACGACCTCACTCAGTTCCGCTTCTCAACGACGTCCTCCCCCGCGACAATGGTACCGAGAGGCTCATGGAAAATGAAGGACCATTGGATATCAACCAGTCTACATACACCCATAGGTGGGCCGCAGAGCTTCAGAGTCAAATATGGAGAGTTTCATGGAAAAGACGGACCCTTTGATACCAACCCGTCGAACATACTCATAGGCGGGCTGCAGTACCTCGGGCTCAATCTCGCCTGTCGGCGTTGGTAGGGGTCAGCTCCTGGATTGCTTCAGGGACTAATCCTCCTTTCTCAGGAACGTCCTTGTTCGGCCTGGCTGATAGTAGTCAATTAGGTGCTGGACAAAATGGCCTGGTCAACGCCTTCACGCCCACCGGTAGGCTATATCTTTATATTTGTTCCAGAGACTTTTCGACTTGATATAACAGTAGCTAGGGCCATTCCATAAGTATTGGCGAGATGCTGCGAGCTTTCTGTAAGATCCGATTCTTTGTGCTCAATGTAAATTAAAATCCTTCCTGCCTATAGATTTTTCAGTACCTTAAAGGGAGGGAATCTGGCTTCGGCAAGTTGGCAAGGTTACGTCTTCGAACCATGATCGACGGTGTTCTTCGGCCTAGTATTCTTTTGGGTCAAGTTCTCAAAGTCAAGTGGAAAAGTTCTCAAAGTCAAGTGGTAAAGAACTCAGAGTCAAGTGATAAAATACTTAGAGTCAAGTGATAAAATATCGTTAAAGGACTTAAGTATAAGTGAGGTATGAGAGATTGTCTAGAAACCTATCTAACGTTTCTAAGAATAGTCTGTGCTCCCGCAATTTATATTGGTATCATTCGATACAAGGTACTGGCTCCGAATGCTACCCGTACCTCTACCACAAACCTAAACTAATAGAGTACTCTAGGACTAAGCACACCTGGACCAACAGATCTGGTATGAATATTGTGCACGATATAATGGAACCTTCCATCCAAAGTACCTGGCTGTGCGGCCCTTTCGGACGCGGGCTAACTTCCCTCCGACCAACTATCATACATGGACGCCCCCTTTCCTTAGAGGGAAGGCAGTCAGCGGGACCTGGATTGCGGGACCCCATCGATGCGGCAATGGTAGATCTCTCCCACGGTCAGGCTTGCGGGAAATACTAATCATAGCACTGAGGATACCCCGCTCCATCAAGGCTCCTCACTCCTAAGCTCCAAGGTCTTGCCACTGCGTAGAGATCCCGTACGTGGCTGAGATGAGGTTGCGTTGAGTTGTGAGTCGAACGCGTCAGAATGTACCATCAGGTTTTGATAACGGAGGAAAGACAGTGTTGGAAGTGACTTGACGTCGGTGAATATCGCGGTAGGACATGGGAATCAGACAAAGCACAAGGGTAGGCGCTCGAGAATTAAAGGTCACAAACACCAAGGCAGTGGCCAGGTATGGAGCTGATGGGACAAGAAGTGCTCACAGCACCAGTGGAGTGAGAGGATCTGGATGGTCACAGTGGACAAGTGAAGAGTGAACCCAGGTGAAACGTGTGAAGAACTAGATGGGCTCCTGGAGACCTAGAGCCTGACACCACTATTGAGCCGCTGAAGGCCGATCCAGAGAAAGAGAGTGGGAAGCCTGACACTGACGCTGTGAGTATTGGAGATTTCTACATTGTCCACAAGGACAGCTTTGTAATGAAGACATATTCTATCTCAAACTGTCTCGGTGGAGGACGCCTTATCATATCTACTGCATCCCTAGCTCTTCGAAGGCGCTCTGCGTAGCGCTAACTCGCTGCTTCAAAGTCACATTGACAGTTGTACACCTGGCGCCCGTTGAATGTATGGTGCTGGCGAACAGAGTGCCCGGAGAAGATAAGAGAGAGTTTATCAGAGTGAGTTGTGATTGTCCTAGAGTGATTGTGAACAGAGCATCCAGGAGAGAATCTGAGGAAGGCACTGTGCTGCAAGAGGACCAGATTTCACCAGTGGAGCCCTCACCAGATCTCCTGGGTATCGGGTCATCATAGTAGCAGTGAATGCGCCTCCAAGACTAGCTTCACCACGCCATACTAGTCGGCGAGGCGGTAGGAACCTATGGGAGTAACACAGCCGTATTGGATCGCTTGGCGTAAATGTATTAAACCAGATATATGGGTTTAGGGAGACCAGTGTATACGCGTCCTTAAGCTGCTCAGAGCGGGGGCCGAGGCTCTGTTAGAGAGCAAGGACCAACAACGTCCCGACCGGGCCGGGACCGGGCAAATTACTCCCCGTCAATTGTCAACAAGGAACACACAGCCAGAATTTATATTGACATAGCTCCTGGGCACGAACCTTATTCCTTGAGTAGTGATGCCAGACCAATCTGAAGTAGGTTGATCACAGCATTGTTTCCGTGGCCTGGTACCCTGGATTGGTCAGTCATTCTCAGAGTCAGGTAACCCCTTTGACAAACGAGTCCAGACCTCTCCCGGCTCGATGGCCTCAGGGGCTTTTGAGCCGCTACTCTTGCCCAATGGGACATGGCTCAAGAATCGAATCGGCAAGGCAGCCATGGAGGAGAAAATGTCCGATGTCCAAAGACACTGCCAGCCGTCGCCGGGGCTGTTGGGACTGTACAGCGCCTGGGGCAAGGGTGGTGCTGGCTTGATATTGAGCGGGAACATCATGCTCGATCCCACTGCCATGTCGTGTCCGGGCGACGTGCTTCTTGCGCCCGATGTCGAGCCCCTGGACGAAAGCCGCTGGCGGGAATGGGTCCAGGCGACACGCAGCGGAGGAGCGCAGTTCTGGTTCCAGCTCAACCACCCCGGGCGACAAATCAAAAAGGGCGCAGGGCTTCCCGTCTACGCGCCGTCGGCCGTCAAAATGGACATGGGATCCTTCAGCAACATGTTCCAAACGCCGATTGCCATGACCGAGGCGCAGATTCACGACGTCATCTCCCGGTTTACGTGGGCAGCCGAGAAGGCCGAACAGCTGGGTGCCGACGGTGTCGAGATCCATGCTGCTCATGGCTACCTCATCTCGCAGTTCCTGTCGCCCCTCTCCAACAGGCGGACTGATCAATGGGGAGGTCCTCTGGAGAATCGTGCGCGGCTGTTGTTCGAGGTGGTCAAGTCTGTGCGCGCCAAAGTGTCGCCGAAGTTCGGCGTCGGCGTCAAGATCAACACGGCCGACTTCCAGAGAGGCGGCTTCGATGTGGACGATCTCTTCTGGGTGGCCAAGCAGTTGAACAACTACCAGCTTGATCTGCTGGAGATTTCTGGAGGCAACTATGAATCACCGGTCATGGCCACGGGCGTGGCACAGGACGACAAGGCCTCTAGCACCGCTCGACGCGAAGCATACTTCCTGCAAGTGGCCGCGCAGCTCAAAGACGTCGTCCAGATGCCCGTTATGGTCACGGGAGGCATCTCCCGCAAAGCCGTCGTGGAGGAGGTGGTCGGCACGGGCACCCAACTCATCGCCGGCGTGGGAACGGCCATGGGTCTCGTCCCGGACTTGCCCAACCGGTGGGCCCGTGGCGAAGACCCCGCGCCTGCCCTCTCCCGCAGCAGGATCCTGCCAAAGCCTCTGGCTGCGGTGGCCAAGACCTCGTGCGTCCAAGTGAGCTTCCACATGATCGGGCGAGGCTGGCGGCCGTGGAAGGGCGTCTGGCCCGTGCTGGCGCTGTTAGTAGTGAACGCGATCGAGTCGAGGCAGATGAGGGTCTACAAGAAATGGGTGCATCAACAATTTGGACAGAAACACAAACACCTGTGACGTGTATACTTGCTGCCTCTGCCTTCTTATTTCCCACAACCCTGAAGGGGCACAACAGGGTCGACTCATAGATAACAAAATATTAGATAGAGATATGCCGGCTGGATGATTGCTTGAATGAGGCTGATCAGAAGTTCTGTATGGATATAATAGCCATGCCCGTGCCTGGGCAAATGCTTTGTACTGGAGGGCATGGCTTATAGAGTGGGGGTATGGCCGCCCCTAGAGCCAATGATTGTAGACTTCGAATGGTGGAGTCTAGGTTAATAACCCTAATTCCGACTATGTTCCCACAAACTCCTCTTCCCTTTTCGCTATTCCCGCCTCTTGGACTGGAATACGTATTAGGGAACGGTAGAAATGGATAGACATTATTTCTCTGTCTGGTTTGGTTGAATTCACTTTCGACCCTCTGGTAAACACATGCTGATCGATACACACAAGAATAAATCCTTGCCAGGAGCAAAAAAAGTAGTTGTTGCGCTGCGTTAGCCGGGACTGAGGAATTGTTAGAACCGCGATTTCACATCCTCACTACAATGTATATTCAACTTACATCGAACCCGGGGCTGTAGCTAACCCGATATGGAAGGCCACAATGTCTCGAGTGACGTCAGTAGGTATATTTCTGCGCTGGTGATCTCAACTTACTACCATTACACCACCAACGCTTGAATTGTGCTCGATTTTGGCGACTATCAAATATATATTTTCATTTTCTGGGTGGATCACGTGTGGGGTAGAGAGACAACCTATCGCCAGTAAAGTATGACTATGGCTCCAAATAACTCCACCTAGGTAATTACCGGCCGACGCTGTGACGTCAATCTAGCACCATTTATCTACGAGTAATTGGAATGTACAATACTCGTGATCCTTTTCTATTTTCCCCAGTATTCGATTCGACTGATTGAATCCTTCAATTCCCAATCTAGATCACTACGTTGATATCCAAGACTCTGCAATCGACAATAGATAATGGAGGGCGTGCCGAAATTCAAGGAGCGCGAAAAGGCCCTCGAAGACGACTACATTCGCCGCAAGGAGTAGGTTTCCGTCATTCCCACATTTGCATCAGGCATTACTGTCTAGGGATGGGTATCTAGCGAGATATCGTCGAGGCTCTCGAGAGAAATACATGGCCGTGTCTGTTATCCCCCCTCCAGCGATTAAAGCATACTGACCAAAAGGCCGTTGGTTAGGGCCGAGAAATACAAACCCCCGGCGCCGACCCAGCCTGGAAGTACCCAGCCCTCGAATCCGGAGCATAATGTACGTTTCTACGCCTACTCTAATACCCTCTCTTCAGGCGCTGTGTGGACTAGGCTAACGGAATACGAATGCAAAAAGGCTAAACCCAAGAAATGAGCGGTTGGGATTGATCTGAGCCAACGTCGTGGCCTGTGAGACTGGGTTTCTGCCTAATATCAGGCTGAGTTTATGTATCATTAGTGGCCGTCAAAGCACTTTGTATCGAGAATATCAACCTTATATTCGATATTTCAGGCTCTACCGTTCATCCACATCAAGGACTCTGTGTCCAGCGGTTCCCTATTGGTGCACCGCATGTCTGCTCCTTCCGCATGTCTGCTCCTTCCGCATGTCTGCTCCTTCCGCACGTTTGCTCCTTCCCCTTCAAGCTCATTCGACGTTGTCTATCCAAGACGCCTTCCGGACCAACTCTTGAGAGTAGCGCAAGTGGTATCAAACACTCGGCTCAACGTTCCTCGCACCATATGGCTGATTTATTGGTCTTATCCCGGAAAGGGAGGTAAGGGATGGATGCGAGTGCGAACCTCGAGAAGCCATGATGCTCTGGACAGCTAATCGACTGAGTATCCGTTACAAGTGAGCCAAGGGATTTCGTCTGAAGAGAGGGTTACTCCGGGGCGAGCCTCACGTGGATCATAGTGATAATAGGGGAACAAGTATTACTATTACAAGATAACATTACTAGGTATGTACGAGTACAGATATACAGTGTACTTCTTCTGCCGTCCTGTTACTGCCAATAACCCAATTGGCAACCAGTCCCAAATCCCTGAGCCTTGCTTCGTAACCTTCTCCCTCGAGGTGTAGCTGGCATGTACTGTGCACCAATACCCCCTTGTCCATTTCACAGCCACTTCTCCAAAGCCGGAAACTTCTCGAGCAGAAATATATGCCATCTGAACTCCCTTCGCCCAAGCCCAAAACACTTTAAACGGGGCTACTTGGCCCCTTCCGACTTCTTTCTCAAAAACACTCTCTTAATCCCGCCAATATCCCCAAGGCTCATACGGCTGCCTTTGGGTCGCGCGGCAAGACTTGTCCGCCGTGAAATCTTCGCGTCACTGGCAATGGAACTCGTGCTCGGGCTGGTGGAAATGGTCACAGGGCTCGAATTCACGTTGGAGCTCGGGCTGGAACCGAAATACGATGATGCTCGACGGCCCGTGCTTGGTGGCGTGGAGGTGAACGTTGTGGTGGTGGTCGTTGTCGTGGTGGTGCCATTAGGCCCTTGAACAATCGTGGAGCTGCCACCACCACTGACCGCCCTGGCTTTGCCGACCATCCCCTGAACCCAAGCATCATTACTCGCGGCGGGTGTGGTCGCATATGTTGCTGCTCGTCGCACGTTCATTTTGGGCCCAGCGGCACCAAGAGGAGTATAATTTGTTGTCGTGGTAGGAGGAGTCACAACCGTTGTTGTCGTGACCCCGCCCGGGCTGGTGACAGTTGAATACCTTGGGAGAGACGCAGTCACGGGACTTTGTCGCGGCTGTTGAAATTGGTCCTTCGACAGTACCGTGGCAGGGTCGATGATGCTTGCCACAGTACCAGTCTCATGATTAGTGGACGTGGCTAAGGTCGGAGGACTAACGGTATAAGATGGTGGGATAGGTGGCACTGGAGGCGTTGTCCACGCACCGTCACCTCTGCTCTTGCGACGTTCAGGGGAGCGGTGTCGCTGGGTGGATGATCGAGTTTTGGGGTTGACCAGCTCAGCCGATGTCGTGCCTTCGAACGTCGTTTGGGCTACCGTTGGTGATCTTGATTTTCGCCGTCCTTGGGAAGCCGACGCTCCGCTAGCAGAACTCACAGAGTCTCTAGGTCCGTTCCCAGGGAAGCTGGCAACCTCAAGTCGACCATCGACAGTCGCCCGGCTTCCATGATGAAGACTATACTCTCGCAGGTATTCTCCCAGATCCGCCCATCCACCACCAACCCGAACCATCACGCGATCCCCGTCTCCGACTGTGCGCACAAAGAGCTTGACTGGGGGCGCCTCGCGACCTTGTCCTGAGCGTGTCAGATGATATAATTTGATGTCAGGATCGGCGAGGCTGCCTCTACGGCTTGACGGGTCCGCTTTGGCTGGTGACAATGTCAATGAAGCAGTGGGGGTTGAGGCACGAGTTGACGAGTTGGACGACGATTGAGCATCTGCATCTTTTGCCAACCGGATTCTAGTAGGTAGGCTCGTGAGAATGTCTTGGATTCTGTCGTCAAGCGATTCTCTCGTCTTTGGCCGTCTCGGGGATTGTCCTACTTCGGCCGAGAGGGTGTCAAAACGCCCTCCCCCCACGCTCTCTTCGTTACCCCTGCTCGCTACCGGTGTTATTGGAGAGCTGTCAATTGTACTGTTGCGCTTACTCGACCTTCTTGGCAAAACTGGTAGAGGCGGTTCTTGCCTCGAGTGCATGTCCACAGAGTCGACTTGAAGGGATGGTGAAACGACGGGATGCCTGGCCGTTGAATTTGCGCTTGGAGGGGATGAAGGTTGGTGTACGTCCACTTCAGCTGAAGGAGCTGCCACTGTAGAACCCGTAGCAGCTGTCAATTGTTTCAGCGCCTTTGACGGGGTACTCTCAGGCGACTCGGCTATTTGGGTAAGAATATCCCAACTGGCAGCCCGTCTCAGCACAACTTGTTTCAATTTATCTTTCGGGAAGACCTCTATAGACGCGGTTGACGCTCTTTGCAGCATGGGTGGCTTCAACGCCATCTGTTGCTGAGCTGCGGAGGGCGATCCAAACCAAGCGATCTCATCCCGGCTTGTTGGAAAAGGATTCTCCACCACGCTGATCTTCGGACTTGGGAGGACACTGGTAGTCCTGGCGTCCATGATTTCCGCGTTGGAGATGTCTGAGAACGTCGAGTATGTTGAGTCAGCAACCGAAACTTTTGAAACTTCTCGTTTGTGGCCCTTTTGGTTGGCAAGGTCAAGCTTCAGAGACGGTCTGCGCTTTGCTCTAACCTCCTCCTGGTCTGACGGAGAAATATCAAGTACCATGTTTTCGGGCAAGGCACCAGTTATCGTAGACGGCTGAGCAGCCTCTGCCTGTCCTCCTAGCTCTTGCCGTACAATTTCCTCACGTAAGGATTCCGGGTGTTCAGGGCTTCCAGCAATATTTTCAGTTCCAGTATTCCTGCTACTTTTTGATGCCAGGTTGTTTCTGAGCACAACGTGGTCTGCTTCGACCGCCCAGGTTGCATAATCGAGCTCGATCTTCTCGAGGACATCGATCCAGGCCTGTGGGAGAGAATCCTCGCGCCCCTCAAGCATATCGAGGAATCGATCAATGCGACGCCCCAGGTCTGATACGCGTCCACCCAATGCCATCTTCTTATCGTCCAAAGACGACCTAGTCAGAGCTTGCGCAGAATCTGGCGTCCTGATCTCATCGAATGCTTGCTGAATCTCAGACTTGGTGGACTGCATAACGTCGAGAAATCTCGCAAGGTCTCTTAACACTCTCAATCGCACATCCCAGGTGTCAAGCAACATGTTCAACTTGGCAAGGTCTGGAAGTGCTTGTATAACTGTCGCAGTGATCAGGGCAGTGAAGTCGCGCATTCTCCCGTAGCTTGAGCGAGGACCAACTGACCGCGAAGCTTTTGTCGGACTCGTTGCGGGTAGATGAGCTTCGAGCACATGGTCCTTGATCTCGTCGATGCCCATACTGTCGAGGTCATCCCTAATCTCCTCTATTCTGGCCTCGTAGTCTTCCGCCACAGACGCAGGCAAACAGCCACGGTACTCTTCGGGCTTGCCGCTTGTATTTGACGGAGGCACGAATCCTAGACCAAATCCTCTCTCTTTCTTGCCCGGCCACGTCCATTGTGACAATTCATTCTTCCATTCCCGCAGTTTCTGGGCGGCGAAAGCAGCTCTTATGCCAATCTCTCGCTCTGCAGGGGTTGCGTCCGCAATGCTGGTAGTCAAAGCATCTTCTTGTGCAGCACCACCGGAAATGGTTTCTGTCGCCTGTAGTGCTCTCAGTGTCGAGCCCGGTGTCAAATTTCCTAGGAGGGGGTCGAGCTCTCTAATGGCGAATTGAGCTCTGCGCCGAGGTGACCGAGAGGGAGAGCGAGATGGCGTGGGAGGATCCAAGCGAGGGAACTGCGGCGTAGTGGGAGTTGTGGGCGCCATTTTCTCAAGAGACGTGCGAGATACTCGGTATGCCCTCGATCTATCTTGCCAGCAAGCACGCTTGCTTCTTCTTTCTCAAAGAGTTCCAGCCTCTCGGGAGATCAATTGACAGCATGCTGATGGTTGCTCACGCCCCTCACGAGAAGTAGTGGTGTGAGGACATGCGAGACACCGTCTAAGACGCAGGGTAATTGGTGGCACGTTGGAGGAGGCAGTCATGTAGGGAATTAAAAGAGCGACAGAGCAGGGGGGCTCAGAAGGATACCTACAGTCATGATAAGGTGATTGGGAAGGAAGAGAGAGGATGTTGATGCTTGATGGCGTGAAACAGGTTCCCGCTCGCCACCAACAACGCAGCGAGCAGCAGGGTGCCAACTGCTTGCCCCAGAAAAATTCCCCTGGTAGTGGATGCCTGGTGTGTCTGGGCGTCTGGACTCTGGGCATGATGCTGACGGTTAGTAGGGCCCTAGTAGGTGTTCGTGCCGCCTAGGCCGCCAACCAGGATGTGCCTGTCTTGCATCGATAGGCGAGATGAGAATCCAGCTCGCCAGTTCGCGTACCCGGAAGTGACGCGCCTTTTCCGCTTCCTTGGGGCGCGTGGATCCCATGGACGCTGGTTGTGGTTCCTTGGGTTCTTTTGCATGTTCCTCAAGCTAAACCAATTCATCGCTATCGTCAAACACTGAACGAACCTCTCTGCTTCCCTCCCTCCTCCTTCGACTCACTGCCACTCTCAGTCAACATTTTTGTCTGCTTCCCCAGGAACAATTCAATGCGTTTCAAGAGCCAGATCAAAAATGTGAATCTACTCGCAAGTAGGCGCCGTTTGCACCCACTCCGGCTCGCCTCAGACCCATTAATAGCTTTTCAGAATTCTGCGCCTCGTTGGCCTCTCTAGGCCAGATCGCCTGGTGCCGACTCGACGACGATGGTGTTCAGTTCACCATCATCCCTGACAAGGGGAGCCAGGTTTGGTCCGTCTTAAGGCCCGAGATGATTTTTGAGACATACGTCCTCCAGTCTGCGTCACCCAAGAACACGATTAACCTTGAAGTCCCCATTCAAGCCCTTTCTCGAGCCCTCCGGTCGGCGCTTGGGGCGACGTCCACACAGATCAGGTTGACAAAGAAGGACAACGTACCCATACTCTCGTTGACGATTGTGACCAACACCTTCAGCAGCGGGAAAAATGTTGTGGCCCGACCCACAACAACTGGGAGCCATGGTGGAAATGGAGAAAGCGACTTCGATGATGCCGAAGATCTGTCTTTCTACGAAGCCAACGCCGGGGGAGATGGTGAACGAGAGACAATTATCACGCAAGACATCCCAGTCAAAGTCCTAGCCATGGCAGTCGTCGAGAGCCTCCACCAACCCCGGACGCCGGAGCCAGATGTGAACATTTTTCTCCCTCCTCTGGCACAGGTAAAGACCATATCCGAACGCTTCACACGGTTGGCAATCGCCACAACCAAGGGATCTTCTGCGGCTAGCCCTCGCCTGGAACTCAGTGCTAATATGCATGGCTCGCTCAAAATCTCCGTCAAAACCGACGCACTCAATATTACAAGCCGCTGGACGGGCCTGGCGCATCCACAGCTTGAGCCGGCACTCTTCCCGGACTTGACCGACCATCCCACCACCAGAATGAAGGAGCTTGGAGGGCCTAACGGAGAGAACGATGCAGGATGGTCCAGGGTCCGGATTGATGCTAAGGATTGGTCGAGGGTTCTCAGCGTCGGTCGAGTCTGTACCAAGGTCATTGCATGTTTCATCAATGAAGGAGCCTTGGTGCTATATGTCTATCTGCCAGCGGATGAAAACGGCGATGAGGGAGATCCCTGCCTCACAGTAAGTTGAAGACATTTGCCTTACAAAGAAGATGCTAACATTTCGCAAGTACTACATTAGCTCCTTCTCTGCTTGATGCTGCGGTTAGGATTGATATTGCTGAGTTTGGTTCTCAGTGGAGGAGTCAGGTCCTGGTTTTATGAAAGGGATGTGATCACGGTTGCAGTAATGATAGCAGCAGGGGCAGGTGGTAGCAAGGCTAGATCGATGCCAGATGACCCACCTGAAAGATACACCGTTCGAACTCGCACGGACACTGCATTGTACAACGCCTACGAGCCTGTAGTGCCTGTGTTGACATCTTTGCTGGTCATGTGATTGCAGCGGAACCCGAGCCACGTGGTAATGCTTGGCACTCTTGGCAGCCTTGTGCCTTTCAAGTTGTTCCTTTTCTCCTCTTTTCCCCTTTCTTCTATCAATGCATCTTCGATTAAACCGCCCCCACGTGCCCCAGGAAACTGAATTCAAACGTCTTGAAGCCACTCGGGGATTTCTCAGCTTTCGATCTACAAGTTCAAACTAATTTGGGCATATTTGCCACGTCCTACCATCCCGCGGGGCATGGAAGACGGCAGGAGGCGGCAGGCGCCTCCTGCGACCTCTTTCGCGGCCAAGTGTATCTTTTTCTGGATCTTTGCCGGCGTGACGCCCGGTGTTGTTTACCAACCATGATGAGCCGCAATGCGAACTGGGCAAGGCCCCCCAGTGCTGCGCGGCTAGTCTTCCATGCCTGTGGCCCCAACGGTGATATGAAACGGTACGATGCAGAGGTCTGCCACTATTCCTGATAGCTGGGACTGCTGCATCCTAGTCTTTGTCGGCCTCATGCTCGATCTCCAGATATTGTTATTCGTCCATCTCACACGGTTGCGTACGTCGACTGAGCAGTCGACCACACCTTCGACCAACCTGATGTCGCTCGCACCGATCTGCGCCTTGGGCATTTTTAGACCTGCAGCTGACTTTCAGAGAGCTTCATGTTTCAACCTCCCAGATCGCCGAAACGGTAAGGCTGAATAAGGTAGGCAAACCCCCCAGAAGGAGGACGTGTTGCCTCCGAAGTGCAAAGATTCTACCTCTATCTTCTTCCTTGTTGACACCAGTCTCATTTCGGTGCTTCTTACACCTTATCTTTCTGTGCCTCGACTACGGAAAATGCGCTCTACGACACAATCGGCCTGGAGTTCTCTTCAATGAGCTGGCATCCTAAGGCAGATATTGCTTCCTTCCATCATTGCGACAACAATTCTCTGGAATGGCAGCTGCATTGGTCCCAACCGCTAGTGTTTACCAGGGAGTCTGGACAGATTGGTCAGAGGGCAAGATATGGGGTCTCACTCTTACTTTGTGCCCGACGCATGCCACCATCTTGACCAACGCGTTGGCTGTCTTTGTCACCGTCTGCGGTATACAGCTGTGGAACATTATTCGATCCTCGATCGACAGATTTGGTACTCCGTCTCAGCCAGAGATGTTGACTCCGCAGCTTCGAAGACAAAAAACCGTGTTAAGAAATGCTGATTCGGGTCCTATTACAACTGCCGAGCGCTTGCTGTATATAGCATGGAAATATCGACGGACGAGCACTGGCAAACCCTCACTACGCGCATACTCATTTGGTATGTTCGCCATAATCTTTGCCATCCTCTCGTGGGCAGCCGGAATCTTTTCCAATCGAGCAATCAGCACCGGCTCAACGAACGGGCCTTGGCAAGTTCTTTCCAGAAGTAACCGTTGCGGGGTATGGAATCAGACTTACTTCAACATTGTGAACGGTGTAGATCTTTCCACAGAAGACAACTTTGACGAGATTATTCAGTACACTGCTAAGAGGGGTCAAGACGTTCAACTGAGCTTCGAATATGCTCAACAATGTTACTTCGCCCAATCCCCTACCGATACCATGTCGTCCACCTGTAACACTTTCAAAACTTCAAGCCTCGACAGGACGGTTGCGAATGGCACGTGCCCGTTTCAAATTCAATCCTGCCTTGAAGGCTCCAACGCCATTGTCCTGGAAACGGACCAGATTGACTCGCACGTGGATTTGGGTATCAATGCCAAGCCGAAAGACCGCTTGAAGTACTCGAGGAGGACAACATGCGCCGTTCTCGATGGCACCGATCACATAAAGGGGTGGAACGGCACAATAGTGAACAGCTCGAGTCCCCGGCCAGCACCAGATACCGCTTATGCCTACTACGGTCCTTCACTCTACAAAGGCACGGAATGGACGTACGCGTACTCAAATTTCGCGTCCTTTTTCGACAATTTCTCCGCTCAGGTGACTTTACCGTATCAACTGGACTCAGAAATGGCTTTTGCCATTGCTGATCCACAATACAGCACCAGCGATTTTCAGCCCATCGAGCAGCTTGTACGGTATGATGCCGACGTGAGTCTCCTCTTCCTCAGCTACACGGGAATGTATCTAGGGGAGGTTGACGATCCTTGGTTCTCCGCTCACAACGGCGCTTGGTTCGGCAGCTCATTCCCTTTTTATCTTCAAACTCGCTATGCTCGCGATCTAGTCATTAGCACACTTGGATGTACGGAGCAGTATAAATTTTGTACCAATGATGGCGTCTGCACCGACTTTCTCGGATTCGATCAAGTCCAAAACGTCGCCGCTTTCAACGCCGCACTTACGCCTCATCAAAATGCTACCTTTAATCGAATATTGTTTGCTCTATCCACATCGAATCTCAGGAGTCTTGTCCAAGAACTAGCATTAACGACCAATCCACTGCTGGCGAGCAACGAGACCTATTCTGGAGATAGCGGTGCATGGGTATCAAAGGCTTTGCCAGAGTATCAGTGGAAGCTGGAGTTAGAGTTCTACTACGCCATCACAATGGCGCATCTACAGCGGACAATCTTCGAATGGGCTACTGGGTCAATTGCACCTACACCTGCACCACAAGATGTCGAATATATCCTGCGACCAACACTGGAGCAAGACGTCTGGTTCTGCAACAACATGATCCTTCAATCCACTGTCTATCAGTCCTTTTCTTTAGTGGTAATTATACTGATTGTCATCTTCGGGACATTGATTCTCATCACGGCAACTTTCATGAGCAGGTGTTCCACCGAGCTGGATGACGATGATGTACTTGAAGATGGTATCTCTTTGAGACCTGAACCTTCCCCACGAGGCAATATCTCACAATCGCGACGCAGCGACCTCCTCGAAGCTTTCGAGCTAACATATATGGAGCCGGTGCCAAACGGTCAGAGAGTTTCTTCCGCTACGCTTCCACCAGAGGACCGTGGCTTCTCGATCCTGAGTTATCAAGAAAACTTTGGCAGTAGTCAAATTCGACCTGAAGCGCCTCCCAGGTTGTCCGGAGATTCATGGATGGCCATTAGTCTCAACGAAGATGGGGCATTAGCACCAGAGGCTCCGAGACAGACAAAATGCTGCGATTTGGGGGAGCCACAGCTACTTCCTCCGCCTGCCGCCCATCTTGCTGTAAGTTCAGCAGAGCACCCTATGAATGGGCCGTAGGGTTCATGGATATGACTTGTGCCCAATCTGTCTTCCATCACACATGAGGACAGGAGATTGGGGCGAGACCCGACATCAGGTCACCTGGTGGTCTTAGAAGGGAAAGGGAGAGAGCGATTTCTGTGGTGCGCCATACAATATCCCTCGTCAATGTGCAACGCACCCTGATTCCCCGGATCGTATCCCGGTTAACATCAAAGTTCCGTGAGCCAACCGACACGGACACCTCCGGATCGTTCATCGGCATTTTGCTCAGAAGTTAGAAGTCTCCATTCCCATGGTCACGCCCACCACCGCTCACACCGCGGTCGATGAGCTCGTCTCGCTTGAAGTCTCCATTACCATGGTCGCGCCCGCCACTGCTCACCCCACGGTCGACGAGCTCGTCTCTTTTGAAGCCGCCGTTGCCATGGTCGCG